TTTGCTTGGATAATAACTCTTTAACCCCTGGTTGCCTCAAATTTTGAAAGGGAAACTCGGAGGAACCATGGGAACAAAGAGAATAGATTAATATAGAGTGGATTTTACTCGAAAAAAGTGTAAAACGACCAGTTTGTTATTCTGTGCTAGATACCAAGATGCCAAAATATTAAAATTGAGGAAAATAAATGGTTGTTAACTCTTAAATTTTAATTTCATAACTTGTATACAGTGGGACAAAATTCATACTGAGGGTTTGTTTAGATTCCTATCTATTATAATCTTTGTTCCATGTGCATGGAAATGTTCTTGTAGCAAAAAGTGGGCAAACATGATATTCTGTGAAATTGCAGTACGTTGTAACTTGTACATTGCTAATTATTTAAGTGTTGTAAACTTGTATAATGACATTATTAATTAAAACTGCTTGTGTCCTCGTTGAATTATACGAGTGGAGGTTGTACCTAGATAATTGGTACAGAAACAGACCGCACAGCTTGTGTACAAGCCTGAGAGTTAGTTCTATTTTATTGGATGCTTGGGTCCCTGTGTGACATTTAGAGCCGGTCCTGGTTGAGTATAGAGTCAAAGCTTGAGTCCTAAAATAGTAGATGCTTGTGTCGCTGTGTGACATTTAGAGTCGGTCCTGGTTGAGTATAGAGTCAAAGCTTGAGTCCTAAATTAGTAGATGCTTGTGTCCCTGTGTGACATTTAGAGCCGGTCCTGGTTAAGTATAGAGTCTAAGCTTGAGTCCTAAATTAGTAGATGCTTGTGTCCCTGTGTGACATTTAGAGCCGGTCCTGGTTGAATATAGAGCCTCACATTTGTCCTATACTATTGGATGCTTGTGTCCCATGTTTGGCATTTAGAGACGGTCCTGTTTGATTGTGTAAACTGATAGACCTGGATAGATACGTCTCAAGTAAATTGTTATGGAGTAGGTATTTGCTACAGTCTTAGTTTTGTTTGAATTTTCTAAGTTGGGTAGGTTGAGGTAGTGGATTAATAAATGGAAAATTGTGGAATATTATGCATCATCCATAAAGATAACAGTGCCCGATTAACAACGGTACTCTTAAAAGCGTTCTCTGATCAAGTACATGAATTAGATAAAATGTTAACAGTTTTGAAAACTAACTATTTTCAATTGCTGTTTCTCTGTGCAAAATTGACTCTCGCATTTCTACTGCAGAAAAACATCTAAAAAATATCAAAGTTAAACACTTTTAAAACTAAATAAACGACAATATCTTCCACAAAATTGACCAGATAAAGGGCACCGATATTAATGGGGCATTGCCATCTTTCGGACCAACGTTCTTTCGGACCAATGTTCATTCGAACTACTAACGTTCATTAACTAAAACTTAAAATTTCACCATTTTGTCTGTTATTTCATAATTTTAATACAAAAAAGTTGACAATATCAGGTTTCAAAGATATATGGATCGATTTTGTGGCAAAAACTTAAATCCTTTCTAAACCAATTTTAAAAACAGGTCGAATCGGATGGTATTCCCAATTCCTAAAATATTAAGATCTACATTTTTTTTAAAGAGCTGTTTTTAGGAAATAATGAAGTAAAAAAACAGCATTTTTTAATTGTTGAAGGGACTTTGCTCAATAATATACCAAATTATTATGATATCCATTACTTTTTCTTGTGTTTAAAAAATTTACTTCCAACAGCTTTAAAATGAACGACATAAGTAAATTGATTAAACATGTGCAAGAAGCACCAACAAATTTCTGCTCTTCTAGTGTCTTTTGTGCATTTCTTAGTGTCTGTTAGTCCCTGGCTGTCATATTCACTTTGTATATAAAGTCCCCTATTACAGTCTACACCAGTTTTTTTGTAATTCATCCACTAGTCATATTTGTCCACTATATAGTCCCCTAATCGTAGGTCCGTGCAGTCCTAAGAAAGTAAGTAGGGTTTCCAGCAAAAAAGGAAAAATCGTTTCGGGAAAATTTTTTATTTTGCATCGATTTTGCTTCATTTTCGCATTTCGTTCGCTTGCGAAAAATGCGAATTTTTTCCTTTTTTCCGCGAAAATTCGCTTCAATCTGTTTCGCGAAAAAATATTTTCGCAAAGTAGAAAATGCGAAAATTTTGCAAAAAAGTAATGCGAAAATTTCGCGAAAAAAATAGAGCGTGAATTTCGTGAAAAAATGCGAAAATTTCGCGAAAAAAATTGGAAATTATGAGAAAAAAACGAATGTTTCGCGAAAAATGCAGAATTTTCAAAAAAAATGCAAAGTTCAAACATTTATTAAAGTAAAGGAAGAGAAATTATTTATATGACATAACAAAACTTCAAATATGAGCTATCATCAGAGTATGAGAATCCCACAAGCTCTTTTGTGCTTAATTAATTGTTGCCTCTATAAAACTCATGGTTTTCACAAAATTTTCGCATTTCGCATTTTCACTTCATTTATTTTCGCGAAAAAATGCGAAATTTCGCGAAAAAGTTTGTGAAATGCTACTGAAAATATTTTTTCGCGAAACGTTTTGTTCGATGGAAACCCTAGAAGTAAGTAGTTCCTGGCAGTACTTGACAATATTTCGTCTTTACATAATCCATATTAGTTTTTCTGTTCGAAGTCCCTCTGTTCTTGTTTGCTAGTCAAGGGCTTACCTGTTTTCCTCTTATAGTCTGCGAAAGTCCTAATAGTTCGATATAATCCTTATTATATTTCTTGCTATTTTTCTTTTCAGGTTTTGTGTTACCTTAAATGGTATATGTTGTGTTATACTCAGAGAAGTAACATATAAACAGTTTTGAGAGGATAAGTTAAGAATGACTGACTTTCTTTAAGTCGAAAACGAGGAAATAACTAAAAATTCTATTAAAAAAGATGCGCCAGAGAAAAATGTTTTTATTTATTTCTTGATTGACAAAATTTGATAATTTGGGAATTATGCTGGGGGGGCGAAAATCGGTTTGCCCCCCCCTTGTTGCGCCACTGCATAAGAATGAATGGTATTGGATTGAAAATCAGGAATAATCAAATATTTGGAGATACAGTGACATCTAGCATTAAATTTCTTATTTTTGATATTTACATAAAGTGATAGCAAAACAGCTTTGGCAAAATAATAAAATATTTTGAGATACAATGACATCTAGCATTAAATTTCTTATTTTTAATATTTACACAATGTGAGAGCAAAACAGCTTTGTCAAAATAATAAAATATTTTGAGATATAGTGACATGTCGCATTAAACTTCTTATTTTTGATATTTAAATAAATTGATAGCAAAACAGCTTTGTCAAAATACTAAAATATTTTGAGATACGATGACATCTAGCATTGAAAACAGCTTTGTCAAAATAATAAAATATTTTGAGATACAGTGACATCTAGCATTAATTTCTTATCTTTGATATTTACAAAAAGTGATAGCAAAACAGCTTTGTCAAAATACTAAAATATTTTGAGATACAATGACATCTAGCATTAAATTTCTTATTTTTGATATTTAGATAGCAAAACAGCTTTGTCAAAATACTAAAATATTTTGAGATACAATGACATCTAGCATTAAATTTCTTATTTTTGATATTTACAAAAAGTGATAGCAAAACAGCTTTGTCAAAATAATAAAATATTTTGAGATACAGTGACATCTAGCATTAAACTTCTTATTTTTGATATTTACATAAAGTGATAGCAAAAAATCTACATTTTAAAGATCATTATTAATTAATTTCCTATGCATTAGTTTTTTATTGAACATTTAGCTTAAAAAATATTCTTTAAATTTGTAAACATTTAGAAATTTTGTGTTCAACCGAATTCGGGTTTTGCAACTTACGGTTTTGTTTTGACCATCTTCTTATGAGGTAGTGTCAATGTTCTTTCAATAGACCTTCATTTGTAAAGTCCTTTGAGTCTGATTCACAATTATACCCTTTAACCCGTCACTTTTTTAGAAAACCTCAATTATTAGTTTTTGGATTGAAAATCTTTACTCTGGTATAAGATAATAAGCATTTTTTGCATGCATTTTTTTTTAACGTTCGTTAACTATATACGAGTGATTTGCTCTGTTCATGCTCAAATCTTTTGTCAGAGTGATGATATGCATAATTTCAGAAATGTAAAGAAGTAAAAGAAAATAAAGTTTTGAATTACAGAGTTTTGTTAACCTTCTTCAAACCAAATATTCTGGGAAATATAAGAAAAGATAATTATGATGCCCAACTCTAATTGAGAGTAGTACATGTTTTCTATACTGCAGTTGTTGTCATATATACAAAGAGAATAGAATATATATTAGAGGGGAATTTACTAGAAAAAAGTGTAAAACGGCCATTTTGTTGTACTGTTTCCATACTGCAGGTGTACTTCAGATATTTATGCTATATAACCTTTTGGGCCCTGGAATATCATTTTATAGAAAATCTAAAATTAATGTTAAAAGAAAACCAAATTATGAAATAGGCTGGTTTCACCAATGACCAATGATCATTTCACATAGACTCTACGCCTTTCACTTTACAAACAATGATTTTCCGTTATAGCTATAAATCAAATGATGGTTTTTATTCACCTAATTCATTATAAAGTTTATTTAACAGCTTTAAAAATTTCGAAATTGAAATGAATAGTCTAGGGCACATACTGTATTAATGTACTCTACTGCATATAATTTGTGAACATTTACATGATTTGTACACTTTAAACTCCCTTTCAGGCTGAAAGGGACTGAAAAAATTCATAACGAGAGATTCTCTAAATTCCCCTCTAATATATATTCTATTCTCTGTGCATATATATCAATACAATAAGAGGACTTTTTATTTAAATTTTTTAATTTCTACAAATCTTTCAAACAGCTGAGACTTCTGTTTGTTTGTTTGTAAACTTGTAAATAAAAAAATTGCCTGATAATGATCAAAGCATTATTAATAAGAAATGCGTCTTCATTGTATTGATATTATCGCCGACCACAGTAGCTGTCCTATTCCTTAATACTCAATAAAAGAATTATAGAATGCTCACATTTATTGATTATTAAACTAGCCACAAATATATGTACTGCATAATCTCCTCCTCAGTCAATATGCAGTACACTATAGATAATCTAAATGTACTGTTAAACTCCCAGCTTTTCTTTCAAGTTCTTCTAGATTCTCACAAATCTGGAAAAAAAACAAGATTGTTGAGGATTAAATTTGTATTTATTTATGAAAGGAACTGTAAGCATAATTTCAAGGGACCCTCTATGCGAAGATGGCAATGCCCGAGTTTCAACTGTGCGTACCCTTGACACCTTTCTCTAGTCAATAATGTGGAAGAGAATGTTGTTTTTCTAGGTTTATAAGTGTTCATTCTGATAAATTCCAAATGTTTTCCTGTAGAAGAAATGCGCAAATCACCTTAGTAGAGAAACTGTACGATTGAAAATAATAAGTTTTCAAAATTATAAACATTGATAAATAATTAATACTTGATCAGACAAAGCTTTTACCATTGTAATCTAGCATTGTCATCTTTGCATAGAGGTTCACTGGAAATTACGCTTACAGTTCTTTTAAGTACAAAGTTCTGTCAGAAAGCATTTATCAAAAGCTTTTTATTTCATATACACAAAAGTTTATAAATATATAAATTGTTACAGTTGTAAACACAGGTTCCTGTCCTAGTTGAGGCATAGATATAGCTCAAGATCGTGTCCTAGTTTAGCCATTGATAGTTTACAAGATTGTGTCCTAGTTAAAGCATTGATAGCTCAAGATCATGTCCTAGTTGAGGCATTGATAGTTCAAGATCATGTCCTATTTGAGACATTGATAGTTTACAAGATTGTGTCCTAGTTGAGGCATTGATAGCTCAAGATCATGTCCTAGTTGAGACATTGATAGTTTACGAGATAATGTCCTATAGTTGAGGCATTGGTAGTTTACAAGATTGTGTCCTAGTTAAGACATTGATAGATCAAGATCATGTCCTATTTGAGGCATTGATAGCTCAAGATCATGTCCTAGTTGAGGCATTGATAGCTCAAGATCATGTCCTAGTTGAGACATTGATAGTTTATGAGATCGTGTCCTAGTTGAGACATTGATAGCTCAAGATCGTGTCCTAGTTGAGGCATTGATAGTTACATCATGTGTCCATGTAGACATTGATAGCTGATCGTGCGCATTGGCTTGGCATTGATTGATTAAGAGCTTGTGTCCTGGTTGACATTGATAGCTGACGAGATTGTGTTCGGGTTTAGACATTGATAGCTAAGTAAAACTGAGTTTGTACCTGGATAGATTAGATACGGGTTCGAGAACAGTTTATAGACATAGGGTATTTACTACATGGATTGGTTCAAGAAAAAAGGCGATGTTTGTATTTTTATGATTAAATAATCATTTTCTTAGATTTAGAAACCTAACACCGAATATCAAAATTATGATTTGATTTTTTTTAAAGAAAAAACTTACATTTTACTGAATTTATTCGGAGACTGTCCGATTCCGTTCTTTTTCTTCTCTTGAGGATTGCAGACTTTGTACAATCTAAAAGAAATTGTGTTACAACAAAAAATGCTGCCTTGTGAAATCATGTCTTTTGACGTAATTTTGGAATATAGGATCACAACTATGATTTATTAAATAAAGTGAATTGCACACATTTTATCGACACTTTCTTTAATAAGGAAATATCTAACTTTCATTTTATAATAAAAATAAGATTTTAAATATAGTCAGCTTCAAAAGTTTTTGGTTCGTGAGAAAAATTAAAAGTTGTAGCGGATGAAAATCTCGAAAGAATATTATAAAATCTGCAAGCCAGTAGTTCCAGAATTACAGAATTCTTCTGTAAATAAATGTAGCTAAATATTAAATTTAAAACTTACCCAGAATTACAAAATTCCGAAGCACCGCCGACATTATTGCCGACCTGGCCAAGTTGTCGACAGAGGGCTTCACCCACCATCATTAGTCGCATACACTCGGCACTAAAAGGTTATTTTTTTTATTTTTTTTTAACTTTAATAATTTATTTTAATTAAATTTTACAATATTTTTAAATTTTAATATGATATCAGATGGAAACATGTTGAGACTTCTATATTTCTTGTTTGTAATTTTTTTTATAATTTTGAGTGGCCCTTTATCAAAAAAGGGACATCCCTCATGAACATAGGAACCCTTAATACCTTCATCTGATTTATAATGTATAGAAGCAAAAGTCGATTTTCTAGTATAAAAAAATATTTAATTATGATTTCTAAACCATAATCGAAATTAATCAAATTTCAAAAAGTAAAGCATGGCCAGCTCATTTATTCTTGATCAAACAAAGTTTTTAAGGGAACCAATGTGAATAGGACATGCCACGTATTACTCTAGTCATTTCCATAGAACATCAATATTTAATTTTATGTTTTATATTTTTCAATATTACTTGATTCTGTCAGCATTCATTCGACCAGATGTTCTAACCTAAATTAATATAAGACTTTTATATTGTAATCTTAAACAAAAACAGTATTAAATATCTGTCACAATTATTAATTGACAAGCTTACAGTAACATATATCTCTGCAAACTCCGGTTCATTAGAAGTACCATACCGACTCTTAGGCAGTTAGGACAAGTTCATAGACAAAGATAGACACTCAGCCAACTCATCTCACGAAACCTCGATTACAACAGTGAGCTTTATACAGTAAACATACTGCATTATCTGCAGGGGTTTGTTCTAAACTCCGATTTTGGCATATACAGGGTGTCCCACAAAACATGACAGTTGGTAAATAGTTTTAAATGTCGTCTTCCATAAACTGTATAAGTGTAACAAATTCAAGAAACACGAAGACGATTACTACTGTGTAGCGAAGTTGACCGCGCAAGATTTACAATACATAAAACTATATCCGCTCCAAATGTGTCTCCTCATGTCCCCCCCCCTTTACCGCCTCTACTCGTGGAGAACAGCGTCAGTTAGCTTTAGAACTTTGAGATGTGAACACCTCTGATCAGGAACTACTAACTCCTTCATACTGCCGCAGATGCCTACTCTAGCAACAAAGGCTGCTAATGTCTAAGCCTCCAGATGTCCAAATCCACAAAACAGTCGCATGTCCTGTGGTATGAGAGGCAAATCGTTCCTCCCCACACATGTTACAGACTGCAAACCCTCCAGGACCGTCGCCTAGATGTGAACCCTTTGCTGCCAAGATGCTGACACCTGCGGGCTGACCATCATGAAGCTCCAACTGTTCCATTCCTTTCATCACCAATAATCAATGTTATTTCATTTTCAACCGTTTAGATACCCTCTTTTTAAGGGTCACTATTTTAAAACAAATTTGATTTTATTATTCAATAAAGTTAAGGAATATCCCTTTTGTTCTTTTATTTGTGTCAACAATAAGATATTAAAGGCTGTTTGCAATTTATTTCGTTTAAGAAATCTTTTGCTCAAATATATTTTACTTTGAAGTTAATTTTACTATGATATGACTACTATATAGTATTTCTATTATTGTCTTTGGTATTAAACAACTTAACAAATTATGGCAGAAGACATTCTAAACTATTTACCAACCGTCATGTTTTGTGGGACACCCTGTATTTAGATCATATATTTAGAAAACATTTTGCCGGCGTACACATCAATACTAAATTATCTGAGAGAAAGATAGATATTTGCCAATTGCCCCCTAAAATTTAAACAAAAAATAAGAAAATGAACAAAAGCAAGTACTGGAAAAATAACTTGGTTTTAAGAAAACGTACACAAACAACTCCAAGTGTTCTAAAATTGTACAGGCCCAGCTTGCCTGCTGTACTCAGTACACTGAACCTCTATAAATATCTACTCTAAGCCTGAAATTTACGACATTTGTACAGTATACATACAGACTAAAGAGACAGAAAAACAGGACGGTACACCAAGTGAATTATCATTTTCTTGTGAGATTAATGAGAAAAGGTCTATTTATTCATATACAATCGAACTATCAATTAGCATTTTGTTCAAATATGAAAGAATAACCAATTCTCGTTTTAAATACAGTGAGCGGCATAAAAATGTCGAATGATAGACTTCCTTCATCTTTCCTGTTTCTTTAACTTCAGAAATGTCGCCTCACATTTTCTACTCTATGTTAAGTCCAGAAATTGAGCGGCTGAACTTGATATTTCTTGGGCAATCCTTAACTTTAAAAACTACCACTGACAAAAAAAGAGCAATTTGGTAAACGTGTTTTTGTAAATCATAATCGCAATTCGAAACTATCCTTACTATTTTTATCTATATGCGAGAAAGACAATTTATTTAGATATATTTTAAAAAATCAATATCTTTCTTGTAACAATTAAGTGATTTATTAATGAAGTTTTTAATACGCTCCTTTTTAGAAACATTATAAAAATATAAAAATGCTTCTGATAAAATGATAATTTGATAAAGATTCTCATTTAAAAAATATTTATCTTACCTCTGTACTTTTTCCTCCTCTTTTCACAAATCTGATGACAAACATATGTATGTTAAATTAAAGAAGCGTATAAATATTTATTTTTCCACATATAAGCGACACATGTTCTTTATATTTTTTTTCATTATTCAAACAATACCATTCAATTCCTAATTCAAATCGGGTTTAGTATACATCCCCTTTCATTTGTCGCAAACAGTCCCTTTAAAAATTATAAAAATCACCTATCAGCCCTGTCCCACCATTTCCCTGTGAGGAAAGTAGAGAAATCTTGGTTTCCTGGTCCACCTTATTTAAAAAAATGTTTTAATATTTTTAATCATAATTTCATTTTAGAAAAATCTATAGAATAAGGCTCTTCGCACATACATATATGTAAAAAAAACTTGTGAAATATTTTTTTTAAGAAATCAAATTTTTCTTTTTAATCGGGATTTTTTTTTTAAAATTCAAAATCTATAAGAAAATGACCGACATTTCGACATACCAAAAACGATATGGCAGTTCTGATATGGGTTGCTGCTATTGGTTACATATATACTATTGTTTACTTTTTATTAGTTATAGAAATAGAGTATTGATAATATCGAAGAATCTCAGCTCATACGATCAATTGAAAGAATCTCATACGATGCAAAAATGTAAGGCAAGGAAAGCCAATTGCGGTTGTGTATACTCTGTGTACATATTGAAACCAGTTCTCTCTGGGCGGAATTTGTAAACAAGAATAAATGCATCAGTGTTCGTCTAGTATCCGAGGAGGTTAAAAGCATTAAATTTTGATAATTTTGATAATTCACATAATAGTTTCCCATGACCAGAATATTTCTTTGATTTTTTATGTGAATGATGGATCCCATGTCAGGCTTCGACATCCGTCTTGTGTTTACATTAGCGCCCAGAGACAGTACACTGCAGTACTAAAGATGTGTACACTTCTGAAATGACTTTCCTTGCCTTACATCCTTGATACGATGTTGATAGCTATAGGATTAAACATACGATAATGATAGAATTTCATACGAGTCTGGCATAATCTTATAGGATTTTGAAGATTTTGATAAAATCTCATTCGATTTGATATAATCTCATTCGATTTGATAGAATCTCATAAGTTTATGATAGAATTTCAGACGATATTGATAGAATCTTATATGAATTTAATAGAATCTCATACAGTTTTGATAGATCTCATACGATTTTGATAAGAACCTCATACAATTTTGATAGAATCTCATACTATTTGATAAAATCTCATACGATTTTGATAAAATCTCATACGATTTTGATAAAATCTCATACGATTTTGATAAAATCTCATACGATTTTGATAAAATCTCAAACGATTTTGATAAAATCTCAAACGATTTGGATAAAATCTCATTCGATATTGATAGAATCTCATTAGATTTTGATAGAATCTTATATGATTTTGATCTTGTCTCATAAAACTTTAATAGAATCTCATAAAACTTTGATAGAATCTCAAAAAACTTTAATAGAATTTCATAAAACTTTAATAGAATCTCATAAAACTTTAATAGAATCTCATAAAACTTTAACAGAATCTCATGAAACTTTGATAAAATCTCATAAAATTTTATCAAATCTTGTAAAACATTGATAGAATCTCATAATAGTCTGTGTGTACTCACTGTATTCTGAAACATGCTCAACCCCATCTTCGGCCAGATTTGTGACATCGTTCTCAAGTGATGGAGAATTCTAAATTGTAATTGGACGTAAAAAGAGATGTAACCTTAATTTTAAGTAATTCTCTCCATGCAAAAATGCCAATGAGAACCAAGTTGTTATGCGTTCTAACTCAAAAATTGAGCAGTATTTTGCCAATTACCCCTTTTAAGCTTAAGTTAGAAGCAAGGTGTGCAGTTTTAAAATGAATATGTCTGGAGCTACAAAAAAGTATAAAATTAGTTTAAGAGGTGAAACCAAAGCCCAAGCCGTTGCGACGCTTTATAGTTAAAGTTGAGGCTGTCTAGCTATTTGATTAATTACTTTCATAGTTGCTCAATATCAGTGACACTCCTTTCTGCTGAGTTATAAATCATATAAACCTTTATAAAGGTTTTTATATAGTCTCAACTAAAGATGGGCGCGTTCGACTTTTTTTCATTATGTTCATTCATCGTTCGTGACCGACCCATTTCGTTCGTTTTTTTATAATAGTTCAATTTATTTTTGATTAAAATTGTTGTTCATTTTCCATATGTTTCGTTCGTTTGCTTACTGAATAATCTCTCAGTAAAATCGTTCTTTCAGTAAGAAACTATCGCATTAAAAAATTGTTCGAAAAATCGTTCTTTCAGTGAAAAAACTCGTTTTTTCTTGTTCGTTAGTTGTTTTTTCGTTTGTTGTTAAAAACACGATAATTCTTTCATTTCTCTAAACGATCCATTCATTTCGTTTGTCCATCGTTTTTTTCTGAACGACACCCTCTTTAAGGAAAATTTGGTTCGTTCGTTCGTTCAAAAAAATTTGGTTCGTTCTCGAAAAGGATGCCGATCTCCAGTCTGAACAAGTTTATTGATGAAGTTCAGAATAACTTACTTCAGATCTTTTCCCCATCAGAATATCATTCCCCCATCCTCTCAGGGGATCACTTCTAAACAGCAGAAAAACAAGTTACGTACCACCACTTTGTCAACCAATAGACAGAAATTTGAGAATAGAATAAACAGAGTATTTGAAGTTGAATCTCAATTAGTTGAGATCAATAAGATAAGAAAGTTTAATTGTAAAAATTTTATATTTTTGATTTGATATTTCAGAATCAACAATTTTTTGTTGAAAGGAACTGTAATTAAGTGTAATTTCAAGTGACCCTTCATGCAAAAATATCCGATTCACAACGGAACCCTTAAATGCTTTATCTGTTTAAGTATGAATTAAACATTTATGTTTATAATTTCGAAAAATTATTATTTTCAACTGTGGTTACTCTAAAAAAAATAACTTGCGCTTTTCTGCTGCAGGAAAAACTAGAGAAATTATTTGAATTAAACACTCATGATTCTAGAAAAACAACCATTTCTTCCTCTTTGGTGATCAGATAAAGGTTTCAAGGGTACCGTTCGTATTAATCCATGCTTAAAATACCAAAAAACAACATTTTTTTGCATCTTTTAGCTTTGCAATTCTGTGAAAAATTTGATTTATGTTGGTGCAAAGATTAATCATATATATATTACCGGTTATAAAAGCTCCAGTAGCCACCTAACCAACCCAAATAAATTTTCTCTTGAATGGAAATTTTCAGGTTGTATTAAATTATTTCATTTTTACTGATAAGAAAAGTACAAACAGATATTTGTAAATTTTTTTTTTCGAAAAATTTCTTTTTATAAATGTTAACGAGACCCCCCCCCTCAGTTGGGCATACTAAGTAGATCTAGAAGGTTGATAAAGGCAATCGCAGTTTTAAGAATTTTTTATATACTGAAGTAAGTATGGGTATCCAATTTGGATATAAAAACCAAAACAGGCCTGATTTAAGCCTGAATATAAATTAATTGCATCAAAATTTAAAAAAGTTCAATTTTTTATAGAAAATATGCATCCCTCGTTTTCCCCAGTTAGCTCCAGCTTCGGACAGGGATTTTTTTGTGTTCCGGGGACTAAAACTGAAAGAAAGCTTAAAAAAATTAAATTGTTTTTTTTTGGAATTCTATGAAAGTGCAGAAAAGGCAGTCACCAATTTGATTAATTTTGTCACCAATTTCAATTAAAGGAAAATTTAAAATTGAGCTTTTTTAAGTTCTTTAAAAATATCCTATTTAGTTTTATACCTCAATAATTGGGTAACATCCGAGGGTAAAATAATGACACTGAATATTTCTGATCTTTTTGTCCAAGATTTTATCGTAAATGTAACTAAATTAGTTAATCAGTTCAAATTGGATACCCCACTATATATGTCTCAAAAAGGCGACTGCCTTTAACCTTAAAAGCTTTGAGTTGTAAATGTTGGTTGGGAAAAATGAAAGAAGTGTTTCTAAAAACTGTTGAATGCAAGAATTAGCGGTTTAGAAGAATCAAAACCTTTACTCCTTTTTAATCCGAACAGAAATAACTATAAAGATCAACCAAAAGTTTTCTGCTCAGTTTATTTCAAAATTTATGAAAGTACCTTTGGAATATTTTAGAATAAACATTCAGAGGAGATGGACTTCGCCTATAAAAAAACATGATTTTACCTTGATGATCTTCATATTTATGTATATCTATTCTATATAAATAAAGTTGTAATTGTTTGTTTGTCCGATCATAACTCGGGAACCTCTGGACCGATTTGCCTATAAATTTTGATTGAAGACCTCGGTAGACCCACGGGAATGTTCTTAGTATGGTTTTGAGATTCGAAGATGATTGGGTCGACTTTTATAAAGTAAATTTAGTTTCCAGGCTAAGCAGGGTTCCCAAGCTAGTATTATATAATGTAGTTAAAATAAGTATTTTTAGGTGAAAAAATTATATTTTTAAAGAAACAAAATCCTTAACTTGAATGGGGTTTTATATAAATTGATGGTGAAATCAAGGAAAGGAAACAAATGTAATCTATATCCTGTACAATGTACAATAGTGCAGTCTGCATATTTAGCTATGATATATGTGGATACGTCTTAAATGGTTAGACCAAAGCTAGGAACTATTGTATTGTGGATATCACGATCAAGGCTTGATCTCAATATTTTGTTACTCTCTAGATTAATTTAATCTTTATTTGATATCCCGCATGGTAATCGTGCCCAGTCAGGGGTTGAAGGAAGCTTTGATCAGGGGAGGAACAACTTAATTGAAGATAAGGAAATCTTTTTAGATCCTCAAATTAAAAGTGCCCAAAGTGCATATCAAGATAAAGTTATCAGGATTATGAGTATGGAGGGAAGTGCTTGTGAGGAGCAGGTTTGTTTTCTCGTTATTTTCTTTCAGGCTCTAAACTCGGCATTTTAAAAGTGAATATTTTCTAATTCTTTTCTTTTAAACATTTTCTTTCTTAAATTATGTCATATTTTGACCCTGGCAGAAAACGACCCAGAAACAATTTACAAACGATGAATAAATTTTGGAAGTTTTATTGAATTGTTTCAAAACCGATCCAAAACTGTTAACAACACTTATGATGAATATTCAGCACAGAAGTTCCCAGCTCAGATATCTTACATCCATGATAGATAGTTTGGGAATTCAGCTTGTCCAGATCTAAATATAAAAAGTAAAAATATAGAATGAAAAGTGTTTCAAAAACGTTAATAGAGTTTGAAACAACGAAACCGGGTCTTTGCCATTAAATCAAATATTCGAAATTTTGATGTTCTAAAATTAGACTATTTGATCAAACAAACTTCACAGTTTAAAATAACATGTGTACGACATCGGGTTCCAAAGATATAAGGATTAAAAAATCTGAGTTTGTGGCATCGACCTCAGTTCCTTTGTTACGTACTAATTGCAAAAGTTGCGATAATTAATGTTTAGATTTCAGATAAATAATTTTTCTGTTTTATTTATTTATTAACATAATTTTCAGATAAACATATATGGTCAAACAAAAAAGTATGAAAGACTAATTTATAGGAAAAATATTTCTTTTAAGGTTAAAACTGGCTCGAAAGTCAATGTTCTCTGACTTGAACCAGGAACCCTAATTGTCCGTGCCATTTCAAATTGAAACAAATGTTAAAAGTTTCAATATTCGAATCTACGACCAACATTTTGTTTTTTTTTAAACAGTTTGGACATAATTGATAAAAAACTAAATCTAGGTTCATGAAATCGTGATTTAGAGAAAAAATATTTTTCCCAAATGAAGGGATTGAAAAATCTCAAAAACTTTCCCTTTTGTTAAACTTTTCGTTTAATTCATAATATTTGAAAGGAATTGAGTCTTTGCCACAACCTCTGCTTTTCTAAAATCTTTGGATTCCAATGTCGCAGACCTTAGATATTTCAAACTATGAATTCTCTTAGATCAAATAATATAAGGTTGAAATATCAAAGATATTGGAATTATAATTCAGAGATTGTGGCGAAGACTAAATTCCTTTACGCTTGTTTGGGAATGAAATAAATCATCAAAAATTATTTAATTCAACTTACCTCACTACGCACCCAATCCAAGTTATAAAAAGGAAACATTTTAAATTCATGAATGCTGTAAAAAAAGGTTGAGTAAAATAATACTAGATTTTTTGTCTTTTATTTTTAACATTTTTTATTTTAACTAAATCATAACAGTAAACAAAGAATAGACAAACAACTTTTTGAAAAAGTCATATTTTCAATTCTTATATAATATTTTCCATTCTTANTTTATGTGCATAATCTGAGACAACTTATAGGAATACCATCGATCTTATAATCGGCTTAAAGTAAATCTTTAAAATAAACTTTCAAATTCAAGCAAAAATCTATCGAAGAATAAACAGGGATAGCCATAAAGGATGAGGCAGTAGAGATGACTGTTCAGAATTTATTATAAAAATTATTTATCAATGTTTATAATTTTTTAAACTATTTGGTTTCAATATCTTTAGAAAAGTGATTTGAGCATTTATACTGCAGAAAAACATAAAAGTATTTTCAGAATGGAACATCTTTAAACCTAAAAAACAACAATATCATCAAGATTATTGATCTGATAAAGATGTTAAGGATACCGTGTAGCTTTTACCATGGTTTGCTCTAAGATGATTAGTCTTTACAAAAACTCCAAATTTATACAAGATCAACCAGGATGGTGAAAAAATAATTTTGTTTGAAAAATTTAGCATATTTTTTCAATATTGAGAATGTTTACCCCAACTTTTGAATGGAAAATATTTTTTAAAAGATATTTTTGCACCACCAGGTGATTGATAAATTTTAGATTATCTTATCGTGTTACAATTAAAGAATTGAGCATCAGGGTTAATTAAGTGGAGGCAAACTTAATTGAGGTTTAGTTTAAGGTTTCAATTAGATATAAACATGGTTGGAAGTTAATCATAGTAACAACCACTCATCTTTATAAAAAATGTTTATAACACAAAATGTTTGTAACACAAAATGTTTATAACAAATGTTTGTAACACAAAATGTTTATAACACAAAATGTTTGTAACACAAAATGTTTATAACACAAAATGTTTATAACACAAAATGTGTCCACCACACAACAATCCAGTGATATAATGTTTCCTCCGCCATATGTTTAACAAAGAAAGCATTCTTTTTTAAATAGTTTATTAACCAGATTTACTATACAGTTAAGCCAATTTGTAATTTTTATCATTGTAAAAAAAACTGGTCCGATTTGTTTTGGAATGATTCTCCTGTTAACGATGTTAGATAAACAACGATGAATGCAGTTTACAAGGATGAAGAAAGAATGAAAGCTAGGCCGGAGTTTAGTCACAATATAAAATAAAATCATCCTCCAAATTCATGTTTTAAAAGAAGATCCTACACGCAGTGCAGGACTGCCAGGATGTCCAAAAAATTCCAACGTATGACTTAAAAATTTGTATTCGGTAATTTTTAGAATATTTTGTTGTAAACTTGTAACTTTGGACCAAAACCACAGAAAAAATCGCTTTTAGTTAATTTAAAAATACATTTGAAGAAACAAAATGTATAAAAACTGGCAACTAAAGGTTGCCAAGACCTAAATAATTATGATGGACATATCATGTAAAACCACTTTACCATATCAAAGAAATGTTTGCATTTTGTAACAAGTGACAGCTTCCATTTGAAAAGGGACATGTCCGAATCACAAAGGTACTATTTTAACTTTTGTCTGAGCAAAAAAAGATAAACTTGTTTTTATATTTGAAATTTTTTAATTTATAATTGTTGTCTGTGGACTTTCTTCAAAAGTGACATTACCAGCAGAGACAAAGGAGAAAATTGACATAATTCATCATAGAGTATTGCTCCGATAAAGGTTTAATAAGGTACTGTTGAGAATCGGCCATGCCACACTGCGGACATATAAGGGACGGTATTGGTACCTTCAAGTGACCCTACATTGACAGATGGGCCCAATTCTCAGAGGTACTTTTAAACCTTAGTTAAGATGAAATATATAGTTTATTGCTAAAAATAAACTAACAAGTTATAATGTTACAGGCTACAAATTTGCAGCTATTTTAATATTGCTTACTATATGTATGTTTATTAGAAATTAGGTGGAGATTGGCCATTGGCTATAAACATTTACTATATAATTAATGTTACATATGTTTTGAAAGTTTACAATAAGTCAGGGATTACTAGTTAAATTTAGAGAAACCGAGGTACAGCTAACAAAATAATTTTTCAGTTTTAAAGTTAAGTACGTACGTGTATAACTTAAGAATAAGATTAAGCATGTATTGCACTTTGAGATGTGGGCGTCAGAAAAAATTTCAAATAATTTTTTTTAATATGCCTAATGAGGCACTTCTTTTTAAATCAAGTGTTTGATCATCGACGGCGGAAGTAAAAGGTTTAAAGGGTTCTGTTGTGAATGACCCACGTCACTCTACAAATGAAAGGTCACTAGAGATTACGCTCATACTGCTTCTTAAATCCAAACATATGTTTTATAGGCTGTCCCTGAATAGTTAAAAATTGTTATATTCATCTTTTTTTGGTATACTTGATGTCCATATTCTGAGACAACTTGTAGGAATACCATCGATTTTATAATCGGCTTAAAGTAAATCTTTAAAATAAACTTTCAAATTCAAGCAAAAATTAATCGAAGAATAAACAGGGATAGCCATAAAGGATGAGGCAGTAGAGATGACTGTTCAGAATTTATTATAAAATATTAAAATGGATCAAAAGCTTGCCTTTTGATGTCCAATTTCTTTCCTTCTTTTTTTGATTACCAAAATATTTTGTTCACATAAGTTATGTTTGTTTGCGCGACACGCCATTCAAATTTTCAGGGTTTTTCTTACTGAATTTTTGTTAAAAAAAATGTTTAACAAAGTACAGTAAAAGTAACGATAAAAAGAAAAAATGTTTTAAGAATTGTTTATTGTATTATAAGAATAAAAAACAAATGGATTACATCAAAGTTAGAAGTTAGGAGTATTTTGGAGTCATTGCTTCCTTACTCAATGTGTATCTCTGAGTAGTATAGTCCAGATCGTCTAAATCAAGGGCTTCAACCTAAAAGTTATAAAATATTAATGAACAGATTTAAATCTTAAAGAAAGAACAAAACCAAGAGAAACTCCATGATCCACTCCCACCTAAAATGTGCATGGTCAACTACATACTGGGTACACTAGACGGGCTGGTACGAGTAAACTCTACATCAGGGAATTCTTGTACTGGTTTGGATCATGCAACTTTTATACTTAAGAGAATCGATTGTAAATACCCAGCTAGAGGCCGGGAGCAGCTTTAGTTTTCTAATTAGAGATTTAGGAAATTTTTTGTTCTTTTAATTTAATGTTGAAACACATTTCAAATAAATAAATTATTATAAAATAGTTACCTGGTTCTCCGCCTGTAGCAAGTTTTTCTGGTCTGCTTCCTTTTGTGGCTGGTTGACCGGTCTGGGTATATCCAGCCTAGACCAACTACAGGACTCAGCTTTCTTCAACTTTATCTCAACTTTAGTTCCTTAACAGACCAAACACTGTAGTGTCAGCTAAAGTTTTCACATCATGGCGCAAAAAAATAAATTTAAAGCTAAAATAAAACACTTTCGAGGCCAAGAAACATTTAAAAGACGACCCGGTCAAAATAATTATATTAAATATTGTCCTGGCCTGGCATGATATTTTTCTAGGTTTCTAATTGTTTAATGACACTCAGTGTCATAAAAACTAATTAGTTGGCGCGAAAAAACCCCCATAAAAAATTGGTCCTTGAATGTTTATAAAACTGATTAAATATAAAGTCCCATTATATAGCTGTGGGATAAGAAGACAGCAGTTAAACTCAAGTTGTAAATGTAATCTTAAATATTCCACTGAAAATTTAATAAAGCAACTGTTCAGTGTACCCAGGTTCAAGCTACTGGTAAACCAATTTGCTTTTTAATAGCATCATACACACATAAAATGTCGTCTTCATATTCCACAGTATGTTTTGTTTAATTAGTTACCTAGCATGGCACATGAGCTCCCTTCAACTTCTACTATACCTCGGAGCTCAATTTCAAGGTTAAACGCTCCTTTCTCCTGATCAAATAATCGTTCAAGTAAATTCTGAACAGCTAATACAAAAGGGCCCAATTTTTTTGAGGGATCTAGCTAGCAGAAAAGGTTTATAAACGGTCAACATTTAAAAATTTTTACTTCCTTGAAATTCATTTTTTTTACATCATAAATAAAAACTTTAAGACTTTTCCTTTAGAAAATAGTAAAAATTTCTTCTTAATAATTTACGAAGAAAAATGGTCAAGTAGATTTTAACGCTAGAGTAATTACAAGATAGAGGGTCGCAAAGCGCATTAACGGCCTGAAAGTTAATTTTGTCTTGAGAACTTAATAAAGTATTTTTCTTGTAAAATAAGAGAAGGCAAAGAAACTAACAGGAATTGTTTAAATATTTGAAAATGCAGATAAAATAATAATTTTTTATTGATTTTTGATCGTAGGATAGATTTCTTAGTTACAAAGATGAGGATATTGTTAGTATTTGAAATGGATGAAAATTCTCTATCTCCTAAATGTTTATTGCAGCCATTAAAGTATGACATGCTACTAATTAAAATGTTAACCCTGTGTGTCCTTACCTGGGGAAAGTAAAGATGGGCTTTAAGTTTGATAGGGTTAATCTCCACATAGGAGATGGTTGGGTCATATTTCTTCCCATAGATTGCAACTGTTACACAGGTGGCAGTCTGATGCCAGTCATACCTACACACCACTTCTCCCTCTGCAATATTTATTGGTGTTACTATTAAAATTATTTTATTGGTTGCTTCCTATTTTTGTCAAAATACGATCGAGTTAAATGCGTTATTTGGGAAATGACCATGAAAAAAAAATACCTGTTTAAATCATGTATGAAGAAAATTGATAAAAAGACTGAATTTCTTGTCAGCATTAAATGAAGTTTTCATGTTTTTTTTTGAAAAATTGGTGCACTGCGCGCTTAATTTCTAGGAAGCTTTAACTATATTGTTTAATGACGGATTTTTTTTTTTATAGATTCTTGTCAAAAAATATTTAACCTTCTCCTTCATCCTTGGCCCAAACACATTCCCCAATATCACATCCTTCCTGGTCTAGAAACTGCTGAAATTCAGTCGTCTTCCTTTGGCAACAGCTCCAGTACTTCATTCCTAAAAATTTACTTTATCAATCAATCAATCAATAATCAGCAGATAAATCAATCAGTTAATCATAAAATCAAGTCAACCAAACAACCAACCAACCAAGCGACAAACCAACCAACCAAGCGAGAAACCAACCAACCGCCCAACCAATCCTTTGACAAACCGCTCAACCAACCAACCAAACAGCCCTTTAATCGTTCGACCAACTAACTAACCGCCTGACTGGTCAACCAATCAACCCACCCACTCAACTCAATCAATCAATCTACGCAACCAACCTTCATGGAAGACCGGATACCCAGGATGATATTTGCAATTATTGTATTCAATGTCTGGGCCTTCGTAGGTGTTCTTACAACCGTTATGCTTACAGCTCTCTCCAATCTTTATCTAAAAAATTAAAACAAATTAATACCAAGGCATAAGACAGTGTAAATATGACTTTAAGTAACCCTCCATTTAAGGAATGATAATTTTTGGTTTTTGGTTCTCTCAAATGGAGATTGGAGAAAAAGAATCAAGAATTATGAAGAAAAAAAAGCTCAAAGAATGGTGTTAAGAGAGAAAAGAAAGTTAAAAGAGATAAAAAGTGTGAAGGATAAAAGTGTGACGGATAAAAGAAAGTTGAGAAAATATGAAAGAAAAATGAAGAAATATAAAAAAGGGATGACATGGATATGAAAAAAATGATAAAAAAAAATCTAAATATGAATATAAAAGATGAAAAAAGACGAAATAAACATAAAAGAAGTTGAAAGGAACTGTTAAGGTAAAATGAAAGGGGGTATAGACTGAAGCCTAACAATTTTAGGAGTTGATCGCTAACAATATTAGTTCTATCTGATGTCCCTGTCTCGAGAAATATAACTGAGTCAGAGTTCTACGAAAACTGATATACATATGTGATATGGTACTTGAATCAATGTGTGAACAGATTAAATTCAGCAAATACGGAACGAATCTGAAAATATCGATAACCCAGAGGTTTTAGTAAAACTTCGACACAGTTTTGTATGAATTTCTAGAGACGGGGACATCAGATAGAATAAATATTGGACCCTTTAAGATGAAGAATAGAGCAGGATTACTAACTTCCTGAGAAGTATCACCATTATTGGTGTTGAGAGTCTGCTGCAGGGTTTTCATCTGGTCCTCCAGGGACTTGGCAACTACAGGTTTCAACCTAAGAGAAACAAATCAATTTTTTTATTACAAAATCATGTTCCGACATATGTCCCCATAACATAAAAAATGTATGCATAAGCATGGGCAAGAGCATTTGCATGGCACCAATAATTTACCTATGGGGGGGGGGGAACTACCAATTGGAAAATGTCAGTCCTCCTGATCAATAACATACCCAAACACAATTTCATAATCCCTTGTATTTACTTATTATTATCATGATCAAAATATTTTAAATTTATAAATAGGAACAAAACCAATAATATCTAAACAATACAAAGCAAAATACCCATCAAATGAATGCCCCAAAAAAACGAATAATGGCTGAAGTTAAAGTAACGTAACAAAAACTGAAATTTTTCATTCTTGAATTTTGCATTTTTCGTTACCAACCAAAAAGCATTCGGATAATTGAATTATTTTGTAAAATGTTTTAAAAACATGTTTATTTTTAACCTGATGACTGGAGTATTGTAAGGGGGTCTAGGCAGGGATTCTTGAATAGGAGCTCGCACCTATAAAAAAAGAATAAATAATTTTGAAAAATTATTTATTTGCCCGTGAAAAAAATTTAAAAAATAATTTTGAAAAAAAAATTTGAAAAAAATGATTTTTTTAGCCTATGCCACCCCCAAGCTAATAATGACTGTCCACAAAAAATTTCCGCCCATTCGGTCTAGCCATTTGGTTGGCCAGAGGGAACATATATAGTATATACTATGCATGTCTTGTTTTATTTTATAGATGTCATTGATCTTTATCAACTGTATTATTTTTGCTTAAGAAACAATTTAAAATTGTCAACGTTATAACCGTTCTTTGGATTTAATCAAATTTAAGACAAAAATATTTCTTTTTTAGAAGAATAATAAAGAACTTTATCTTTCAAGAAGGGATTGTCTCTATCCAATATAAATGTATCTAGATCTTTTCTCATCTAAAATCCTGTTGTTTTAATTCAGTTTTTACTTTTTGTCTTATATTCATTTGGTATTAAAGATTTTTTTATATTCTTACTTTATTATCGGTTATGTTTTAGCTTAAGAATTGAAAACAAAATCACAAGTTTTGGGGATGGCCTAAGACTCCAGTAGTTGATTGGAGTGTCTAGTCCTTTCCACATGTCCTGGTTTTTCAGCCAAGACTTCTTTTTTCAATTTAACTAACTAGGTTTGTAGGGCACTTCGCGCTTATCTTCTATTTCAACTTTTAGTTGTGACTCTATCAGTGAATATCTTCTCTTTGAACAATATAAAACAAAACAAAAATTTCGTTCGCGGATTTTTTTCGTGGTTTTTAAAATTTTCCAAAAAACAAAAAATTTTGGAGACAAATTTTTAAAACTCTGAGTATGTGAGGTCCGACAAACAATTTGGGCCGGATCGGTTCAGCCGTTTTGACGTATTTTGGATACAAACAGACAAGAAAAGCATATATGTATATTTAAGATTTCAGAAGTGTGTCACCTCAATTACTTCCGGTGTTTCTTCTTTAGTAAGGTTTCCAGTAATATTCTCAGGTTCTACTGGCTTCACGTTCGAGTGTCTACAAAACAAAATAAATAGTTTTATTGTTTAATCAAAGGGAATGTTCTCCAAAGTAAAAGTAAAACCAAGTTTTCAGAATGAGGTACACAAGTAAACCTAAACGTTTCAAATAAAGAAATTATATAACGTAATATTAATTAATGCATCCATGCAAACCAGCACTGCCTGTTTTAAAACGGTTCCCTTGAAACCCTTCAGCTGATCAAAATGTCGAAGATAACGTCGTTTTTCTAACTAATGTGTTTAATGCTGAAAATTTCTTCAGTCTTTCCTGTAAGCAAGTCCCTTTAGGAGAGAAACGACAAAACAAAATAAATAATTTTTAAAAAATAAAACTTGGATATCTAATTCATATCTATTTCATTCCTTCAGACAAAGCTTTTAAAGGTAAAACGGTCATTGTGATCTTCCCATGGGAGGTTACTTAAAAATACACGTACCGTACAGTCCCTTTAAGATTCTTGACAATTTACAAGAAATCTGGGTACTACTCAAACAATGACGTCTGGGTCATCATCAACTTAGTTTTTTTTTCCAAATTCCAAAAATTTGGATGCCATACGTATTTTTTAATTGGCTACCAATCCCATTTTACAGTAAATAAACAAGCGATCAACAATCTAAAATGATTCCCCGACATAGGGTCTTTGGTCAAACGACATAGGGTAAAACGAGAAAGGGTAAAACGGCCTAGGATCAAACGACAAACGGTCAAAAACGCGACAAAAGGTCAAAAAGTGCGACAAACGGGCGAAATTTCATTCCGACTATTTTTTGGTTAGTTTGAACTATTTTTATGTTCATTCGAACTAGCAGCCGCAGCGCTCGGCCACTAGCCTGTCCTAGCTGCAGCGCTCGGCTCAGAAATTGTCTTAACCTAACCTTATCCTAAAATAATACATATTTGTAAATTCATTTGAAATACTACCAGCCCCTAGCCTGTCCTAGCCGGAGCACTCGACCCAGAACTCGTCGTTTGACCCTAGGATGTTTGACCCTAGGTCGTTTGACCCTAAGTCGTTTGACTCTATGTCAGTGAACCTCAAAAATGATTGATTATAATTAATGAATATAAAACTTGAAAGAAATTGTTAATTAATTTTTCAAGAGTGTCTGCACATGATACTAAAACTTTTTTTCAAGAAAGGTAGAAGATGTATTTTTGTCTGACCTGCCCTTAGTACAGCCAGGGGTGTTGAGGAAGGTTGTAAAATCTGTACTCTTGTTCTGGCAGCAGGACCAGCCTAATCAATGAATCAATGAATTGATAAATCAACGAATCAATGACTCAATGACTTAATGAATCAATCAATCAATTAATCAACGAATTGATAAATCAACGAATCAACGAATCAACGAATCAATGACTCAATGACTCAATGACTCAATGACTTAATGAATCAATGAATCAATGAATCAATGAACCTATGAATCAATGAATGAATCAATCAATCAATCAATCAACAGATCAATAAAACTGATAAATCAACTGATCAATATCAGTCAGTCAGTCAGTCAGTCAATCAATCAATCAATCAATCAATCAATCAATCAATCAATCAATCAACTGATCAATAAAACTGATTAATCAACTGATTAATTAACTAATCAATCAGCTAGTCAATGAATCAACAAACACTATAGGTAGAAAACATGTAAAAAAAATGAGGAACGTGTAAAGTTATAAAGATAAAAGAAACAAATATTAACAGAAAATAGAAAAAAAATGGAAATGAAATTAAACAAATAAACACATAAATTATTAAAAAATAAATAAAAATTAAATAATATAAAAGCACACAAAACGATGAATATAAGGCATAATGAAAAATGAAAAAACGAATGAAAACTTAAGTGTGATGGACTAGATGAGCAATTGAATTGAAAGACTAAAATAAAAAATAAAAAAATTGTTAATAATCTTTATATACATCATGGATTATATAAACAATAAGCGTTAGTCCCGTCGATGCCCATGGAAAAATAGATAAAAAAATTTCGATTTTATTTTTATCTAAGTTACCCCTAGGGTACCCATGGGTTCCCTCAATATATCAGCCAATTCGGTCCACGCGTTTGACCAGCTTTATTGTATAGATATAATGAAATTATGAACGAATAAATGAACTCATCATGGAATAGATAACCAATTGAATGGAATAATAAATGAATAAATGAACTCATCATGGAATAGATAACCAATTGAATGGAATAATAAATGATTAAATGCATGAAAAAATAAAAACATTTTTAAGCATCATGGATTAGATTAACAATTAAATGAATAATGAAAGAATAAATGAATTTGAATTAATCAAAACATAAACAATTGATTGAAAATAAAAGAATAAATCAATTAGAATTAATCAAAACCTTCTTAGTATCATGGATAAGTTAATTGAATGAATGAAAATGTAAAAATATAAAATATAAAAATGCAAAAATAAATAAAAACTTTTTTTAATATCATGAAATAAAAAACAAACAATTATATGATGAGCTAATAAATGAAAAAATGAATAAAACCCTTAATTATAATCATCATGAATTAGATAAGCAATCGAATTAATGATGAATAGGTAAATGAATAAATAAACGATAGCATTTATGAGCATAGCAGCAAAGATAAGATATAAAAATGAACAAATGATGAATGAAAAAATGAATGTAAAAATGAATGAAAACCCTTATACAGATCATGGGCTAAATAAACAATTGAATGAAAAAATAAAAAATTGAATGAAAACCTTTATAAGCATCATGGAAGAATGGTGCTCCCGGATGAAAAGTACATTCATCGTCCACAGAATCCCTTCATACCAATATATTTAATTTTAGTGTAAATTATTATTATTCATATATCAATCAATCTCTGTCCGATCATAATACAAGAACCCCTTGAATGATTCGCATAATATTTTGAAATTCAGTAGAACACGGGGATGCTCTTGGTTTGGTTTGGGTGATCAAACTAGTTATAAATAAAATACAACCCTTTGTTATCAAGATATATAGGAATATACGACTTATAAGGTAAATAAGATTAAAAGTTTAGTAGAAATACATATTTTAAAAGTCATTTATTCAAATGATTTCAATACTTATTGTTAAATTGAAATATTATAATATTTATTTGTTAAAACAAATTGCACTGAAAAAAAACATTTAAATCTTAAAAATCATCCCTCCAAAAGATAATTCCCCTCCCTCAAAATTTTTTGATACTTTAATAAACCTAGAAATCATTTATTTTCCATAATTTAGCGAGAGAAAAAAATTCACCCTTTATAAACCAGGTTTAAATAACCTGACACTTTATATGATCTTCCACATTTTATGACTGTCAAGTGAGTAAATATTTTAGAATTAATTGGTAACTTTTAACAACACAGTTAATCCAAAAACTTGCAACTTCTTTGCTTATAATAGTTGGATTGTTTTTTGTTCAGGCTAATTTTGAACATTAAGTTTAAATGCTTAAATTTAACGAAAATTCAAAGAAAATATTTTCCTGGGCATGAAACTTTTCCCACAGCCTCTGTTATAACAAAGTTTTTCTGCCATTTTATTCTGAAATGTAACAAAAATGTTATTAATAATAATATTTATAATTTTCAATAAATTATAAAATAAACTACAGCCAGTAATAGTGTTAAATCTTGTTTCGTTTATAATAGTATATAAAAAAACATAAAATTAAACTTTAAAAAGTGAAACAAAATGAGTGTGACAAAGTCATCAGCCGGGTTTGAACGTTTTTGTGATAATTGTAATAAAAGAAGTAAAAAAACCTGTGAATGTAAAACCACAAACATTTTAGTAAATAATAAAAATAATCATTTTTTTTTACTTGAACAAAATAACAACATTTTGTAAGACTGAATTTTCAATCCTAAGAAACTATCAATAAAACGGAATTAAAAATGCTATTATTATTTTGAATGTAAAAATAAAGTTTTGTCTAATAAATATAAAAAAAATAAAAAAATAACAAACAATTTTGCAGCTGAATTTTCCATTAAAGAAAACAAAAATCAAATTAATGGATTTAGAAGTTAAGCAAACAGATTTGCTGAATGTAAAAAAGATAAAAAAACTTTAATTGCACATACTAAGAAAAAAAAAAAATAGGATAAGCATAAAATGCTGAATCTTTAATTAAAATTAAAAAAATATTCTCAAATTTAGAGTTTTATTAAAGCGAAATAAAAGAATTTGCTGAATACAAAAAGATAAAAAATATATCAAATGTTGGTTTGAAGAATGCTTATACCAGTTTATATCAAATATAGTGTAAACAATAAATCTAACTTTCCTTTTCCTTCGATTTCTATTTTTTATATATTTTTAGAATTTTAGGGGAAATATTCCCATCTCTATTTTTTTGAGGTTTTAAAATATTTTCTCCTAAAATACTTTTTTTTATATTTCATAAATAAATAAATAATTACTTTCTATACATACTTACTTACATATACTCCGTAACTTTCTATTTCTACACATTGTGTTGTCTGCTACTATACAGTTTAAAGACCGGCTTTCTTCTAGATATCTCGAGAAAGTTCTAGAATGTTTACCCCAGCTTTCCTAAAACCTCGAATAAAGGGTAAGGGGGGGGGGTGTTAAAAAGCGTTGCTGCACTAAAGGGATTGTTAATCTTTTTGAACTAAAAGTGATATATATATTATATCGTATTTTTCTTCCTGAGGCGTTCACATGGGGGGGGGGTGGGGCTATAGCCTCTCTGAATATGATTTTCAGGGGGTTTCAGGCTTCGAAGGGTGTCGAGCTGAGCGGGGTCCCCCACTGAAAAAATGTAAGCCCTTCCCTTGTACAAATTCCTGTAAACGCCTCTGTTTTCTTTTTCTAATTACGTTACTTGTATTATTTTTTTTGTTAAAAAATTCTAGTTTTTTTCTCAAAAAACGTGGGAGTTTTGAAATATTTAAAGTGTTAATTCCTTATGACTATAAATGAGCTAGTTGGGCTTTTAAACCAAAAAAAAACGTGGAAGCAAATTGTCTTGTTCATTTTTACATTCTTGTGAAAGGCTAATGGACAAAAATAACGAAAGACGACATTTACAAATTTACAATTTTTGCAAATTCAAACCCCTACCAGCATTAATAATATTATTACCACAAATAAACCTACAGTCAAAGTATCATTTCATATCTTTCATATGTCCCAATAAACATAACAAGTTGAACCTTTTAAATTGAAAGAGATATTGAAAATTAGTACACAAAAATTGCTCATGTTTGATATCCCAATTTTAACGAATCAGAGACCACTTTTTGAAAAGCTGATAATGTGACGTACAATCATATTTTGTAATTTGTTAAATATTAAAAATCAAAGACAATCAAAATGAGCTCCCATCGTAGGACAAAGGACACAGGGATGCAGTTATAAACCAACCTAGATGACTCTAACCTAAAGGTTTTTCGACTTAAATATCGAGTAGTTTGCACGTGTTTTAGATACATTCGATGAGCGGGTACTGACATAGACCTGACACTAGATTCTCTAAACTGAGCTCATGACATCGCAATAAATGTTGTGTAAAATTAAATCATTTATTAGTCTGGACAGGATCTGATTACAACCCTACAGTATAAATAATAAATATAACTGCATCGCAGTAAAGGACGCAGGGGGGGGGGGAAGAGACTGAGCCCCCTGGGTAAGTGAAAACTAGGATTTATTATATTTTCTTCAATTCTTAGATGATACAAAGCATTTAGCATGTGTGAAGGAAATATATATATCAGAGAAAAATAAAAACGTGAAATTGGCTATATACTACGTTCAACATTTTTGAAACATTCTTTAACAATTAAAACGCAATCCCTACTTTTTTCTTATTAATAATCTATGCCTGAAATATTTGAATTTCCTTATTTGGCTATTAATTAGCATACAATACTGCATTTTTGATAAATAAATTCAAGCAAAATTTTCCGATGTAATATATTAAGTTTTACATTCCAAGGGATATTAACATTTTCCATAATACCTTTTCACCTTAAAATATAAAATTAAGTTATAAATGTTATAAAAATCTCATATTAAAGAAGTGTTCAAGCAGTACAAATCTGAATGCTTCTAGAAATATGTAAGTACTGTATAAGTTTTTGTTTACCGAGACCTTACTAATGGATGTGTGCAGTTCTTTTTGTTCAAAACATTAGAGAATTTTTCTTTAAAATTTATTTTAATCCAGGGAATTTAACTTTTATAGTGTATACAATATACATACAGAATGTTTTATTTTTGTGTTATGTTAAACAATTAATAATTATCAATTTTAACAGTAGATTTTTTAGTGAATTTTTTTAAAAGTGTTATTTTACAGGGACCGATATTTTATTGGAGATATTCTATATTTATAGAGATTGTATTAAACTTTTTAAAAGGTAATAATCAAACCTTTGTCGAAGTAAAATAAGACAATTTTAGGGATTTCGGGAGGCTCCGTAACTAGGGCCAGAAACGATGATCAAAATACATCATAGATAAAAAAAATTGCCAGTCATCGTTTCTCAGATCTAAACGCCATAATTTGTTTGTGGCACTCTTGAATCACATAAAATGTTGCTGACAGTCCCTTTAATAATTGAAGATCACTTTCAGAAGTCCCTTTAAATTATAAAAAGTTTTCAGAGCTCCGAATGACCTGAACCAGAACAGCATCTTCATTGTAACATTTTGTTTGAAATCTGCAAAATAACAAATAATACATTCAACTGTATTAACAGATTTTAAACCGAGATCGGTTAGTTTTCATATTTTTTAATATATTTACGAATATATGTTCGAGTTGTGTCCAGATGTGAACAGACAAATGATTTAAAACTGAATTGGGGTAGAAAAATAGTTCAAATGAGCAAGAAATGCGTTGATTTAAACTACAGGATATGACGTCATGTCAGTAGTTCAAATGAACAATAGTTCAAACGAACAATAGTTCAAACGAACAATAGTTCAAACGTACCATAGTTCAAACGGCAGTAGTTCAAATGAGAATCCACCTTTTTGGACTGAACATAAATAATTGGAGAAAGGTCGGCAATCATATCTCTGGTTCGATCAAGATCTTGGCACAGATCGACTGGCGTTAGTTCGATCTTCGAAAGATTTAACGATCAAGCTTTGCTTCACACCAGTTCTCCATCTACAAATAATAAAATGGTATTTCTTTGAGCTGAAGAATCAACATCTTACGACAAAGGTTTTATATGGTTTCCGTAGAGTTTGTTCTTTCTTAATTTTTACACCATCTTTTAAAGAATGGGAAATGGGAATGAACAATGCATGTCAAAAATATTTTTTTTTGCATTCAAGTTACAATTAGTTGTAAAAGGCGCCAACAAGAACCTTGTATCTATTCTGTTTGTATATCCGATCATAACTCATGAACCCCTTAACCGATTCGCCTCACATCTTGATTGGGGAACTCGGGAGAACCACGGGAATGTTCTTAGCTTGGTTATAAGTTCTAAGATAAGTAGGTTGATCTCTATAGGAAAAAATCTAGGCAAAGCTAGTTTAAAATAGTTAATTACTTATTTATTCAATACCTGTTTCCGTCTGAGTCTATAAGTTTTGCTTCTAGGGCGAGATTGTAAAGTCCTGGCTGAGGGAAGGGAGTCAGAAACTGAACTGCAAAGAAATCGTTCTGAATATCCGCACTTTGTTCAGCTGATGATCCGGATTCGGATTTTTCTACAGATTTTTCTGATTTTCCGGATTGCAGAATGGACTGCAAGTGGACGACAACCTGGCTCACCTAGTAATACAATAAAAACTTGTTAATTCATTTTTATTTTTTAGTATTTTTTAGTTTCTAAGTAGTTTAAAATTATTTAAGTAATATGCAAGAAACCTAATTTCAAACGCAGAAAAGGTAAACTATGATTTGTAAGTTCATCGATATGCAGTTCATATTAGATCGGTTGACGGTTATAGCTAGCTTTAAATTGCGATTTTCGGAACTAATCATTTTAGAAAATTGTTTAAGGCTTTAATATAAAAATTTGCATGCAGAAAATAGCATTAAAGCTTTGAGATAATCCAATATGATAAGGGATGCTCGGTGCTAGGGATTAAAATCGTTGCAAAACTTCCACTTAATTTTTAAAAACTGTCTATTAACAAACATTGTCAAACAAAAACTGAAAAGCAGAATTTTTGTTATTTTTGTTTAAAGATATGACTCGAAGTTTAGCAAAACATTTACAATATTGTCAATAGTCATTAACTTAAATAATCAGCACTCACCTTTCTGGATTGTTTGTTTTCAATCCCTGATCGTTCTATAACTCCCTCGACCTTGATTGCTAGCAGCTGGGACGTGTTGACCTGCACAGGTTCTCCAGCTGCACGACTCTGCGGGGTCACTGATATCTTCAATCTCGTCTCCTGCAGGGACTGGTAGAAAAATCTAGAAACAAATATTTTCATGAATGTTTATAAAAAAGGCTTACGGAGAAAAATAAACGTTTTTGATCGCTACTAATCTTACTTTTATCTGTTGCGTCTATAAGGAGAACGACTCATGCTGAAGAACGTAGCGTCCATACAAATTGAGAAAGTTGCAACATTCCAAACAAATCATTCAGATATTACAACGGTATAACAATCATTCGTATATAATTGATATTTCATAATATTTTTTTTTTATGATCTGAGAGTTACTTTTAAAACATTTATTTCTCTTTCGAGGATTTTTAATAATGAAGACGACATTTTCATATTTACCAGTGAAAAATCATTTTTAAAAAAATCAAAAATATTATGAAATATTAACTAGATACGAATGCGTCGAAAAATAAAAGATGACTATTGTTTGTAATATCTGAATGATTTGTTTGGAATTAAATTGATTTTTTACGATCCGATTTGGAGTTCAATGTTGAAACTCTCTGAATTTGTATGGACGCTACGTTCTTCAGCATGAGTCGTTTTTAACAATTTTCTCCTTATAGACGAAGCAGATAGAAGTGAAATTAGTAGCGTTTAAAAACGCTCATTTTTCGCCGTAAGCCTGTACCCGCTTTCATTTTTTCGCGAACACTCCCTTTAAGGATTGTTTTTGACTGGTTAAGATTAAAGAATGTCTCCTGATATTTTATGAAAATACACCAATAAAAACAGAAAAACCTTTTATATTGTTTTCTCTTGAAAGACTAAAGAATAAATCATTTATATATAGAAACAAAACAGCCCTGGAAGCGTAGTAAATATAAATTTCTGAAACATAGATACCTGGGGTAGGGTAGAGGATAGGAGTTAATAGCTCTAATAGCTGAGAATATACAGGAGGTGTGATGATGGGAGATAGGACGTGTATCTGGACGCTCAGATAAACTTTTAAATTCAGATCCGATATTCTGAAAAAAATATATAAAAATAGACCAAGCTTGAAGATATAATGGAGCCCCCCCCACCCCTCCCCCGGTTCACCTTTTAGATAAAACAAAAGAAAAGAAAAATCACTCCTTAACTACCTTAGCATAAGAGTAAAGTGTAATTTTAAGTGATCTTCAATTTAAAATGAAACATCCACAATTCACAACGGAACCCTTCAAACCTTTGACTGATCTTAAAGGAATCAGGAAAAGTTTGTAATCCTTGATCAGTCAAAGGTTTAAAGGATGCCGTTGTAAATTGGGTAAATTGGCTTGAAATTATGCTTACAGTTTCTCTAAGTGTAAAAATTAACACCCCTAAATCCCGGAAACATAAAAATTAACCCTTGGCTACCATAAAAATAGAACTATACAATAAAACAATACAATTAACCCCCTCCTAACTACTTTAAACATAGTATCCGTGTAGATAGAACCCTAAAGAAACAAAGTCTTTTATCATTCACCACTGTTGAAACCCTTTCTCACGAAATTATCCAGAGCTGGAAACTTTTCAGATGGATCCCCAATATGCTGATCGATTGATATTGATATCCGAAGCGGTCACTTTTAAATTTTACGCAGAATCTGCTTGGTCTCTAGATTTGGATATTTTTCTGTTCTCTCATTGGTTGAAGAGAAAATTTCCTGGCTTCTGATTGGTTGTACGTTTTCTATCACGGGATATCGACTAAAGACTCTGTAGATTAACAAAAGATCGAGATGAAGTATTGATCTTAATATCCACAGAGTTTCCACCTCTGGAGGGGTCGGCAGGAGGGAGGTTAAAAGAGTGCCAAGAAAGCGACGAGGATAACAAGTCAGGATTTTATAATCGAGAGATAAAGGATAAAGAAGGAAAAGTAACCTGTAAACTAGATTTTAAACAAACTATCTCGATCCACATTGCCAGGTTGCTGACCATCTTCTGCAGGACGAGTAGCTGTGACAGACTGGCAGGGTCAGCGTCAAACGAGCTCTCAGCTAAACCGTTCATATCTCTAAACTGAATGGAAAAAGAGAGGGGGAAGGGGGTGAGCCTGTTCGGGGGGAATGTCAGTCCCAAAATAATATTGTAACAATGAGTTCAATCCAAAAAAAAGTTTTTAAAAGCAATTTTTTAAAAATCTATAACCTTGAATGTTCACTAAAACACATAAAAAAAATAACTTTAAGAGAAGAGGATCAGCATTCAGCAAGAAGAGGTGATAATTGATGAATGATGACCTAACTCTAGATTATATTGTCAGATGAATCGGACAATTGATACAGTAATTAAATTCAAAAAATTTAAGATTTGAAGTTCCTAATGTTGTCCAGGCTTGTGCACAGGTTTGCAGGTCTTTTACAACTTTACGTAACTGTCCTAAATCAATCAATCAACTAATAATCAATTATCACAAATCAGCCATTTGTCAACCCGTTAATCGATCAATTAAAGAATAAGTCAATCAAAACATCCATTATTAATCTGAAAATATTTTTGCCTTTCAATTAATAAAAATGTTAATGCCATTAAATCAAAATTTACTTTAAAGTTTGAAACGGAGCCAGGACATGTTGAACTTCAATTTGAAATCAACCAAGCAAAATTGATGTAGATTTGTAATTTGTAAAAAAGTGATTGGTACCTGTGACTCGACCGCAACGCTGTAGATCATCACGTGACTGCGCAGCTAATGCCGCGGCTATGGCTGGTGGCGGAGAAGTCTGTAAACTGGTTGCTGCTGCTGTCAGCTGTGTCAGCACCTAAGCAAAACAAAACGGTTATAAATAATTTTTAAGGTATCTGTCGGAATTAGATTTTCTTAATGGAACTCTCATGACGACAAATAAGTAGCCTCTTTGGTGAGGTATCTACAAAGAAGCAAGGACAACTATAAAAAATGGACTCCCATAAAGTTTATTCTAACCATAACCAGCTAACACTCCAGTTTCAAAGATTAATGTAAGCAAACTAAGACTGTAACGCATAATATGAATAAGCTTTTTTACATTTATGTGGGAGAAACGTAAATATTACGGTACACACAGTACAAAGAAGAATGTATGGAACATACTGTTGACTAACCTGAAGATAATGTATTCTACACTTGATAAAATCCTGTTGGAAGCGCATTGGTTGCTGGACCGAGCTACCTGCGCGTAGGCAGGTCAACCCACGCTGGAACATCGTAGCAGCCTAATAACAAGATTAAATTTTCTTATAATCTTTAATGATTTTACAGATAAAAAACCTTTTTCTTTGAATATTTATTCAATCCATATATTAGGATGAATCCCCCTTCAATATAGTCTTTTAATGGAATTTTAACATATTTGGCAAAGGGAGAAACAAGTTTATAGTTTACAAATACAGGGAACCATGCGCGCAAGAAAAATAACCGAGGAAATTCCATACAGTCGTCTCTGCAGTCACATCCTTTAAGGGTAACCCTATAAAAAGTAAGCAAGTAAATGCAGATATTTTTTTTGGAATAATCTTTTGAAAAAAATGACAACAACTAGTGTCAGGGTTATTTTCTTCCTGTAAGCATATGATTGATTTTTTTTCTCTCGAAGGAGCGGAATGCAGAGTGCGGATTGCATTTTCATAGATTCGATGAGGTTGGAGATTAAAAACTACCTTTTTGTCATTAATAGGTTAAGGTAAAAAAGAGAAAAATGTTACCGAAACTAGTTTCTCCTGGAGGGGTGTATTCTCCTTCCTAGCCAGTATTTCCTCTCCCCTAGAGAAAAACTCTAGGCTCTGGAGCCAGTAGTTAAAATTCTCTGTCCAAACCTTCTCCTTCAGCTCAGAGAACAGGAATCGACTCTGCTGGTGTTCTCCATATCTAGAAATTTAATAATTTAAGACATAACCCAATGTCATTAAGGTAAAGCCCATATTGTATGTATCTTTAATTCTTGAAACACTTTCAACAACTTTTTATAAAAGAAACACATTTTTTAATCCAAAAATAAATTGAAGAAAATTCATCCTTTTCAAATGTTTTTTTTCAGATCTGATTTTCTTTTTACTTTAAAATAGACATAAATTAACTCAAGGTTACACTTATTTAAGTAAAATAAAATATATGAAAGTTCCAGGACCTAGAAGCTGCTCTACCGACTCTATATTTGCTCCAGTTATCAAGTAGTTGTGCTCCAGATCTAAATGTTTGCTCTATGTCCTGACTCCAGGTGTGTCCACGGACTGTCTGAAGGAGGATTGTAAGAAGGAGAACTAGGATCTTGTTCCGTTCTGCTGGATTTTCATCCCTGGAACATAAATTATTAGGCCTGAAATAATCCAGTTGTTTGAAACATGATTTCCAGTTATGATTTTATTCAGAAGTAGCTTGGGCACCAAGCGTTGCCCAGGGTACTCATAGTTAATCCCGCCGTTTACCCGTGCATGGGCGTAAATTACGGTTTTAAATATTTTCCTACCGTGTTCCCCAAATCAATTTAAGGCAATCAGTCAAGTGGTTCATGTGTTATAATGTGTCTGATTAATCCATTTAATGATCTAATAATTGAAATACAATAAATAAGAATGATGATCTCCCATCTCAAGCTCAAGGACTCCCAGTGAGGAAGAGGATAGATAGGATTCAGAAAAAGATTGAATTTAGTTTTCAAAGCTTTAACTTGTTTTAACACTTTAGTTTAGTTTAGTTTTAAACTCAGCTTTGTTTTTACCTACTTTACATAAAGTTTTCTAATTTAATTAAACTATAAAAACACAATTTAAAACTTAGTTGTGAAAAACTTGATTACTTTTCAAAACTAAAGTTATGTTTAATCTTGAGTATTTCAGCTCTGCCTCTCCAAGATAATGGATTGTATTAAATAGAAATCCTACCTAGAGTTATCGATCTCTGCTTCTCTCTCCATATAGTATATTGTATTAAATAGAAATCCTACCTAGAGTTATCCATCTCTGCTCCTTTCTCCATAATAGTATATTGTATTAAATAGAAATCCTACCTAGAGTTATCCATCTCTGCTTCTCTCTCCATAATAGTATATTGTATTAAATAGAAATCCTACCTAGAGTTATCCATCTCTGCTTCTCTCTCCATAATAGTATTTTGTATTAAATAGATATCCTACCTAGAGTAATCCATCTCTGCGTCTCTCTCCAAGATAATGGATTGTATTAAATAGAAATCCTACCTAGAGTTATCCATCTCTGCTCCTCTCTCCATAATAGTAGATTGTATTAAATAAAAATCCTACCTAGAGTAATCCATCTCTGCGTCTCTCTCCAAGATAATGGATTGTATTAAATAGAAATCCTACCTAAAGTTATCCATTTCTGCTCCTCTCTCCATAATAGCATATTGTATTAAATAAAAATCCTACCTAGAGTAATCCATCTCTGCTTCTCTCTCCAAGATAATGGATTGGATAATTGAACAAATATCAGGAACAAGAGGAGAAAGCACGCTCTGAAAAGAGATACACTGATAGTCGCAATTCTGGCTAAATGCTTTTTCGAAAAGGTATTAAGAACTGTTTTAATTTAGAAATCTAATTTTGTAGCAGACTTTTCTAGATTGATTCTCATTGGAGGAAAAAAGATATTGAATCAATCGTAAACAATATCTGGTACATACGCATACACGTGTGTTCTTTAGCAAATCAAAGTTTCTAATATTATTTCTCAATGTCTTGCATGTGCTTGGGAATCTTGGGAATGATAATCTACCTGTTTCATGCCTGCTAGTGCAGCTAAAGTTTGACACACTGATAGCATACCAATACTATCCTTGTATTTAGAATCCAGCATACCACCAAGTATATCAACAAACTCCCCTAAAATGACAATCTGAATGCTGGTTGAATTTATGGAGCAGTGTAAAAACAAGCAATTAAAAAGATATTATTTATTTTAGATTTGGAAACCGATTCATCCAAAGTTTTTTTTTTATTTCTTACGGCAAAATTAATTTAACAATGGCAAAATAAACTTTTACCCATTCCAACTTATGATACAAGATCATTTGTGCCTGTCTACACAAAAAAAATCTTTCCCCCCCGGGGGGGGGGGGGGAAGATTTTTGAAGATATGGAAAACCGAAATAATGAAATTTATATCACCTCTTTATGACCTGATTATGATATTTGTTCTCAAAAATATTTTCGCAATTCAGAAATAAAAACCCTGAAAGCCGATCTGTTAGAAGGGGGCGGGGGGGATGATTTTTCAACAAATAAATGCCCCTGGTGTATTGTGTTTGTTTTCGCTGTACCTGTATATTCTGGTTTTGTACTGCAGAGTAAAATAACACACTTGAGTGCTGTCTTCAGAAAAGTGATGTAATGCTGGACTTCGCCTGCCCCACTGGATACCAGTAAACATAAGGATTCAATGCCCTACAATCAATCAATCAATCAATCAATCAATCAATCTTTCTATCAATCAATAAATTCAAAATCTGTTGATGAATAACGAATTTAAACAAGCATACAGTTTAACAATCACTATTAGTTGATTGACTGCTCAATCAATCATCAAACAAAACATCAATCGATCAATCGATCAATTTACCAATAAGCCTATTAGGAATCCATCCAATTAATGAACTAATCGTCCAAAATAATAGCTAACTAACTTAACAAACTGCACTTGCATCCAACAAAACAGATCAAAAACCTTACTAATTAAACAATGCAAACATCCGAAACCAAGACCTGTGCTGGATATCCCCTGTTCACCTGCATAGCTTTTGTAACAATATCCAGATCTGTGCTGGATATCCCCTGTTCACCTGCATAGCTTTTGTAACAATATCCAGATCTGTGCTGGATATCCCCTGTTCACCTGCATAGCTTTTGTAACAATATCCAGATCTGTGCTGGATATCCCCTGTTTACCTGTATAGCTTCTGTAACAATATCCAGATCTGTGCTGGATATCCCTTGTTTACCTGTATAGCTTTTGTAAAAATATCCAGATCTGTGCTGGATATCCCCTGTTAAACTGTATATAGCTTCTGTAACAATATCCAGATCTGTGCTGGATATCCCCTGTTTACCTGTATAGCTTCTGTAGCAATATCCAGATCTGTGCTAGATATCCCCTGTTTACCTGTATAGCTTCTGTAACAATATCCAGATCTGTGCTAGATATCCCCTGTTTACCTGTATAGCTTCTGTAACAATATCCAGATCTGTGCTGGATATCCCCTGTTTACCTGTATAGCTTCTGTAGCAATATCCAGATCTGTGCTAGATATCCCCTGTTTACCTGTATAGCTTCTGTAACAATATCCAGATCTGTGCTGGATATCCCCTGTTTACCTGTATAGCTTCTGTAACAATATCCAAATCAGGATTGGATATCCCCTCCTTACAACAACTTACTGCCAACTAATAAATATGAGATTTATAATCTTTAGTTTAAAGTTTAAAAAAATTTTAAGTGAAAACAAATCTTTTGTAAAAAGTATCGTTAAAGGAAAACTTTAAAGTTAAAGTTTTTAAAAGTTTAAAAACAATTTTTCTTCCTCTTGAAATAAAAACTAGAAGACAGATAAATGAATTACGGTATTCAAGTTAAACCCAGGTTTGATTAAAAATACCCTCCACTTATTTAATGAGTAGGAATTAGCAGTTGAAATGAATCCTATTTACCCTCGGGAGATCACAATAGAAATAGTTTAACCCAGTACTTCGGAGATATAGAAGGAAATTATAAAATGTCGTATTCTTAACTTACTGACAATGGAATTAAGGCAGCAGATATTTCGTCTTTGATTGAAATGGAGCTCTTTAAAACTGTTGGTGTTCCCGCATATTACATGGCTATTTGATTATTAGCACTTAAGTTTTGTAAATTCTCTCGACGATTCCGAAGTACTGGGTTAAACTGTGTCTAAAACTAGTTAAACTTCTTCTCGGTGATTCCGAACTGAGGTCCAATACCTGTGTGAGAAGATGTGTGGAGGCCGAGGCTACGGCGAGGTCAGGAGAATAGCAGAATGTCTGGCAGAGGTTGCTGATTGAGGATCCTGGTCCTAACTCTAACAAATATACTCCTCCAGCCTCTGAAATTCAAAATTAAATCTTAAAAAACTATTTTCAATTTTTTTTTATTTAATTGTGTTCAGAAAATGATCCGACAAAATTACACATTTGAAAGGTTTCTGAATACCAATTATTTTATATAATCTACTGTTGACTTAATCAAAAATTTTCCTTCTTATTTTCTAGGAGTTTTTTTCTTCCAAAACCCGATTTTCCATTGATCATGGGATGGTTAACCATGAATCTCCCATTGGTCAACCATTAAGAATTTTATTTCCAAGTTTTAATTTGCGGATTCGATGGATTTGATAAATGTTACCTATTAGTTTACGGAGAATATTAATTGCAGAAACTTTAAGATCATCCTTGTTCAATTTGTTCACAAACTCTATCAAAGCTTCCACGTTCTCCCTGCAGAAAATGTGTGGTTCATAAGTTTAATTTTATTTGGTTTATGTTCATGGAATATGAAATATGTTATTCTGGAATCTTCAAAATGTGGTTCAGGAATGCGTTAGTATGTGGTTAATGGAAGCTTTAATATGTGGTTAATGGAAGCTTTGGTATGTGGTTAATGGAAGCTTTAGTATGTGGTTAATGGAAGCTGTAGTCTGTGGTTAACGGAAGCTTTAGTATGTGGTTAATGGAAGCTTTAGTATGTGGTTAATGGAAGCTTTAGTATGTGATTGATGGAATTTTGAACATTCTTTACAACGTAGATTGTAAAGATAAGGGGTGGGCTTTAGTAGGGGTTTGTTGGAAGTATTGCCCCCCCCCCCCCCTCCTTACCTTGACCAAAGATGAGCAGTATCCTCCCCGGCTAGCAGATTAAGATCGGATAAAACACCATCCTGTTTTACAAACAGAATATGTAAAAATTGTAAACAATAACAGTATGGAAAAATGGAAAGTGGAAAAATAAATTAATTCATGAATTTAGATTTTTTAAATGAGAGAAAAAAGTAAACAAACCAATACATTTTGGTACCTCACCAAAAAATGGGGGTTTAATATAAGATTAAGGAAAGAGTAAAGAAAGACGATGGAATAATAAATGAGTGAATGGAGGCATAAAATCAAAAACTATTATAAATCTAAGGATGGATAAGAAAGAAGAATGAAAAAATGAATGGGTGAATGAGCGAATGGGTTAATGAAAGGATGGAATAATGAAAGCATGGAATACTGAAAGGATGGAATAACGAAAGGATGGAATAATGAAAGAAAGGATGGAATAATGAAAGGATGGAATAATGAAAGAAAGGATGGAATAACGAAAGGATGGAATAATGAAAGGATGGAATAATGAAAAAAGGATGGAATAATGAAAGGATGGAATAATTAAAGGATGGAATAGTGAAAGGATAAAAGAGAAAATGGATGAATAAAATAATAAAAGAAAGAAAAAAAAGAACAAAGGAAGAAACATAATAAAAAAGGAAGAAGTAAATAAATAAATAATAAAAAAAAAGAACCTGTACTCCACGCCTTGGATCCCTACTCAAACACTCCAGAAGAAGACTGACCTAAACATAAATTGTTAAAACAATTTTCAGAAAAATTATTATTCATAAAGGACTTACTAAACGTAGGGACGTGATTAAGTGTTTGTATTATTGTTTTGAATTACGATTAACCCCCTCCCCCTCTCCAAGATTTAGAAGCAAATGAGAAATTCACCTTTTAACAGGCAATAGACCTTGATAATAAACTGGATATAGACTTATTGATGTATCGTTTTATTTGTATGCGTGAGCTTGTGCCCACACCCCTTAACCAAAATAAATTATTAAAGTTAAAAAACTTTTAACTGGAAATTTATCCCCTATTCTTTGCAATTTTTACAGGGGTGTGTATTTTCCTAAAAAATAATTTGCTCTCCCCCGCCCCCCCCTTCTTCTGAAAATCATTTTCCCCCCAGAAGATAGGTATGTTTTTAAGGGTTTTATTGGCTTAATTGAATGAATTATTTTTCAAGAAATAAAAAAAAATTTGGGTAAGAAGTATTAAAAAAGTATTATAAAACTTAATTTTTTTCCTCTCAGATCACTGAAATTGTTTATTAATCTCAAATTTATTGATAATCCCCATGAAATAAAAATAATATATCCTTAAAAACTTTCTCTTGACCCGATACTGGGTAAGTATGTAAAAATGTCTAGACCTGGTCTGGTATATGGATGAATGTATGTTGTGAGAGTGAAGTGAGGGTCTGTAGGATGACCAGCATAAACTGATGCCCGGGATAGCTGGGCAGAAGTTCTACCATGCACCATTCAATATTTTAAATTAAAGGGACTGTTCTAAGTTTTTTATTCGCTAGATTGTGAATAACATTTTTGCTGGATTTGAACAGATAATCTGAGGATAAAAAATACATTTAAGATCCTTTTATCATCAAAACCTTCCAAGAATGAAAAAAATAGGGGAAAAATTAAAACCAAAACTCCAAGTTAATTGTAAATCAAACATAGCGGTTTGTGAATTAATACTGAAAATAAGAAAAAATATAAAATAAAATCAGAAAAAGACAAAATAAAAAAAATTAAAGAAATGTTTGAAAATAAATGTTGCCTAGACAAGCTGCTCTAACCAGAGTAGCGGTGTTGGCATCATGATGCATATGCTCTAACACTGGGATTATCTTAAGCTTCACCTTAATAAATCAATCAATCAATCAACAACCCGTGAATCAATCAATCAAGAAATTAATCAATTAAACGAATTAATTAGTGCTCTAATCAACTAATCACCCAGTTAATTCACCAATCAAACAATCAATTAATCAGTAAACCAACCAATCAATCTTTTGATCAAATCTATTTATCAATAATTCTGTTCAGTAAATTTTTATATTTTGATTAAACCTAATAACCAATTAATAAAACTATTAATATGTTAGTTGGTTCATCAATCAATCAAATAGCCAAGTAATCTTTAAAATAATCATTAGGATGGTAATTAGCACCTTCCTTACCAGTTTACTTTTTGATAAACGCTCTCAACAAAACAACGAAACCAAATTATGAAAAACAAAGAGAATATATTATATAGAATTTCTTGCCATCAACTCAATTAATTTTATTTGTTTAATTTTGGTCCTGAATTACCGGGAGAGGGGTGGCGTATCCTTGAATCATTTCTAATAGTTTAGGACACATATCCACAGAAAAGGTTCTACTACGCGCTGAAAATCTAAAAAGTTTTTAAAAAATTACTTAACAATGCGACAATGCTAACAACTATTTGGAAAGATGGTTTTAAAATTGGACTTTGAAAATTGCAAGCTTTATTTTATGACAGTTTTTTTTTCTTCGAATTTATCACTTTTTTACTGTAATTATTTCCTTCTTCATTTTAATCCTTTTAAGTCTTCAAAGGGTTAAATTTTTAAGGTGTCTTGAGAACTAAGTACTTGTGATCACATTTAACGAAATACCTTTCTGCAGCAAATATTGCTGCTTCTACTTCTACAGAGTCCTGGCTGTCCAGACTACTCCGTACCTAATATATATATCGGTAAAAGGATTATTCATAAACATTAATAGATCGATGAAGAGATCAGTAAAAGTTATTGTGCATAAACCTTATCATTATATTAATAAAGAGAATAGTAAAAGGTATTGTGCGTAAACCTAATCATTATATTAATAAAGAGAATAGTAAAGGTATTGTGCGTTGAACCTAATCATTATATTAATAAAGAGAATAACCTAATCATTATATTAATAAAGAGAATAGTAAAGGTATTGTGCGTAAACCTAATCATTAGATTAATAAAGAGAATAGTAAAGGTATTGTGCGTAAACCTAATCATTATATTAATAAAGAGAATAGTAAAGGTATTGTGCGTGAACCTAATCAATATATTAATAAAGAGAATATTAAAGGTATTGTGCGTGAACCTAATCATTATATTAAATAAATCCTCTTTGTATTTTTTCTGGTATTTAGGCGTTTATATAATCGATCAATAAATACCTTGTGGTGTACTTGCTTCCTATCAAAAAGTATTCCTGCCAGAGCTCCAAGCGTTCTTATTAACACAAATATTTTAAAATTCCCCCAGGGGGTGGATTATATGTTTTAAAAAATAATCTCTCCTCCCCCTATTAAAAATCGTATTTCCCCAGAAGTTTTTGTTTTAAAGTTTTTTTCGCAGATTTAAGGAAAATAAATCATTTTAATGCGAAAACAAATAAAAGTTTGTGTAAAAAAAATCAAAAAGGAAGCAAAAACTTCCATTTCAATGTCCAACTTTTCATTTTACCCCCAACAGAACTTACATCTCTGATTCTCCCCGATCATCATAAACATTATAAAAAAAATACTTGTTTTACTTGATGAAATAGTGTGACGTGAGGAAATTAAACTAGTGCCGGCTCAGTCAAATAATTCTCCTGATTTGGGTTAAAAAATTATCTCTGCAGCAGAGCAATAGTTAATCTAGACATAGATAGTTTAGCTCAAAGTGTCAAATATAACAAGGAAAATGAAATTTTCTCCCATTAATTTTGACATGTTTTCTAAGATTAAATAAAAAAGTGTAAAAACAGAAAATAAAGAACACATAAAATTGCACTTATTTTACTGTAAGATAAGCACTTTATTCTAAAATTAACAATATTATTAATAGTTTTGATTTGTCGGACACAAAAACTAAATTGACACTTGTGACGTCAAAATACAGCTGTACTGAGAGTGTAAAAATTCTACGTTGCCATTTTTTACTAGAATCTATTTGGTTTAGCTATAATAATAATAATCATAACAAGATCTGAAAGGGAACCCAGCATGGAACCCTCGGATCGCCCTCAAGGTGTAACACATCTTCATGCGGCCTGGAATCCATCCAGAACAGAATGTAACGCTTGCACATTATAGTGATACATCCCGGTGGCTGGCAGTCGAAATGCCTTTATCTCTTTTGTTCATGAATTCCCAACTCAAGACGAGTGTAAAAATATTTCTTTCCTAAGTGTAAGTGCTCGTGCAACCGGGTCATTGCTGTTCATAACAGTGATTATTCGTCGCACCAACTCATCAACACTTGTAACCTAACAATATATATTATACAAGATATCAGAAGACCAGAGGTCGAATTTAAAGAAATTAAACCGCGCAACTGATCCGCCAAAAACCGGTTCCAATTAAGCTCCGGCTCAAATTCTTTAAATAAACTCTACACCATCAATCCATCAATAATCAATTTTCCCGTTGGCAAATGGAGAAATCATAGGGAGATAGGGCGGGGAGACGCCCCCCATATTATCTCAATTTCAGAAAATGTATCTTAAGTTTGAGTTGAAGCTTAGTCAGCACTGTATTAACCTTCAATCAGCTTGTCAAGTCAGGTATTCTTGAGTTAGACAACAAAACTAAAAACTAATACAATGGAGTAGAGTGTGCCAATTAATATATATTGATCAAATAAAATGAGCAAAGGCTATAAAATGGATGATGTCTTTGACATATAAAGGTAAAAAATTAAAAGTCGCTTTTTTTNCATATATTGATCAAATAAAATGAGAAAAGGCTATAAAATGGATGATGCCCTTTGACATATAAAGGGTATCCAGATAATAATTACCCCTTGTACCTTGTCTAAGTGGCGTTCACTCTGTTGGCAGACCCTCAGCACACACAGTTTCAAGAAATTAGACCCTTGTCTGAACACTTCGGCTAACTGTGTACATAGATGTATATTATCATCCATTTACGTACAATGAACTTTACAATGTACATAGTATTTGAAGTTTTGTGTTGTAACTGGCACAAAATTCTTCACATCTGTCAATTTTTAAGATACGAAAAAAGGCGAAAATATCTATTTCGGGTAAATCTACGCGCAGAACAAAAACCTTGTTGGCTGAATATTATTAAACGCTTGAGACAATTCTAGAATTCGTCACTCTCTTCTCATGTTTATTGAGACACCCTGTAGTTTTATAAAAAAAAGGATCTGTAGATTCAAGATGAACTAAATAATCTACACCCCTTAAGCAGTGCTGTATTGATTAGAACAGGGAACGGATATTTCTCAAAAAGTCTCGGGAACTTGACGATAGCTTCACTTTGTTCTCCAGGGCGTTGAGATCTTAATCCTGAACACACAATTTAATAATAAGAAATCTGCCAAATAAAGCTTTCATGTTCCTTCTACGATTTAAAAGTTAAGAAGTAAACATCAACGATAATTATGATTCTCTTTTGTTTCCAAAATATGGAAAGGGAATTATGTTAACAAACTTCTGATTCTGATAGTGATAGCATTTAGCCACACGAAATCAATATTCAATATAAACAGTGTTCACTTATAAATTGAAATCTTCAACTTTAATTTCGAGGATGTCCGGAAATACATAAGATAAGTTACAAATAATTCTAATGAGTGTTGATTTTTAGACTAACTTAGATTAAATCAGGGGCTGGAAGCTGACTGGGCGGGTTGGGAACTGATAAGAGTAGTTTTGACATCTGAAAGGTATTGGCACATAATCTGATTTATAGTTTTTAATCTATACAACTACCCCACTACATTTAGCTACTCCTAGCTAATGATGGTTTGTTTTTTGCCTATATTTTTTTTAAGGTTAAATTTGATATCGTGCAAGAAGTGAAATAAAATTGTATATTCTAAACATTTGCCTTTCTTACAATATGCCGAATGTTTACTCTGATAGTAAATATATGCAAAAAAAGAACGTGTCATAACGATTATTTTTGGGTTGTTTTTCCATTTTTTAAAAGAATAAATTCATATTGCATATTTAATAAGAGCAAACTTTAACCGAATAATTTTAAAATCCTGCAAGTTTCATTAAAAATTTAAAAAACGCCAAACCGATTAAATAACACTATACTCCTTAGCTACCAACCTTTATCTAGTTCCGTAAGTGCTGCACTGGAACCCTGTTCGGAATCATGAAATGCGGGAAATGATCCCGGATATCCCATATCCAGAGTCAGCGCCATTTTAATTCAAATCTGAAATAGGCCTCTATAGAACTTGGTAAAGTGTATATATTTATAACATTTAAATCTGAAAACAATTTGTCTGCACATACTTAAAGTTAAGATACTAATTCGATTTATAATATTTGATTTTAGTATAATGTTAATCAATAAATGCGTACGCTAAAAATACATATGTACAATTTGAGTGGTACAAACTGTAAATTGTACAGTTAAATAACAAATTAAATCATATTGTTTGAGATTGTTTTTAAAGATGAATTTGTTTTTAAATGTCGAGGTAGCATCGAACGTCTCATTTTTATCACAAATGTAGTTAAACTGAACATTTTAGTTTTATGATGGCCCTCATTTATTGTGATTTTAGTCTTCAGTGATCATTTTCTTTTCTTAAATTGTTACATCCCTAAAAAATGCATAGGCGCAGAATTTCTTCTGGAATCTTGGGGCTTAGGTATTCCTCTCAGATCGTTCTGCAAATCTACTCATCTAGCATCGATGAAACAAAACCTCAGTAATTTAAATATTTAATTAATTTTTCTCAGGATTAGATGTTGACTTCATGACAGTTGAATACCAGACATTAATACATAAAATGGCCATCATGGAGTTTCTCGAGAAAAAATGTATGAAAAAAATTAACAATTCAATCCTGTTAAACATTGGTTTTCCTTGTGGATGTTGTTTATTTCCTAAATCAATAACTAAAAGAAAATTACTTTTAAATAATTTTAAATTATTAAAATTAAAAAAACCAAAAAAACCTATTAAAAACTTGCATACATCTTCTATATATAAATTTGGCTTGTCTGTCTGTCTGTTTGTTTGTTTGTTTGTTTGTATCCAATAAACGTCAAAACGGATGAACCGATCGGGCCCAAATTTTTTGTGGGACATCTAGGGACTCCAGGGAAGGTTTATGAATCATCAAAATTTCAAATATTTGTCTCCATCAAAATTCGCGAAATTTTTTGTGAAAATCCGCGAATTATTTTTGTTTTGTTTTACGATGTACACAAAGAGAACATGTTCACAACTAATTTAGAAGATGGGCGCGAAGCGCCCTCTAAGGCTAGAAAGAAGGGCGCGAAGCGCCTTGAATTTCTAGTTTTTAATATTACGAATGGGATAAAAAAAAACTTGAAAGGGCGAACTAGTCGCCTTTAATTGATCTTCTAGGATTTTAACTTGTCTTGATTAATCTTCCTCCTTTTTTCCTTGGGCTCCGGTGACGACTTTTTGCTAGTTGTCGACGTGGACTGATTTGTCTCTTGATCAGACTCATCCGACGTGTCCGACTTGCAGTCTGAGTCCGAGTCCACCATAGCACGGTTTCGTCCCATCTAAATATTTATTTATTTTGGGATTGAAATTCTAAATATCTATTCAATACAAGAGTGTCATCAACGACTTACAACAATACGCTCAACATATACTCAAATATTTTTTCAATATTCCTTCTGGAATTCAAAAAATGTCATGTTCTTGCTTTAAAAATCTACCCGGGTAGCTTTCTAGCCATTTGCCAGTGGGAGGGGAGGGAGGGGTATTAACAATTTTATGACTTGAAGGAACTGATTACTTTTCCCATAATTTTTTTTATCATAATGTCTTTGAAACCTTAAGAGTGAAGTCGTAACCCTTTGATATTAGAAGTCAATAATTCTTCTAGATTAATCTAGAAATTCAGACTTTGAGGCGAATATTAAGTTATTATTTCACTAAAGTTTATTTCAGGAAGAAACTAGAAACCCTGTGTAAGAAAAAAAATATCTTACTTTTTCCTCAACTGACTCCTCCGATGGGACCACCTCCGATACGGAAGAACTAACGGAAGGATTGACGGAAGATGTTGAAGGATTTGTAGGGCTAGCAGATTCAGAGGTTGGCACCACGAGATTATCAGGTTCAATCTGCTGAATCCGTTTTACTCTCGGCTATGTAAATTCAAAAGATTTTTGATTTTGGAAAAAAGAAAAGGTACGTATATATTATTATTATTAGCAGACAACCCATTATAGACGATAGATAGATAAGTAAATCAATAAAACAATAAAACAATAAAACAATAAAACAATGAATCAATAAATCCGTGAATCCGTGAATTATTTGTCCATGCTTTTTTACTTTGCTTTTTTCTTAAGATACCTTTTTGTGTCCGTGTATTTTCTCCCACATAGTCGGTACACGAGTCAAATCGAAATCACAATCTACACGGGCAACTGCAGTCTTACGATCCTAATACACAAATTGTTTATTCAAAATATTGGAAAAATGTTCAAATTACCTAATTTTTAATTAATAATTATCATGTCAGACAACAATTGTTAACTAGATCGCTCAAAACAAAGAAAATCCTTTATTCCTTGCCTGAATTTTATCTTACCATGAGCGTAGAAAAAGCTTGAAAATTGAACGTTATTTTTTACAATTTCCCCAACATATAAAAGCTGTGAAAATTTATCGAAATAAAGGAAAATTAAACAAAAACTTACCAATTCTGAGTCTAAGTAGAGATCATCAGGACTATGGTGAAGGTTGTGATTGTCGTACGCTTTCTTGTTGTAAAACAATGCGTCACACAACATACACTGAATAATAAAGCGTCAGCTCCACTGGTAATTTCAGGAGATGTAATAAAGAGAGGAAATATTAAAAGTGTAATTTAAAGAAGTTAAGTTCTTCTTTAAACAGTTTGAGACCTAAAACTAAAAAAAATAGCTCAACAAGAATTGTATACATAAAAAAAATAGTCATAAACCTTGACAAGCTGTTGAGCCGGTTTATCCCTATCCTCTGCACTGTGATGTTGTTCTAGATGCTTTTGTAGATTAAACTTGACAATATATTCATTTCCTAGAATACAAAATAATATGTTCTAGATTCTTCTGTAGATTAAATTTGACAATATATTCATTTCCTAGAATACAGCAAAATATGCTCTAGATGCTTTTGTAGATTAAACTTTACAATATATTCAATATTCATTTCCTAGAATACAACATAATATGTTCTAGATTCTAACATCAAAAAGCAACAATTTTTTACATCATTTTTGATACTAATCCAAAAATAAGTTTTTTCCTCAATTCAGTGAAAAAAAACTATAAGAATGTTGGCACAACCATCCCTCACTTCTTGGGAAAACATGATTTTCAAAGAGGGGGAGGGGGTGTAGAAAATATACACCCCTGCTTAAAAATTTACTTACTTGTGAGAACTTTGTACATGAGCCTGCACAGCTTTAGCAGAATAGAAATCAACCGAGCAAAGTCTGCACTTGTAAATCTTATTGCTCTTCTATAAAAGATAGATCATTTTTGCATTTTGTTTAATATAATGGTGGATAATTTACTCTAGTGTTTTATCTGTTTATCTTAAAATTTACTGATTTTTATGCAAGAATTTGATAAGCCATTCAAAGATAAGGACATTTTTATAATCTCTCTTATTTCATTAGTTTAGATTTGAGATTTGAGAACAAAAGATTTATTTTCTAGCAGTTTTGGTTGATATTTTGTCCTTGCATGGATCCGGATCCACGAAGTCAAATGATGCGGATTCGGATCCACGAAGTCAAATGATGCGGATCCGGATCCACGAAGTCAAATGATGCGGATCCGGATCCACGAAGTCAAATGATACGGATCCGGATCCACGAAGTCAAATGATGCGTACATTGTTGATCTTGAAAATTATTTTTGATGACGACACTTCATTTTATTTATAGATTAGAGACTGTTGGCGTGATTTTAAGTGACCCTACGTTAGCCCGATTCACAATTGTATCCTTAAACCTCTGATCATCTAAGGCAGAGAAATTCGCGTGTTTATCTCTAAAATGTGAGTTTATTTCAAGAAAAGTAAATATTAATAATTTTTAAATATAAACTAGCAAGCAATTACAATTACAATAATTACAAGCATATCTGTAGATGAATACGGAGTTTTTCATCCTTGATCTGTGAAAGGTTTAAGAGTAGTGAATTGAACTCTCACCTCCACAAAGATATATTTGTAAATATACCTGTGTAGTACTATGCTCTGCCCGTATATGCATATCCTTGCAAACCTCTAGAGGGAACTGTTTTCCACAGAATTTACAAAAATGGTTCAACTGAAAATGTAGATTGCTTAATTGGTGAAATATAATAATTGCGATTCAGCATTTTTTCTCAAATTTGAAGAGTGCCCACTGCCCATACTGAGATCAAGTTTAGCGTGTGCAAACATAGCAAAGGACAGTAATTACAAATAAATTCGATTCTGGCGTACAATTTTCTATCTTTCATATTGTTTTGATAGTTGTTGAACTGTCCTAATACCCGACAGTAAAACGTGTAAATATAACCCTACCCCCGTCTTAAAGGGATTAAACGCATAATTTAAAGCGCTCCATTGTACAAAGAAAAGAATGTCCGATTTACAACAGGTTCATTTGAAACCTTCATTGAATCAATATTCAATAATGGGGAAGATATTTTCGATTTTCTAGGTTTAAAAGGGGTTAATTCTCATAATTCCTGCCGTAGAAATACTGAAATTATTTTGTAGAGAAATCCCAATGAAACCACAATTGAAAATAACCATTCTACACATTTATAAACATTGATATATAATTCACACATAAAGGTATCGTTGATAGTAGGACATTACCATCTTTGCATGAAGGAGTGACCCGGGTTATTTTATATGATTCTAACAAGTAACAGTCCTTTAAATTCTAATACTTGGTAAACCTGACTATTTGGATGTTGTTTATATTTATGATGAATCGCCTGGGTCACAGTTTCAAACTGAGCTGTACACACATCACAGTGTACAGTTGTAACATTCTTTGACTTCACAGTACTGGAGACTAAATATAATAATTAAACATTATGAAAATTAAAATATAATAATTAAATATTATAAAAATATGAATATAATAATTAAATATTATATAAATATAAATATAATAATTAAATATTATAAAAATATAAATATAATAATTAAATATTATGAAAATATAAACATAGTAACTAAATAAGATGAAAGTAAAAAAATAATAACTTAAATATTATGAATTAAGAGTTGTTGTTTGCAAATAGATAACTTTGTCTGCATGCACAAAAATAACGACGTCTTGAAAATCACGGAAAGGATAAAAAATTGGTCATATCTATATATAAATTTAGCTTGTCTGTCTGTCTGTTTGTTTGTTTGTTTTTAACGTCATACGGCTGAACCGATCAGGCCAAAATTTTGTGTGGGACCTCACGTGACCCCAAGGAAGGTTTATGAATGATCATAAATACTTCAACTTAAAGTCTTTATAATTGTATTCTACAAAATATAATAACCTGGGTTAGGAGGAGGTGTCTTATTAGTGACAGGTCTTCCTTTGGAATCAATACTTCCATTTCCATGTTTTCGAAAATGCTCCTGCGAAATTCCGAATTATAAAAACCAGTTCTCTTTAATAATGTACAAAAGTTTATTCTATCAGAAAATCAGGTATATTCCTAGAGAACACATCAAAAAAATGTGTATACCTGTTTTCTTATACAATTCTTTGCAAAATAAAATATGATGTAAATCAGAGAAGCTTTCAATAAGTTTTATAAGCTATTCTAGAATACAATGGATTACCTGTTAGATGAGGAAAATTACCTGTAAATCTAATTTTGACGACAATACAGTTTCACACAGTACACATTTATGAACATCTAAAATTATTAACTCATTTATTAAAGCTAACAAATTTTAAAACATTCTACATTTAGAAAATCAATTCCAATTTTTGTAGTTTTTAGTAATTTAATATAAATATTTCTTACCAGTGTTTTGATTGTCTTTAACCGGTTTCTTGGCAACAGGAAAGCTCTCACGCAATTCTTCGGTCTGCATTTTAGGTAATTAATATGACTACAGCAAAATTTACCTTTTTGTTTTGTATTCAAAACATTGATAACACACCTGGCGCCCCCTATACTCCCCGCTATTTGCGCCATCTATGCAGACTGAATGGAACTATTTAGAGACTTCAGCGCCCTCTAACAAAGCTTTAGTTCAATAAATAATATAATGTTTGTAGTATAATTCATAGTTCAGTCACAGACATGAAGAACTGGACTCACTGGACAAGGGTTAAGATTATAAGAAGATGAAGAAATCACAAAAAAATTTTAAAAATCAAAAATTAAAAAGTTCTAAGAACAAGAGATGGTGAATATGCTTATGGAGAAAATGGAAGAAGGTAGTGGGCTAGCTGCGGGGATAATAGAAGAAGGTAAAGGAGATGAAGGAGTATAGAAGGTTACGGGGATAATAGAAGAAGGTAAAGGAGATGAAAGGTTATAGAAGGTTACGGGGATAATAGAAGAGGGTAAATGAGATGAAGGGTTATAGAGGGGTATGGGGATAATAGAAGAAGGTACAGGAGATGAAGGATTATAGAGGGGTATGGGGATAATAGAAGAAGGTAAAGGATATGAAGGGTTATAGAAGGTTATGGGGATCATAGAAGGTAAAGGAAATGCATGATTATAGAGGGGTATGGGGATAATAGAAGAAGGTAAAGGAGATGAAGGAGTATAGAAAGTTATGGGGATAAATTCAGTGCTTAGGATCCATTAAATATTGATGCGGATCCGGATAGGGAAACCTGTGTAGGGGGCATTTCAAGAAGAAGTCTTGCAGCATCCTTCAGCACATCAGGGTCGCCACATTTCTAGAGAGAATCAGCCAAGTCAAATGCAGTTCATAAGAACCAGTGTCTTTAAAGGACTATAGCAACTCTTTAAGAATCAAGAAGAGTTAAAAAAAGCTTTCTGATCCAATCGCCCAGTACTCAGATTTGCTGAAGGATGCTGCAAGACTTCTTTGTGCAATGCCCCCCACACAGGTTTCCATTGAGAGACTGTTCTCAGCACTGAAGATATTCAAATCAGACCTGAGGAGCTGCCTAAAGGCAGATATTCTGAACGCCCTCCTCCTACTCAAAGCTAATATGAATCAGATTTTTTTTTTATTTACACAATAAAAAGAAAAAAATCATTATCGTTTTGTGCAAATAGTAGAAAATAGTAAGCAAAAAATCTTTAACATTTTATTGATACTGATAAAGAGGATACAAATATGTTGTTCAGAAGGATACAGGGAGAAGGTAAAGAGGATACAAATATATGGTTTAGAAGAATTCAGGGAGAAGGTAAAGAGGATACAAATATATGGTTTACAAGGATACAGGGAGAAGGTAAAGAGGATACAAATATATGGTTTAGAAGGATACAGGGAGAAGGTAAAGAGGATACAAATATATGGTTTAGAAGGATACAGGGAGAAGGTAAAGAGGATACAAATATATGGTTTAGCAGAATTCAGGGAGAAGGTAAAGAGGATACAAATATATGGTTTAGAAGGATACAGGGAGAAGGTAAAGAGGATACAAATATATGGTTTAGAAGAATTCAGGGAGAAGGGGAAAAAAAGAAATTAAACTTGTAGTTTAGAAGAATACAGGGAGAAGGTTGAAATGGGATAAAAAGATGTTGATTAAAAATATACACTGAGAAGTAAATAACAGAATAAAGATATGTGGTTCAGAAGAATACAAATAGATGAGAAAAAAAAGAATACAAACATGTAGTTTAGAAGGTTCAGGGAGAAAGTAGAGATGGGATACAAATATGGTGTATATAAGGATTCAAGGAAAAGGTAAAAAGAGGATACACATAGGTGGTTTAGAAGGATACAAGTAGAAGGTACAAAGAGGTTACAAATATGTGGTTTAGAAGAATACAGGGAAAAGGAAAAAAAGAGATTACAAATATGTGGTTTAGAAGGATACAAGTAGAAGGTACAAAGAGGTTACAAATATGTGGTTTAAAGGATACAGGGAAAAAGAAAAAAGAGGTTTCAAATATATGGTTTAGAAGGATACAAATAGAAGGTACAAAGAGGTTACAAGTATGTGGTTTAGAAGGATACAAGTAGAAGGTACAAAGAGGTTACAAATATGTGGTTTAGAAGGATATAGGGAAAAGGAAAAAAGAGGTTACAAATATGTGGTTTAGAAGGATACAGGGAAAAGGAAAAAAAAGGTTAAAAATATGTGGTTAAGAAGAATACAGGGAAAAGGAAAAAAGAGATTACAAATATGTGGTTTAGAAGGATACAGGGAAAAGGAAAAAAGAGGTTACAAATATGTGGTTTAGAAGGATATAGGGAAAAGGAAAAAAGAGGTTACAAATATGTGGTTTAGAAGGATATAGGGAAAAGGAAAAAAGAGGTTAAAAATATGTGGTTGAGAAGGATACAGGGAAAACGAAAAAAAGAGGATTCAAATATGTGGTTTAGAAGGATACAGGGAAAAGGAAAAAAGAGGTTACAAATATGTGGTTTAAAAGAATACAGGGAAAAGGAAAAAAAGAGATTACAAATATGTGGTTGAGAAGGATACAGGGAAAACGAAAAAAAGAGGATTCAAATATGTGGTTTAGAAGGATACAGGGAAAAAGAAAAAAAGAGGATACAAATATGTGGTTTACAAGAATTCAAGGAGAAGAAGGACACACACATGTGGTATAGACGGATACAAAATAAAGGAAAGAGAATACAAATATGTGGTAAAGAATGAGACATGCCCTAAACATAAAACTTAAGAAAAAACAACTTACCTTACTTTTAGTGTATAATTCACCGCTTCACACCTCCAAATTAACATTATATTCTAGTCCCAAAAAAACAATATGACAATTTATTACAACTTCAAATTCTCAAGAAATTGTTGATCTTTATTTTATCTAGTATCGAGCAAGAAAAGAATACATTCATTTATGGACAAAATGCATAATAAGGAAACCTCAACGATATGAAAGACTTGGACAAAAAATGTTCGCTGGAAAACACTTCTCTTTTAAGTAGACATTGCTAAGTGGAATTTTCTTAATCACGATGATATTCTTTAAAAAATTTAAGTTTTCAGAAAAGGTTTCCTAATTTAACAAATTCTGTGTGCACTCAGTCGAAAAATGTTTGTCCAGACGAAATATTTTCGTCGATTCGTTTTGAGGAGAAAAACGGGAAAAATATTATGAAAAAAGGATAAACACTAGGAGTTTTCAATATTTCAGCAGAAAAAATTATAGATCATGAAAACTATCTTTTTTTCTCCTAGATTTGTATTTTGTTTACTTGCTCCTGGGGTTTTAATATAAAAAATATATACACTTGTCCACAACATAAACTACAGGTTACTTGTCTAGCTAAACAACTATCCATGTAGGGAACTAGTCACAAAACTATTAAAAAGAATTTCATTCATTATATAATAATATTATATGAAGTAATTTTCATGTTCATCATGAAGTTTTTAGGTTCAAGTTAAAGAAAGCTGATCGGTGTTTCAAGGCAATGTAAATAATTTTTTTTTTTGACAACCAAGAAAATAAAAACCATTTTTGGATGATTATTTCAGTCTTAAACATTTGTCAGTTCTTTGGGGTTTAACTTATTTTCATGGTTGTAAAGCATTTTAGGTTTGATGGAAGTAAGTTTGTGAAAAAAAATGAAACACTGCATTATTTCCAGGCAATAATTAATCCCATACATTAACAATTAATGATGAGTTTATAAAATACAAACTAAACCGAAATATTAAACAAAATAATTGTGTAATCAGAACACAGAGAATTCTTGTTTTGTAACACGCAGCATGAACCTATATCAGCAAACACTGAAAATTGTTTCTTCATTTCTCGGCATCTCTTTGTGTATTCTCAGTGCACATCATGTATTGGATTGACTCATGATGTCACGTGTAAATTTGCGCAATTCGGCAATCTATATATTGCGCATTTTCAGATTTAATTTCCCTATTCTCACTGGCCGGTTCATCCCACAGGGTAATTTTAACATTTCTCCCTTCAGAATGAATTCGAAAGACTGCTCACAGTTACTATTTTATTTGGAGATATACCACGTTAATAAGTTCGAATAGACTTTCACTAATGGTTTCTCTTGATATCCACCCATTTATCAGGTTCAAAATACTGCAAATAAACACGTCAATGTTAAAATTACTAGAATCAAATGGTTAAAAAGAATCAAGAAAATAAGTTTGAGAATCTTTTTTCTGTGATTTCATTTTACCTTATTTTACTTTTTTCCTTGGTGGACCCATGGGTGGTATCTGTTGGCTTGCCAGGGCCTTGAATGCCTCTGCTATGAGATGTGGATGGGAACCGACCATCTGTTTCCAACTACCCGTCTCCATCACATCGGTCACGTGGCGTGTGTTTATAAACTCAATCGCCTGAAGTAAACATTCATTAATTAACATGCGGCAAATATAATATTTTTCTAAAATATTTCATGATGTTTTAAAATGAAAATTTGAAGCCCCTGAGTCACGAGTGAACCACTTACAATTCCTTCTGTGAAAAAAAAGAAAGAAGTTCGACCCCTCAAAATTTGTCAACTTGTGCTTGATTAAAAAAAGAATGATAGCAATTTACAAAACGTAGTCTATTTCTTTCAAAAAATAATTGTCTCTTACCCTCAATTGAGAAATAAAATATAAATCAATTAAAAGGATAATTATTCCAAAGGGTTGTTAATACCCCCCCTAACCCCCTCCTCTGCTTTAGTTTCAAAAAAGGTATTTCCTTAAATTCGTAAAATTTTCCCTTAAATGGTAAATAAATAAAAAAACTTGAAATCGGCAGGTTGGGTAGGTAGAGGCTGAGCTTGACATACCTGTGCTTTGAGTTGTTCTGCTGAGTGTAGATCTGCTAGTATTAGAACCTCAGATACATTCTCTACAGTTAACCCGTTACACAACGCCTCTTCACACATCACCTAGAGCAAGATTAACATTATTCTCAGGGGTGAATATTTTCTCGAAAAATCATTTTTCTTCCACTCCTCCCCATTGGAAAATATATTCGCTGAATTGGGGAAAATTATCGATTTTTAAGGGAAAAGTATAAAAAAGAAAGAAAAAGTTACCCCTTATTATCATTAAGCAAAAATTCTGAATCAGGAGGAAAATAAAGTTTTTAGAATCAGAATCGGAATTAAAAACCTTTTCAGAATCAGAATAAAAAAAAATTTCAGAATCAGAATCAGGCTCAGAATAAGTTTTAAAAAATCGACGGTAAATGGTTCATTTTGATTTTATCTTAAATTTTTTTTTTAGAAATAAGGTACATATGTTAAATTTATTAAATGAAGTTTTTTTTAAATTGTAAAAATTTTACTTTTAGTCTGTCCAGTGCATATTTATCCGCCGCGGCAAGAAGACTATCCGCCATCGTCTCTAGACTAGTTGTCCGCCCCGTGTATATAAACCGTAGCATCTCCGCCATAACATCTGCCTCGACATCCTTGACCTCGACCCTGCTGCTCTTCTTCTCCTCCATGTCGTGCTCGAACATTGCTAAAAAAAACAAAATTAATATCTTACAAGTATTTTATTACTAGCCTATCTTCTAAATTAATTGTGAACATGTTCTCTCTGTGTACATCGTAAAACAAAACAAAAATAATTCACGGATTTTCACAACAAATTTCGTGGATTTTCAAAAATTTAATGAAGATCGAATTTTGATGGAGACAAATATTTGAAATTTTGATCATTCATAAACCTTCCCTGTGGTCACGTGATGTCCCACAAAAAATTTGGGCCCGATCGGTTCAGCCGTTTTGACGTTTATTGGATACAAACAAACAGACAGACACCCAAACAGACAAACAGACAGACAAGCCAAATTTATATATAGATTTATAAATCCTTCAAAACCATGCAATCTTTTTAAAGCTTTTCATCCCCCCCCCCTTTCAATCCGGTTTGGGTAATTTTCAGACCCTTAGCAGATTTTTTAATAAGATTAAAAACGGTTTTCTTTTTTAACTTTATTGATGTTTTTTTCTCGTATTTTCTTTCAAAGTAAAGATTTAGTGGTAAATTTTTTAAGAATGTTTTAAATAATGGGAAAGTTTTTTAAAGAAATTATATGTTGCTGGAGATCAGAGTACAATGTACATACAGCCACGCCCTTTGTGAAAAATCTAAAAAAAATGTGTTATCAAGAGTAAATCTCGCATTAAAAACTGATAATACAGAGCCCCGAGCAAATATTAAAGTTGAAGGTCTAAAAGTATGAGTAAAACAAAATACAAATGAATTGCTTATCTGAACAACAAAAAAATTTCACCATGCTTACAGGACTTGTTCTGATATTTAGTTAAAGATCATATAGCTTTAATTCCTTATTTATAATGCTTTTAATAAAACTATAGTAATAATTTCCGACATCTAGCATTAGTTAGTTTGGAACACTCTTTTTACGCACACGGAAGACGACACGTACAAAATCCGGGAAATTGATTCAGCTAAAGTTAGCTTACTTCGGCCATTTAATAAGTAAATAACTTTCGAATCTAAGACAGCTTGTTTTAACAAGGCATCTATGCTCAAATAATTGATACCTTTCACTGTACCCAAATATCTTAACCATTTGTTTAATGTTGCCAAGACAGGAATACGAACCTTGAAAAACCTGTGATCTAGCTGCTAGTATAGCTTTATGACCATTAAATTCACGGCCGCCACACGACAATGTAACATCAGTAAACTGAGAGTTTTCAAACAATCCACCCAAATCGTCGGCTAACCGGCAATCCGGCACCTTAAATATAGAACAAATTTAAGTTAAATCATTTAAAAATGTAATTTCATTTTATTCTACACATTTACTAAATTCAATCAATTAAAAGGAAAATATTTATTATTTACCTTAAACTGAACAGCACTTGATTGTCCGAATATATTTACAGAGTCTGCTACAACCGAAACTTCACAAAACAAGGTCAGTTTATCGTCTGGGAGAAGTCCATTAGCATCGTCCATCAGGAAATCCCGCCGAATAAACTTCTTGAACCCCCAGTCTTTGCCCTGAACGAATTTATACGCACGTTGACTCTCCATAGCTTTTGTTTCTTCCCGTTTTGCGTTTAGAATACTAAACTTAAACTTGGCGCGGACCTCACTCTTGTTGCAGGACATGAGAAGGAGATACAAGGATAAATACTCCTTCGACTCCTCGTCCAACCCCTTCGGGTTCACCCTCAAACACCACTTCAACTTGTCGTTCTGTCCGGCCGAGAAGGTCGAGGATTTGAGCACCTCGCCCATCTCCTCCCGGCAGAAGCTGAAATTAGAGATTGTCCACATGTAAGAGAACTTCACCACCTTCACTTGGGTGTAGCACCAGGACTCCGCCACGGGCGGAGCCGCGTCATTTGGCGGCGGAGTGGGAACACGGCTAACCGCCGGCTGGCCGGTCATGGTGGGACGCGCCGCGGCGTAGTAAACCTCCTGCAACAACAAATTTATTAAAGCCTGCATTGTCCTTATACTATTGAATTACAGATTACAATTAAATAAAAACTATTTTTTTTCTGTTCATTCCTCTGAGTTCAGTCATAAAATAACTAGTGTTAAGTAAACTTCTCCCAAGGTCTCAAACCTTCTCTAGTACGCTAACTTTAACATTGTAGAGTTCATGTCCCGTAAGGTTAATATGTTCTCCTGTAGGCTGGTTTGTATGGAGATTTATAATGTGACCAATATGTTCTCTCACTCTTTCATCTAAAGATTTTGTTGTCTGTCCTATATATTGTAGTTTACACTGCTCACATGTAATACAGTAAACTACATTTCTGGTCTTACAGTTGAAAGTTCCATTAATCTCAATCTTCTTGCTGGTATAAGAGGATTATATAACTGTTCCAGGCTCTATGTAGGGACAAGTTGGGCAATTTAAACCACAAGGTTTCATACCAGGTATTAGCCTCTTTGGCGTCATTCCAAAAAAATCATTTATTTACGCCAAATAAAGAGAATAACCCCCCCCCCCAAAAAAAAAAACTTTACCAGTCTTCTGTGAGAAAAAATATTTTCAACCGAGGGGGGTTGAAATGGTTTTTCAACCGAGGGGGGTTGAAATGGTTTTTCAAGAAAAGACATACTCCAGAAAGGCATTGTATGTATTCCAATCAATGACAGATTACATAGATAACATAACACATTAATGGTTTCTGAATCAAATCTTTAATAATCTTGATTATAAAAACTTGATATTGGAATATCAGGTTTCAATGATCGGTTTATCTAACACTAACTCAAGGTCATGAACCAGACCCATTTACATACAACACCTCCCCCCCCCCCATTCAACCACAAATGCATTTCATAAAATTGTAAAATTAACACAAACCTTAATCTTTCTATGGGGAGGTAGGATAAATCGTAAACGGGAAGATGGAATACAAAATATATTTAAACTGGCAGATTTAAATCATTTTAAAAACTGCATATACATAAAATCTGTCTCTTAAAAATAATTTATGTCCTTACCAAATTCAATGACAAATAAAGAAACTTGTGATCAAATTATCCTATTGAGAAAGGTTCTATAAATATACTATTCAGGTTTGATAGGTATTATTGTGAATCAATAATGACACTTTATAAAATATGGACCCATAAAGTGTTCAAAATATCTTTAACACATTTAAAACTTAACAGTCAACTAAAACTGAATATTTAAAATATAATTTCAATTGCTCTTCATTTATTTAGTGACATTTCCGATTCACAACTGAAGTCAGCGAGAAAAACTAGAATATCTTATTCATTTCTAATCAGACAAAAGTTTTGAAGGTTTTTGGAACCGTTGTGAATCGGCCACTCTATAAATGGAGGGTCCCATGAAATTATATTTACAGTTGCTTAAAATAACGGTACCTGCTGTCCTGCTGGTTCTATTGGATTATTAAGATTATGCCCAGGTTGATTCTCCATTCCCCGAATCCAAGAAAAACAAACAAACAAACAACAAAACCGGTTTCAACTCCGGCCTGAAAATAAATAGAATTTAACCAAACATGTTTGTTTCTGTAAACTTGACCTTTTCCCCTGATATTTTCAATTGGTGATATGTGATATGCGTGATATGTGATATGTGATATGTGTAATATGTGTGATATGTGTGATATGTGTAATATGTGTGATATGTGTGATATGTGTGATATGTGTGATATGTGATATGTGTGATATGTGTGATATGTGATATGCGTGATATGTGATATGCGTGATATGTGATATGTGATATGTGTAATATGTGTGATATGTGTGATATGTGTGATATGTGATATGTGATATGTGTGATATGTGTGATATGTGTGATATGTGATATGTGATATGTGATATGTGTGATATGTGTGATATGTGAGATGAGATCTGTAAAAGCCCCATCTTAGTGTTCAATCTACCATACCATTACTTAATCCTTTTATTTTGCACCGAGACGTCAATATTGGCTTTATCAATAAAAAAACCAAGTGCTTAGGACAAAAGAAGGAGTTAAAAAATTAAAACAGTCAACTTTTTATTACAAATTACATAAAACAATGAAATTGAACATTAACTTTTCTTTGCCTTCAACAAGGATAAGAAAAATCCTATACTGAAGCCAAAAAATAAGGTCTTTCTGTATTTCTGGACCAGGTCACAACAATGGCATTCCTCCCAAGGTGAAAAAGGATTTTAGCGAATACTTATACATTCAGAGTTCGAAAGGTTAATATTTTTTAAGCGCATTAAACATTACATTCATATGATCAATATCCTTTCCTATTTCCATGTACAATACATTCATATGATCAATATCCTTTCCTATTTCCATATACAATACATTCATATGACCCATTTCCTTTTACCATATACAATACATTCATATGATCAATATCCTTTCCTATTTCTATATACAATACATTCTTATGATCAATATCCTTTCCTATTTCCATATACAATACATTCATATGATCCATTTCCTTTTACCATATACAATACATTCATATGATCAATATCCTTTCCTTTTTCCACATACAATACATTCATATGATCCATATTGTTTCCCATTTCCATATACAATACATTCATATGATCCATTTCCTTTTACCATATACAATACATTCATATGATCAATATCCTTTCCTATTTCTATATACAATACATTCATATGATTAATATCCTTTCCTATTTCCATATACAATACATTCATATGAACCATTTCCTTTTACCATATACAATACATTCATATGATCAATATCCTTTCCTATTTCTATATACAATACTTTCATATGATCAATATCCTTTCCTATTTCCATATACAATACATTCATATGATCCATTTCCTTTTACCATATACAATACATTCATATGATCAATATTCCACATACAATACATTCATATGATCCATATTGTTTCCCATTTCTATATACAATACATTCATATGATCCATAGTGTTTCCCATTTCTATATACAATACATTCATATGATCCATATTGTTTCCCATTTCTATATACAATACATTCATATGATCCATATTGTTTCCCATTTCTATATACAATACATTCATATGATCCATTTCCTTTTACCATATACAAAACATTCATATTATCAATATCCTTTCCTATTTCCATATACAATACATTCATATGATCCATTTCCTTTTTCCATATACAATACATTCATATTATCAATATCCTTTCCTATTTCCATATTCAATACATTCATATGATCAATATCCTTTTCTATTTCCATATACAATACATTCATATGATCAATATCCTTTCCTATTTCCATATACAATACATTCATATGATCCATTTCCTTTTACCATATACAATACATTCATATGATCAATATCCTTTCCTATTTCCATATTCAATACATTCATCGATCCATGCCCTTTCCAGTTTCCATTCACATTACATTAAAATGATCAATATCCTTTCCTATTTACATTTACAATACATTCATATGATCCATATTGTTTCCCATTTCTATATACAATACATTCATATGATCCATGTCCTTTTTCCATTTACAATACATTCATATGATCAATATCCTTTCCTATTTCCATATACAATATATCAATATGATCCATATTGTTTCCCATTTCTATATACAATACATTCATATGATCCATGACCTTTTTCCATATACAATACATTCATATGATCAATATCCTTTCCTATTTATACTTATACATTCAGAGTTCGAAAGGTTTATCATATTTTTTAAGCGCATTAAACATTACATTCATATTATCAATATCCTTTCCTATATCCATATTCAATACATTCATATCATCAATATCCTTTCCTATTTCCATATACAATACATTCATATCATCAATATCCTTTCCAATTTCCATATACAATACATTCATATGATCCATTTCCTTTTACCATATACAATACATTCAAATGATCAATATCCTTTCCTATTTCCATATACAATATATTCATATGATCCATATCCTTTTCTATTTCCATATACAATATATTCATATGATCCATATCCTTTCCTTTTTCCATATACAATATATTCATATGATCCATATCCTTTCCTTTTTCCATATACAATATATTCATATGATCCATATCCTTTCCTTTTTCCATATACAATATATTCATATGATCCATATCCTTTCCTTTTTCCATACACAATACATTCATATGATCAACTTCATTCCAAATTTAATCCATTTGCTTCTCATATTTGTTCATATAATCTCCCTGTCCATATGATCCATTCCCTTCCCAATTCTCACAATAAACATTAAACATCCCTTGATTTCCAAAGTACATCTTATACGAATTACTCTCTAACTAACTCAATTAAGTTTTACTTTCCAAATCTAATTTACAAACCCTTAACCGTGCAATTTTTGCAAAAAATAAAGATTCTGAAAGTACTAATTTACACAGCAGACATGTTGTTAAACGAGTTTTAAAAATATCAGAAAAATTACCTATGTTTGGAATTAATACGTAAATTACATTTCTAAGGTTTCCGGGGAAAAAAAACTGTTCACATAAATTCATTTCACATTCTCTCTTTGTTTGTAAATTTCACCAAACTTTCTTCTTTTCCTTACCCAGCTGTAACGCGCCTAGTCTACTGAGTATGGAGCGCAGATACTCCTGTGCGTGCACTGGAGGAGACAGGAGCAGAATACACTTTCATTTTCATTGGGTCAGATGTACACAGTACACACCATTCATTTACATTCCTCTACAATAGATAGATACATAGATATATTTACTTGAATCTTTAATAAATAAGTAAAAAAATAAATTGATGATTGGAAAACAAGATAAAATAATGATTGAATGGATAGTTTGTGATAAAATGATGGATGTATATGTGGAGGGATAGATAAAATGATGATTGAATGGATAGTTTGAGATAAAATGATGAATGTATATAGGTCGAGGGATAGATAAAATGATGATTGAATGGATAGTTTGAGATAAAATGATGGATGTATATGTGGAGGGATAGATAAAATGATGATTGAATGGATAGTTTCTGATAAAATGATAGATGTATAGGTCGAGGGATAGATAAAATACAGGGGATATTAGTTCCAAAACTAACACTTGGCCCATTTCAAGACTATATCTTTAAATCCAAGACGAGTAGGTTACACCATATATTTAAAACAATGCTAAAACTATATATTGAAACAATAAATGTCAATTTAAAACTAATAATAAGATGTGAGAATTAGTTTTTGATGATTCTTGATTTCATTTTCTTATATATATCCCTATTTTGAAACAATTACCGGATTTCAGCTAATGTCGCGTTTTCGGAACATATCCAGAGCTGAAAACTTTAGAATGGAATATCCTAAATCCCGATCGGTAAATTAATCTGGAGATTAATATAAGAAGATAACAAGCATTATTTAATCTGGAGATTAAGAAAAAGAGTGGATCAAGCATTAATCCTGATATCCACCATTCAAAAGTTCCCAACTCTGGTTTTGAGACAATTACCGGAATTTAAATCATTTTAATTTTCAAGCATTTACGCACTTACATAGCAAGATTTTTTGATGAGGTAAAATATTTATATAAATATAAATAGAAAATAAAACAAACTGTTCTTTTATAATTTAAAAATCATTACAGCATTGAGAATCATTTGTTCATACAATACAGATTTAACTAGAAATGCGGGAAACTGTTTGTTTAAAATGCTTGAAAATAAATAATCAATATTCTTTAATTTAAAAGATAAAATGTGAAAACATAGATTCTAGAAATAATTCAGAAGTTAAATTAGTCTTGATAAGATCATTTTTGATTTCAGTGATTTTGTAAGTTATGATTTAGTGAGTTTTGTTTTGAATTGCGGATTATACTCAAAAACGGGAAAACGCGATAATGTTTTAAATTCAGGATATGTTCGAAAATGGAAAACCTGATATTGTCTTGAAAATGGTCAAGAGATTTAATACAAAAATTATAATTTTGATTTTAAAAAAAGTTTAAAATTGGGAATGGCTGTCCTCGATATGTTTAATAAAATCTTGGTTAAAGTTTTTATTTCCGACATTTACTCTGGCTATGGGCCAGGATTTCCAAAAACCCAGTCTTTCCATGTGTGCCCATTTCTAACACTCAGTGTTAGAAATGGGCCGAGTGTTAGTTTTGAAACTAATGTCCTCAGAAATGATGTTATAGATAGATTGAAAGATGGTGTGATGGCTATTGAGATAGACAGATAGATGGAAAGATGATTGGATGGACAGTTGGATAGATAAATGGATCGTTAAAGGAATAGATAGTTGGATAGGTTAATAATTGGAGGGATAGAAAGACAGCTAAATAAAGGTGGATAGGAGGATAGTAGCTATGAGGATAGAAGGATGAAAGCTAGGAGGATGGAAGCTAGGAGGATGGAAGCTAGGAGGATGGAAGCTAGGAGGATGGAAGCTAGGAGGATGGAAGCTAGGAGGATGGAAGCTAGGAGGATAGGAGGATGGTAGCTAGGAGGATAGAAGGGTGGAAGCTAGAAGGATACGAGGATGGAAGCTAGAAGGTTAGGAGAATGGAAGCTAGGAGGACAGGAGGATGGAAGATAGGAGGATAGGATGGATATGGAAGCTAGAAGGATATAAAGCTGGAACCTGGGAGGATAGGAGGATGGAAGATAGGAGGATAGGAGGATGAAAGGTAGAAGGATATGAGGATGGAAGCTAGAAGGATAGAAGGATTGAACTAGGATAAAAGAATGGAAGCTAGAAGGATATGAAGATGGAAGCTAGGAGGATAGAAGGATGAAAGCTAGGAGGATGGAAGCTAGGAGGATAGAAGCTAGGAGAATAGGAGGAACTAAGCTAAGAGAATATGAGGGTGGAAGCTAGGAGGACAGGAGGGTGGAAGCTAGGAGGATAGAAGGATTGAAGGTAGGCGTTTAGGAGGATAGAAGCTATGAGGATAGGAGAATGGAAGCTAGGAGGTTATGAGAATGGAAGCTAGGAGGACAGGAGGATGGAAGCTAGGAGGATAGAAGGATGGAAGGTAGGAGTTTAGGAGGATAGAACATAGGAGGATAGGAGAATGGAAGCTAGGAGGATAGGAGGATGGAAGCTAGGAGGATAGAAGGATGGAAGGAAGGAGTTGAGGAGGATAGGAGAATGGAAGCTAGGAGGATAGGAGGATAGAAGCTAGGAGGATAGGAGAATGGAAGCTAGAAGGATAGGAGAATGGAACCTAGGAGGATAGGAGGGTGGAAGCTAAGAGGATAGGAGGATGGAAGCTAGGAGGATAGGATGGTGGAAGCTAGGAGGATAGGAGGATATAAGCTAGGAAGATAGGAGACTGGGAGCTAGTCCTAGCCGCAGCGCTAGGCCCCCAAGCCTGTCCTTACTGCAGCGTTCGGCCCAGAAATAGTCTTAACCTAAAACTAACCCTAAAATAATGCATTATAACTTGAAATCAATGATCATGTAAAAAATTGATTGGTATATTCCTAGAGAACGATTTTTGGACCCCCCCCCCCCNNNNGGGGGCCTGGGGGGGTCCAAAAATCGTTCACTAGGACAGACCCTAAAATAAAATGAAAACATAAAATACACGTGTTCAAAGAAACCAATAATACAATAGGGTAAATTATGGAGTAATAAGAAGTAAAATATAGGATACACCAATATGTAAAAGTTTAAAAGATAAAACTGAAAGGTTGTACTTGAAAAGGTGGCCTCCCTTTTCGTACTTTCTAGTTTTTATTCCTTGAACTTCACATTTCTGCTCTAAGATGACGGATTTTAATTCACTGAAAGTTCACAATAAATATCAAAAACTAACTAAAATGAAATAATCCACGAAGTATTCGGCTGAAAATCCACGAAAATGTTAGAAAGTTGAACAATATTTTGTTTCACAAATATTGGTGTCCAGCCAGCTGCTCTAGTTGATTTGCTGGTGCTGCCAGGAGTAGACCTGTGATTGAATATTCAACTAGTATTTCCACCACTATAGATGTCTCTGTACTACTATGTGTGTTATTAATGTGTGTTTGTGTGTGATTGTGTGTGTAAGTTATTCCGGCAATCGGCATCTTTCGAAAAAATAAACAAACCATAATATTTATCATCAATATCATACTTACTATATGCGACGGAAAACGAAAACAATAAGTGCAATGCACAAATAAAAAAGGTGCAATATAAATATATTTTGTTCAATTCACAGCTTTTATGCATGTTTGATCGAAATTTCAATGCATGATTCGAACTTTTTTTTAGATTCATGGATGGCTTAAACAATTGATTTTCGTTTTCTTTGGTTTTCAGATCAATACATTTCTTAATGGTTCGTGCTGCAGCTAGAGGAGGAGGACGGAAAGCTGCTGTCAGCTATGTTGAAGATAACGATGACAGCGGCCCAGCTGACAGCGGTGACAGCGAAGGAGAACAGGAGACTAGGAATCAGGTATTGATGCCATTGACTCCCTTGACTCTTGAGATCGCATGCTTTCGGGATGAAAAATAACATGTTGAGTCCAAAAATCGTTCTCTATGACGGACCCCGCAATTTAATCTATTTTTAAACATGAAATTAAAATATTAATATTTATTTTTACAGTATTTTAGGGTCAGGATAGGTTAGGTTAAGACAATTTCTGAGTCGAGGGAGCTGCGACTAGGACATGGCTAGGGGACCAAGCGCTTCGACTAGGACTGGCTAGGAAACCGAGCGCTGAGACTAGGACAGGCTGGGAAACCGAGCGCTGCGACTAGGACATGCTAGGAGACCTAGCGCTGCTACTAGGACAGGCTAGAGGACCGAGCGCTGCGATTTGGGCAGGCTATGAGACCGATCGCTGCGACTAGGACAGGCTAGGGGACCGAGCGCTGCGATTTAGTCCAACTATGCCCATGTTACAAATAAGAATTGCATGTGCATGTACAAAATGATGGGAGCTGGGGGGGGCGGGGTTCCAGAAACCCTTTACTAAGAAGTTGCCAGGAATTGCAGACCCCCCCCCCCCCATTTTGTACCTTTTATTTAAACTTTTGAATAAGCTATTTGACACTTTTGGGGCTTCCATGGCATGGGTTCCATGGTTTCGGCTACAGATTTTAGGCCTATGCAGGGTACTGTTGTTAATTGGCTATTGCATTCATTTATTTAGTTCATTGTTTTTTTCAATACTAGAAGATAAAGAAGCTGGCTGTTCAAAGCCTCCGGGCTTCTAACGGTTCAAAGAGGAAGAATCAAAAGGAAGATTCCGACGAGGTAATAGGAAAATAAAAATATGTTAAAAATTTTAGTTTTCAAACCTCTTTATATGATGGAAGTACCCATTTCATGTTAACTGAGGTCAGAACTTATCTGCTAGGAGTATCGTTAATCTTGAACACTTGATCTCGATAGACAATGTGAGCACTTTTAAATTTGAGGATAAATGCTTGATCCCTCAATTGATGTTATCTCTGCATGGTATAACCACTACAAAATATTGAAGAGAAATTAAATTAATCCGTCTAAGATAGATATCATTGCATGATCCCGAGATTCTCAAAAACAAATGTTCTTTAATTTTAGATAAAGTTTTTTTCTGACTTAAAAAAATATTCATGAATTTTCCCTTGAGAGTTAAAAACTGCATTCAAACGTTTTTATCTTGTTTTAAACTTGACATCTTTAATCAGAGTCGGTTGATGTTTAATTTTTCAAGCGCATTTGGATTCCCTTTAATGTACTAGGATGGGGAAGATGCAACACCCCCTCTCCCCTCTCCGAAGAAGAACAAACCTACCGCTAAACCTGTATATAAGGACGACAGCAGTGATGATGATTTAGTAGACGATGGTCAGCTAGAGGGTGAGGGCAGTGATTATGAGGCAAGTAAACCCAAGAAATCTCCCGCAAAAAAATCTCCGAAGAAAACACCCGCGAAAAAAACTGTTGCCAAGAAATCTCCGAAAAAGAAGGCCGCTGTTACTCCGTCTAGAGCGAGCGGTCGTGCTGTTCAGTCAATCAAATACGCAGATGACGATAATGATGATGAAGAAGAAGAAGAGGATGAAGAAGAATCCGAGGACGAGGCTCCTCTAAGAGGTCGAGGAAAGGTTGCAGCCAAGGCCAAAGCACCGTTCAAGAAAGCTAAAATGGCGGCCCATCCACCCGTTAGCGAGATGATTCCCATTGCGATCAGAAAACTGAATGAAAATCCCAAGTTAGTTTTATTTCTATTAATTGTAAATGATTTGTTTATAATTCTTTTAAAATTTATTTTACAATCGGACATCATAAGTTTTTATTACGTTGGAGGGTCTGTCAAATGTCATCCTAAGTGCCCCACCCTCTTCAAGATTTTAATCCACGATTCACAACAATTTAGTTTTAACAAACATAGACTGGCAATATAATGGAAATTAAGTGGACAATGGACATTCTCTGAAATATTTATGAATATGGAAATATAACAAATCCTTTTGTTTAAAGGAACTGAATGAGTAGTTTCAAATGACTCACCATTCAAAGATGGCAATGCCTGATTCACAACGGTACTCTTAATAGCTTTGTCTAATCAAGTATGAATTAGATATTAATGTTTTTGGTTCACCAGTAAAGTGAATTGAGCATTTCTACTGCAGGAAAATATATATTAATTATCAGAAATAAAAACTTTAAAAAACTTTTAAAAACGACAAAATTTTTCACGTTATTGATCAGATAAAGGTTTCAAAGGTACTGTTGTGAATCGGGCATTGTAATCTTGAAATTATACGCTTACTGTCCCTTTAACTCTGAACAAAAACATGTATTTTTGTGTCCAGGAAGGGGTCCTCCATGGTTGCGATCAAAGGGTATATGGTCGAGGAGTGGGGAGTGAACATCAAGGCAATCTCCACCAAGATCAAGAACTATATAACCAATGCCGTGGAGGATGGTGAGGTTATTCAGAGGAAAGGTGGGATATTGATTTTAATTTATATTTTACTTCTTTGCAATCGTTATTCACCATTAAAAATTCTTATACAAGCTAGGACCCTTTCGAGACAATTACACTAAGCGTTGGTTTTTTTTTCTTCTTAATTTTTGTCACTTAAAATTTCTTTCAAATCTAACTTTTTCAGATAAATCCGTTTTATTATTCATTTATAAAAAACATTTATATTAGGGGGGGGGGGGGGGGTCCAGAAATCTTTCTCTATGAAATTATCGTAGTGCGTCAACAGGTACCATTTTATCCAAGAAGGAAAATTTTCATGGGAAAAATGTCGCAGCATCTTTCAACTAATAGGGTATAATTGATTCAGTAAACATATTATTACTATTATTGTTTTTCAATTTTAATATTTTAGAATTTTACATTTTCTCAAAATAATGGCATATTTCTTACAAAAGACTCAAATGCGATTAAAATAATTTAACCTAATTAATTTATTAAAACTATATTACCCCAGAAGAAATTCTGCGTCGGAGCATTTTTTTGAAGTGTTTCCCGTTATAACTACTGTATTCAGGATAATTATGGAAAAGGTTGGCAAAATCTATTAATATATATATATATATTTTTTAAAAAAATTTATTTATTATTCCTTTGATAAACTTCTATAACCTGTACCCCTCCTAGTATATGATTTTTGGACCCCCTCCCTGGTATCAATTTTGTACATGACCTAGATTTCAACTATTTTCAACAAAAAAAATATTTATTTTGTATTTTTTTCATGGTTAGGTTAGGTTAGGACAATTTATGGGGCTAGGACAGGCTAGGGAACTGAGCACTGCAGCCAGGACAGATACTCTATTTGAACAATTTTCAACAAAATTAGTATATATTTAGGGTTAGGTTTGGTTAAGACACTTTCTAAGATGAGTGCTGCAGCCAGGACAGGCGAGGGGGCCAAGCGCTGCTGCTAGGACATGCTAGGGGGCCAGGAGCTGCGGCCACATGACCTACTTAATCCTTGCGTTAAATATGAGATTCATGTACAAAAATGAAGGGGGGGGGTCCAAAAATCGTATATTAGGAAATTACCCATACAATGTTAATCTTTTGTTTACAATTGACAATTGTCAACAATGTTTTTATTTGTCTCTTATGTAAAACAATTATTTGTCACGAAGCCGTTATTATACTATTCCTCTCTAGTTGTCATTTTCTAAATTCATAAAAAAGAAATTCAATGTCTTATCCTTGAGCAACTGGAGATTCTGAAACTAAATATACTCTTGGGGGGGGGGTGAATTTTCGTGTAAATATACACATCTAAAAATTTGTTTGTATCCTAAGGGATGAAGAGAGGGAGAAGGATGAGGCGGAGAAGGAGAGAAGGAGACAGGAAAGAAAAGAGAAAGAGCTGAAAAGAGAATTAGAGAAAGCAGATCAACCGAAAAGAGAAGTTAAAAGGAAAACAGAGTGGACTGTAGAGTTTATTAAGGTAATATTCAGTCGTCGTCGTTTATATCAAAACAATGAAGACGAATTTTTTAAATTTTTTTTATATCAAGCTTTTAAACAGCATGGATACCAATAACATGGAAACAAAGAGAAGTTGCCGATAAAGAAAGCTTTTATTCTTCAAAGCTTATCTTTAATTTTTAACCAAATATGGAAAAATATTGATTTTTATATTTTCAAAGGGTTTTAAGAGACTTTAAGCATATAATTTCAAGCGACCCTCCATACTAAGATGGCAATTACCCATTCACAACGATAATTTGGAAAACTTATTTTTTTCACTTGTTGGTTTCTATATAAAAGTGACATTTTTACTGCAGGAAAATATATTTGAATTATCTGAATGGAACACTTTGAAAGCGACAATATCTTCCATATTATCGATCAGAAAAAGGTTTCAAGGGTTCCGTAGTGAACCGGGCATTGCAGTTTTTGCAATGAAAATTCACGTGAAATCAGACTCACAGTCCCTTGAATAATAGAATTTTAACTGGAAAGATTTCAGCCATTTTTATTTATTTTTAATTATTACTAGCTGGAGAGCCCGGTGATGCCCGCGGAAAAAAATTCTTAATTTTGAGAAAAAATGAGTGTCCACAAAATTTGTTAGCCCAATCGGTCCAGCCGACTATACGCAACATATATATGTCTGTATTTTTGAATATTCGATATTTTTCTCTTGTAAATTGTAAAATAAGAACTTTATATACTTAGATTATAATTTTTACATATAAAACACATTAATTATTTTCCTTGAAAAATTTCATTTAGATAAAAAATATTTACTTTTCCCTTCGTGCTAATATTTTTCTACATATGAAAGGCAAAACGATTTCTTAAAAGATGATGGAAAAAATATCGGGATTGTTCAAATATTACAGAATTCTAGACGGTTTGGGAAAAGATTAATTTTTTACCGTTTTTGAATACTTCATTCAAAAATGTATTTAATTACCTCTTAAATTATTTAATGTACCGGCCCAACCGCACACTTTTTGGGGGGGTAAATGAGTTTGTCATAGAGAGGGCACCCCCGACCAACCAGAGTTAGAGGCATTCGGTTTCTTCAATTTGAAATCATTCTTGTTTTGGTTTATATTTTGACAATCTTTAAAGTTATAAATTTGTTTGTTAAATACTTTTTATTCAAAACATATCCGAATGACGGGGTTTCTTTTATTAATAATTCAAAAATTATTTATATTAAGAATATATATTTATATATTTGTTTATATATCAGGTAAAGGTATGAGTGGTAGGTTTACCCTGCCTGGTATGAAGAGGAAAGGAAAGAAAAGGAAAAGAATAATTAAAGATGAAGATGATGAGAAGGCAATGGATGAACATGAGTACAAACCAGTTAAAAATGCAAGGTACTTAGTAATAAATAATCTTTATCTATAGAAAGAAGTTGTAATCACTGTTTGTTTGTTTGTATTCCTGATCATAGCTCATGAACTCCAAAGCCAGAAATTTAAAAGAGCTCGTGAACGCAAGGATTGTAAGGCAAGAAAAGTTATTTCAGAAGTGTACACATCTTTTGTACTGCAGTGTACTGTCTCTGGGCGGTAATGTAAACACAAGACGGATGTCGAAGCCTGAAATGGGATCCATCTTTCACATAACAAATCGATGAAATATTCTGGTCATAGGAAACTATTATGTGAATTATCAAAATTTTCAAAATTTAATGCTTTTAACCTCCTCGGATACTAAACGAACACTGATGCATCTATTCTTATTTACAAATTCCGCCCAAAGAGAACTGGTTTCAATATGTACGCAGAGTATACACGACCGCAATAAACTTTCCTTGCCTTACATTCTTGCGTGAACGTAAGTCAAAGTTTTCTATTTAGGTTCTTGCTTTTGGATTGAATTTAATTTTAGAAATCAGAATAAGAAAATGGAAGGAAACCAAATTAAATAATACTTTTAACAAAAACATTGGTATCTACAAAACTGCCTGACCCCATTAAGAAACAGGACTTCTGATACTGGTTTTTATTAAAATACTGTTTTAAGTTTCGTGTATAATGTACTCGGACAAAAAACTCTTGTGTACATGGACAATGAATTCTAGTATTCAGGGACAAAAGATTTTTTGTTTACTTTGTGATTAAAATTTTTATGTGCATTCGGTGAACAAAGTTTTGTGTGTACTCGGTGAAAAAAGTTTTTGTGTGTACTCGGTTAATAAAGTTTGCATGTGTACTTGGTGAATGAAGTTTGCATGTGTACTCGGGGAATAAAGGTTTCATGTGTATTTGAGGAATAAAGTTTTCATGTGTACTCGGTGAATAAAGTTTGCATGTGTACTCGGTGAATAAAGTTTGCATGTGTACTCGGTGAATAAAGTTTGCATGTGTACTCGGTGAATAAAGTTTGCATGTGTACTCGGTGAATAAAGTTTGCATGTGTACTTAGGGAATAAAGTTTCTAGTGTACTCGGGTAATAAAGTTTTCAACGAATAAAACCCTAGTAACCTCTTGGGGGGGGGGTGAATTTTCGTGTAAATATACACATCTAAAAATTTGTTTGTATCCTAAGGGATGAAGAGAGGGAGAAGGATGAGGCGGAGAAGGAGAGAAGGAGACAGGAAAGAAAAGAGAAAGAGCTGAAAAGAGAATTAGAGAAAGCAGATCAACCGAAAAGAGAAGTTAAAAGGAAAACAGAGTGGACTGTAGAGTTTATTAAGGTAATATTCAGTCGTCGTCGTTTATATCAAAACAATGAAGACGAATTTTTTAAATTTTTTTTATATCAAGCTTTTAAACAGCATGGATACCAATAACATGGAAACAAAGAGAAGTTGCCGATAAAGAAAGCTTTTATTCTTCAAAGCTTATCTTTAATTTTTAACCAAATATGGAAAAATATTGATTTTTATATTTTCAAAGGGTTTTAAGAGACTTTAAGCATATAATTTCAAGCGACCCTCCATACTAAGATGGCAATTACCCATTCACAACGATAATTTGGAAAACTTATTTTTTTCACTTGTTGGTTTCTATATAAAAGTGACATTTTTACTGCAGGAAAATATATTTGAATTATCTGAATGGAACACTTTGAAAGCGACAATATCTTCCATATTATCGATCAGAAAAAGGTTTCAAGGGTTCCGTAGTGAACCGGGCATTGCAGTTTTTGCAATGAAAATTCACGTGAAATCAGACTCACAGTCCCTTGAATAATAGAATTTTAACTGGAAAGATTTCAGCCATTTTTATTTATTTTTAATTATTACTAGCTGGAGAGCCCGGTGATGCCCGCGGAAAAAAATTCTTAATTTTGAGAAAAAATGAGTGTCCACAAAATTTGTTAGCCCAATCGGTCCAGCCGACTATACGCAACATATATATGTCTGTATTTTTGAATATTCGATATTTTTCTCTTGTAAATTGTAAAATAAGAACTTTATATACTTAGATTATAATTTTTACATATAAAACACATTAATTATTTTCCTTGAAAAATTTCATTTAGATAAAAAATATTTACTTTTCCCTTCGTGCTAATATTTTTCTACATATGAAAGGCAAAACGATTTCTTAAAAGATGATGGAAAAAATATCGGGATTGTTCAAATATTACAGAATTCTAGACGGTTTGGGAAAAGATTAATTTTTTACCGTTTTTGAATACTTCATTCAAAAATGTATTTAATTACCTCTTAAATTATTTAATGTACCGGCCCAACCCCACACTTTTTTGGGGGGTAAATGAGTTTGTCATAGAGAGGGCACCCCCGACCAACCAGAGTTAGAGGCATTCGGTTTCTTCAATTTGAAATCATTCTTGTTTTGGTTTATATTTTGACAATCTTTAAAGTTATAAATTTGTTTGTTAAATACTTTTTATTCAAAACATATATGCCGACAAAAAAGTATTTAAGAAAGAAGCCTGAAAAATTATGTTTAATAGGAGTAATTGTGATCGAAAGTCATAGCTTTCTGGAATATTGACAGAACCATTAAATTCACGTGGGGGGGGGGGTGAGTTATCTACAGAATATATACCCCTTAAAGATAAGTAACCCGGATATTAATATCAATTTAGAGTATGCGTGTGGTTGAGGAGAAGACCTGGTACCAAGTCAAGTTTGAAGGATACAAGAAGTTGTCCTGGGAACCCGAGGAGCACCTCGACACATGCAAGGACATTATAGACAACTTCCTCATCGAGGAGAAGGTAATTCATTTCACACAAATTAAATAAAAGATTGTGCTTCGGATCCATTTAATTTAGATGCGGATCCGCCCTGAATAAAATTAATCAGGATCCAGGTTATGAATATTTCTTTAAGGTTAACTGATTTTTTCAACAACTCAAAACTTTTGAAGAAACATTTTCTTTTTTCGCTTTTAAATATATTTGTGTTTTGAGAGGAAAATAATAAATGTTGTGCTATAATTGAACATAAATACATGTATTGGGCAACGTACATTTACATATTCTTTCTCAAAACATGTTAAAATTTCATAAACTTGCTGTTTTTAAATAAGTCAGCTCTTAGATAATCATTACATCTTCATCGTTAACATTACAAATTCTTGACCCCGCCAGAAGAATTTATTAATTTAGTTTATTTTATTTTTAATTGAATGGCACGATAACTGCATGTTTTCAATCTTTCAATGTTTTACCTAAAAACTTATTTATTTTTCTTAGAAAAATGGCTCTCCTCATTCTCTCAATAAAGTTTTTTAGTTTTAAACAAACGTAATATTGTTTAAACTAATTTTATAATCACTACGAGGCTGGGTGGAATGAAAATGATTTACACAACTTTTAAAGATAGAATTTAAGACGCAATTTTAGATTAATAGTGCGCAACAAAAGTTTTAATGGAAAATATATAACTGTAAAGGAGTTAAGTTTTGCCATTATCTCTGATTTCCTAATCCCTATAGTTTTGCAACCCATTATCCTAGACATTAGATATTTCAAGCTATGAATTATGTTAGATTAAAAGGTCTTGAAATATGAAAGGATTTGCATCATGAACTTGCAGAGATTAAGGGATTAGAAAATTTGAGTTTAAAGCAAAGACTCAATTCATTTAGCTTAATTAACCATAGACAATTTAATCTATTATTTATAATTAAATACTAAAAAGATTCTCTTTAAAATGGTGTTCAATATAATGTTTTATTTGAAGACAGATAACGAAAATGAAATTGAGTTTTTGCCTCAAACAAAAATTTTCTAATCCCTATATATCTTTGCAACTTGATGTTGTTAACCTCTGATATTTCAAACTAAGACTTCGATCTAACCAAATTAATGATTTGAAATATCAAAGGTCTTCGGCATCGGGTTGCAAAGATAAAGAGAGTACAAAGAGTTTGTGGCAAAGGCTCAAGTTATTTTATTCAGGTTCGATTGGCACAGTTGGCTGAGAAGAAGAGAAGGGAGGAGGAGGAGGGCAAGTACGAGGTCGGGAAGGTTCTGGAGGTCAAGTTCCCCAAGGGGAAGCCTCGTGAGTTCCTCATCAGATGGAAGGGGCACGGTGAGGAGATGGATAGTTGGGAACCAGAGAATAATCTAGATTGTTCAGACCTCATCCAACGGTCAGTTAGTATTTTTAACTATTAAAAACAAGGGGGGGGGGCCACAAAACGTATTACTCTCCGGAAAATTTAAACAGGGTTTAAACATAACTGAGAGTTGTCGTAGGAGGCTGATTTTTTGCATGCAAACTCAGAATTATTTGTTGTATGTCGTTTACAAGGTAATTTGGCACGAGAAATTCATTTCTGAGGTCAAATTTAATATTGGAACATTCTGATCGGCGCACTAGTAACCAGCAGTTCCATTATGGGTCATCTTCCCACATATTTTACATGTTGTATGTCAATTTATAGGTAATTGGGCACAAGGATCTATTTCTTAATAAAAACTTTTGTAAAACTACTCTGATTGACATGCTAGCAGCCAGCAGTCACCTTTTGGGTCATCCTGTCATATGTTTTGAATTTAAGACGCAATTTTAGATTAATAGTGCGCAACAAAAGTTTTAATGGAAAATATATAACTGTAAAGGAGTTAAGTTTTGCCATTATCTCTGATTTCCTAATCCCTATAGTTTTGCAACCCATTATCCTAGACATTAGATATTTCAAGCTATGAATTATGTTAGATTAAAAGGTCTTGAAATATGAAAGGATTTGCATCATGAACTTGCAGAGATTAAGGGATTAGAAAATTTGAGTTTAAAGCAAAGACTCAATTCATTTAGCTTAATTAACCATAGACAATTTAATCTATTATTTATAATTAAATACTAAAAAGATTCTCTTTAAAATGGTGTTCAATATAATGTTTTATTTGAAAACAGATAACGAAAATGAAATTGAGTTTTTGCCTCAAACAAAAATTTTCTAATCCCTATATATCTTTGCAACTTGATGTTGTTAACCTCTGATATTTCAAACTAAGACTTCGATCTAACCAAATTAATGATTTGAAATATCAAAGGTCTTCGGCATCGGGTTGCAAAGATAAAGAGAGTACAAAGAGTTTGTGGCAAAGGCTCAAGTTATTTTATTCAGGTTCGATTGGCACAGTTGGCTGAGAAGAAGAGAAGGGAGGAGGAGGAGGGCAAGTACGAGGTCGGGAAGGTTCTGGAGGTCAAGTTCCCCAAGGGGAAGCCTCGTGAGTTCCTCATCAGATGGAAGGGGCACGGTGAGGAGATGGATAGTTGGGAACCAGAGAATAATCTAGATTGTTCAGACCTCATCCAACGGTCAGTTAGTATTTTTAACTATTAAAAACAAGGGGGGGGGGCCACAAAACGTATTACTCTCCGGAAAATTTAAACAGGGTTTAAACATAACTGAGAGTTGTCGTAGGAGGCTGATTTTTTGCATGCAAACTCAGAATTATTTGTTGTATGTCGTTTACAAGGTAATTTGGCACGAGAAATTCATTTCTGAGGTCAAATTTAATATTGGAACATTCTGATCGGCGCACTAGTAACCAGCAGTTCCATTATGGGTCATCTTCCCACATATTTTACATGTTGTATGTCAATTTATAGGTAATTGGGCACAAGGATCTATTTCTTAATAAAAACTTTTGTAAAACTACTCTGATTGACATGCTAGCAGCCAGCAGTCACCTTTTGGGTCATCCTGTCTTATGTTTTGCATGTAGTATGTCCATTCTGGGGTACTAGAAACAAGGATTCTCTTTCTTAGGTAAGAAAAATTAAGTTTCAGAACTCTGATCGGCGCGCTGCTGGCCATAGGGTAATTATGGGTTCAACCTATTATAGTTTTCCATGTTGTGTGTAATTTTATAGGTATTTAGATCAGAGCAATCCATTCCTGTTCACAAAACAAATTTTTAAAAACAATGGTAAGAAGAAGAATGATATTAGAATTGAATCATTTTTCTAATGTTTGTTCAGGTTGTATATCAGGGTTTAGGTATTAGACCAGAGGAATCCATCTACGTAGAGTAAATCACAAGCATAGCATTCTGACCTATTATGTGGGTTTATCCTACCAATTTCCAGGACATACCAGAAATCATCTTCAAATTGGTCAAATCTAGAAGTATGTAAAGAAAAGATTAAATATATGAGGCTGGTACAACTTGTAATTTGCAGATATATAGATTAATAGCATGGAAACCCAGCTTTTTTTTACCTAAAAAAATTAATGAAAACTAGCCCGCGACATCATCTCGAAAATGAAATGACGTAAACCAAACAAAAAACGCAAATAAAATAAGAACTGTTAACAATTAAATGTTTAACAATGTTTTTAACTTTTGTTACATGTATAGATATGAAAAACTATGATAGGTTGAACCATAATTACCCTATGGCCAGCAGCGCGCCAATCAGAGTCCTGAAACTTAATTTTTTTTGCCTAAGAAAGAGAATCGTTGTTTCTAGTACCCCAGAATCGACATACTAAATGCAAAACATATGACAGGATGACCCTGAAGGTGACTGCTGGCTACTAGCACGTCGATCAGAGTAGTCTTTACAAAAGTTTTTACTAAGAAATGGATCCTTGTGCCCAACTACCTATAAATCGACATACAACATGTAAATATGTGGGAAGATGACCCATAATGTAACTGCCGGCTACTAGCGCGCCGGTCAGAATGCTCAATTATTTATTATGACCTTAGAAATGAATTCCTCATGCCAAATTACCTATAAATCGACATACAACATGTTGAAAATGTACTAAGATGACCCATAATGTAATGGTTGGCTAATTTTGACCTCAGAAATGAATTCCATCTATAAATCGACATACAACATGTAAAAATGTACCAAGATGACCCATAATGTAATGGTTGGCTACTAGCGCGCCGGTCAGAATGCTCCAATGTCTATTTTGACCTCGGAAATAAATTCCTTGTCCCAATTTTGCTATAGTTTTATGTATCGCATGCAACTGTTATTCTAACTTAGGCCAAACTTAACACATAAGTATTCAAAGATTTTTTCTTTTAGTGCGCGCGCGCGCGTAGACATTTAAGCTTTTGGAGGTGAATGTTTTTAACGCATATTTGTTTTAAGAGTGCCAGGAAAAATGTTCAAGTGCAATTAATGAAGTTAACATTGATTTACTTTAAAAAAGTCGCATTTTTTTTACAAAAAGCGCGCGCGCGCGCGCGCACTTTTGCTCATATTCCTTCAAAACTTAAAAATGCATGTAATATACATGATTCTGAGTTTGCATGCAAAAAATCAGCCTCCTACGACAATTCTAAGTTATGTTTAAACACTGTTTAAATTTTCCGGAGAGTAATACGTGATGTGGCTCCCTCCCCCTTTAACAATTATGAGACATTTTCTAAATAAAAACAACTTTGACAAGCTCAGGCAACAGTTGCAACAGGCAGATTCTTTTTTTGAGGAAAATAGGCCTCATTGGAATTTTTTTGTTGCCTTTAGCTTGAGGCATTGGATATGGGCGACATGATAAGAAAATTATAATTCTAATTAAAAAAAAAGTAATTTAACCAAACTTGAATTATTAAGTGTTGGAAAGAGCTTGGTTTATTTCTAGTTTTATGCTGCGTCATGAGAAGAGGCTGGAAGCTACTGAGAAAAGTCTACGCGTGGCCCCGAAACGTGTTGAGAGGTTACAATTTGCAGCCTCGCACCGTGTTTCTAAACGGAACCAAGGATTCAGAACAACATATGAGGATATGGACGAATAAATGCAAGTCGGGAATATTTAGTTAATGTAGAAACAGAAAAAGTTTTCTCAAAACAATGTTCACAATTTGAGGTTTACTGGTGTACATTTGTAGTATTACCTGATCCCGGCAAGAGAATTAAAACCCTGGTCTCTTATAAGTCTTGAAATTAGAAATGTATGTACAAATATTGCCTTGGTAAAATTTAACAATAACATTGAAGATACAGCGTATATATACAGTCCAGTACAGTACAAGACATATTTAGTACAGTACAACACAATACTGTTCAGAAAAGTTCAGTACAGTAACTATTTGGTACACTGGTACACTAGCTAGTATACAGTACAGTTAAGTAGATTACATCATTACAGTGCAGTAGCTTTTGTACTCTATAATACAGTACAGTACAATACAGTACAGTCCATAAAGTACAGAAAACCTAAGTACAGTTCAGTACAGTACGTTAAATTACAGTACATTACAATACAGTTATACTACAGTACAGTACCGCACACTGTAGATCATTATACATTACAACACGTAACACATCTGTATGTACACTGTACTTAAACCCATTACCTTCCAAAAGATACAAAAGGTTCTGAACATTTAAACAAAAACTTTTTTGTATTTTTCGTAACTCTAGATAACAAAGGATCTTCCGTAAACATTTTAAAACTTTTTCTGGACATGATGCATTGTTGTTTTTCTTCTGTAAATGTATAACATCGTACATGATCACGTTCATTTATTTTTTTCATTTTGCTTTTTTATTCGAATTGTTTTTTTTTTGTTTTTTGAATATTTGTCAAGTTGTATTATTTTCTAAATTTGCATAGCCAGTGTTTCCTGTCATGTTCCATTATAAATAAAATGTTTTGGCGAAAACTTCAAAATCTTCAGAGTAGATAATGTTGATTTAATTATGATATGTATTTTATAATGTAAATATAATTTTAGTTGGAGTTAACAACTATCCTAGCCTAGCCTAGAATGAAGATCATTTAATAAGTGGTATAAATTCAACAATAAAATTAATCATTGTCACAACTAAAATGTTCTAATTCCTATATCTTTGCAAACCTTCAATATTTCAAAATCAGATTATTTGATTTATCTGAGCTGGGAACTTTAGAATGGGATACTTTAATCCCGACTGCTTAATCCGGATATCCAATGTGGAAACTTTTAATTTCTTGCTTAATCCACTCTTTTTTGATATAGTAGAGAAAAATCAAAAACCGGTTTTTAAAAATTAGAAAGTCCCTCCCGTTTCTGTATATTAATTTTTAATGGGGAGCAAAATTATAAATTTCCCGGTTTGAGATACGCGACTCTGATTGGTTGAATTTATACACTTTTCAGAATACAAGTGCAAGATTAGGTTAGTCTCGAGATTAAGAAAAAGAGAGGATCAAGCATTGATCTTGATATCCACCATTCTGAAGTTCCCAGCTCTGAATGCATACTTTATAGTTTGAAATATCTAAGGCCTATGACAATAAACATGGGATTTAAGTGACGAGTTCGTAATCGTCTTTGTTTAAGAATATTAGCGTTGTACTTCCTAATTTCCATGGTGCATTTTTGGACGTACGCCCATCCTACCAGAAAAGTGCCCATCCGACCTACAAATAAGTGTCCATCTGACCTATAAAAATATATTTTTACTCCATTGTGCTATATATGTATGCGCGAAAAAGGTGCCGATATAGGTCGGGATGTTCTAGTATAGTCAATCAAAATTACCCCTAATTTCTATAGTCAAAAAAATTTACGTTTGCTTGAGTTTATACGTTCGCTTGAATTTATCTATATACTAGGCTTTTAGGGCGCTTGCGCCCATCTTCTATTTCAATTGTGAATATTTTCTCTTTGTTACACATTGTAAAACAAAAACAAAGCAAAGAAATTTCGCGGATTTTATAAAAAAATGGTGGATTTTCAAAATTTTCAAAAATCGAATTTTCGTTAGAGGCTAATTTTTAAAAATTCGATCATTCATAACCTTCCCTGTGGTAAGCTCTTCGCTCTCACATATTTATATGTTAGCTATAGCTGGCTAAACGACCGCGCCGGATAGAATTGACGGAAATGTTTTAAGGAAACTCATATTGGTACCCGGGGGTAACAAGACTAAAAAAATCTTCAAAAATCCACGGGCAATGCCGGGCACTTCAGTTAGTTTTATATAAATATCCAAAATATCATAAGATCGATAGTTGTTAAATTGTCTCAAAAAAAATATAGAAAGTAATTACCTCGGGCCCCCATGACAATAGTCTCCTAATGATAGTGTTTATATCGATAGTATCAATTAGTTAAATGACAATAAGTGATTAATCTAATTAGAACACTCAATAGTATATATCTAATGGTACCGTGGGTTGAACTCAAGTACACATCTATCGAATAGTATATATAAAAAGACAGACAAGCCAAATTTATATATAGATATACCCTAGTAGAAAGAAGTTTTAAGTTTAGAAAAACAATGCTCAAAAGGAGAAGAAAAATAGAACTTAAAAGAACTGTAAGCGTAATTTCACCATGCAAAGATGACAATGCCCAAATCACAACGGTACATGTGAAACCTTTGCGATGAATTAGATACCGAAGATTGTGTTTTTAAAACGGTTCACTTTTATTTTTGGATTCTCTGCAAAAGTGACTTGCGCATTTTCGGCTTACAAGAAATAATGAAGAAATTCACATATAGTAGCAAAAAACAACGTTATCTTCCACATTATTGATCAGAATATGGTACGTTTAAAGGGCACAGTTATGAATCCGGCGTTGCCATCTTTAAATGGAGGGTCACTTAAAAGTATACTATAAAGTATAATAAATCCAACATTGCTTGATGCAATTTGCAACAGATTCACAACTTTTGAATTATTCTGAAAAGAATTCAAAAATAAAAAAATCGGCGTTTAATCTCATGAAATTTTAATTAGAATGTTCCAGAAAATTTGTTGGTGTGGTCACTGGTCATCTACAATATACAGGGTGTCTCACATCATATTAGATCGTTTATAGCTCTAAATTGTGATTTTAGAAACTAATCAGAAAATTCAGAAACAATAAATCATTTTTAAAAAATGTATAAGGCTTCTACAACAAATTTTCTTGAAGAAAAAACCAGGTTTTTCGAGTATTTTGTGCGTATTATAGAGTAAAAGCTTGGAGATAATCTAATATGTTATTGGACGCTCTGTAAATTGTGTACGACCCGTAAATGGTTTAATTCCATTCAAGATCCATCATACAATTAGTTCGTGTAGTTCCTTATATACATAAACATTTCTGGGCATCGAAATATTTCTAGTTATCTTTATTATATTTTCTTCTATTACAGTTTACTTATAACAGAAAGAATTTCAATATTTTTTACGCTTTCTATTGCAAAAGAATTCTTTAATGTTAAGAATATTATTTTTAGCAGTTATATTTTATAATTTGGTAACCAGGAGAAAGTACAATTAGATTCGATTGAATTTCTAAATATGAAGATTTAAATAAGATTAAGCATAAAATTGAATACTAACTGGAGTGCCTGGGGTTGCTAATGTTTATATTATTATTTACAGTCATTTACTCCCGCTATTTACCCGCGCTTGTAATTAAATAACGATTTTAGCTGAAGTACCCGCCGTTGCCCGTGGAATACATTAAAAAAAATAGCTTACGTCACCCCCGGGTTACCCATGGTTTCTTTGGTCTGGTCATTTGGCCAGCTTTATGTAATATGTACAGTGATAAATAGAAAACTCTGGAATAGGGAGACGAGTACGACTTTTAACCTTAAATTATGACTTTAGATAGTCCAATGAGCACAGGAAACAGAAATTATTCAGTGTAAACAGGCCCATTTAACTTAATTTGTGATTTTCTAGTAAAATTATTTGCTTTATAACAACATCAAATACTCTTACGTATTGCCATAAAGTCTCCTTTCTATTTCGGAGTTTTCTGGTTATCACTGCAACGGAAACTTTTTAAATTTACTATATTGTGTGAGTAATTTCTGTAAATTTTAGATGTTAAACCTGTTAAAGAAGGCCAAAATATTTTGTTTCTTGAAGTTATTATATTTGTCAATTTCTTCGTTTTTTATCAAGAAATTAGAATCCATTAAAAAGTTTTAAAAAAAAGATTTTAAATAAAGGATTCAGACAAAAAAACCGTATAAATTGTGCATTTTTTAGAGTTTTTTTTTGACAATAACACGATGAATATATTTCGATTTTTTCAAAAATTCCAACGGATATAATTTTTCTGGGCAATTATAGAAGAAATGAGACATGGCATGATATATTTTTAAGCTGTCGGGCTTAAGCAGCTCTCGGTACAAAGTGCAATAAGAAAAGTTACCGTGCATATCTATTTTTTGAAATTAGCCATCCGTGGATATATATATATATATATATACGAGCAAAGAGCTTTATTGTGTTAATGAACTCAAAGAAGAAAAAACAGGCTTTTATTTTAAATGAGCTCTTTATGAACAGTTCAAGCAATTCAGTACTACACTTGATCGTCTTTAAACCGTGATGCGTAGTGAGACACATTGTAATTTAATCATTTTATTATTTATTCTCCCTTTTAACAATCTTGTCATTTGAATTTCTAAGATAGCTAAAATAAATCATTTTGTGCAGAATTGGTCATTGATGAATTGTATAGTCCACCATTTAAGCCTCTTAGATATAAGTTACTTCTCCTCGAATGTCGTCTTCCGTTGATCTCTCACTGAAATATTTTTCATTCAAAAAATCTCCTTTTCCACTTGGAAACTAAAGTGTAGTTTCCCTTTAAAAATGTCTAGATGTGCGACCAGTTAAGTAGATCCAAAATATTTTTGAAGAGTAAAGAACATTTTTATTGACCCGTTATTAGATATCCTCGAAAAAAAAATCATGAAATATATCAAAGGAATAGAATCTTTGCCACAAACTAAAGTTTTCTTATCTTATTCTTTGCAACCTATATAAATGGTATGAAACTTTGATTTTTCAAACTTAGATTATTTGATTCTAATTCAAAGTTTGAAATATCTAAGGTCTACCACATTGGGTTGCAAAGATTTAGGGATTACAAATTTAGAGTTTGTTGCAAAAACTAATTCCTTAGTTGAAAAAACACGATTTTTTATCTTTACTCTGCCTTATTCAGATGCTAACAAAATTGTTTTCTGAATATTTGGAAGCGCAAACGTCGTTAAAAGTATTTACCCCCTTTTGTGCACTCATTTTCAAGATCAACTGTAAAATTAAAAAAATGCGATATATTGAAAAACAACCAAGCTAAAAAAGATATCAATTCATTTGTTACAACGCCGTAAAAGTCAAATTGATAAGATGCATTACTATCAAAGCATGCAAATATTTCACTAAATCTTGGCTAGTATTTAAAATCTCGCAGTTTCGTTTTCATAATGTATTCTTCAGGGGAAAAAAATGATCGCACATCGAGCAATTTTTTTTTCAGGGCACCCCTTGGGGAAGCGGGAGGTGCTAAATTGTACCGCCCCTGTACCAATGTACAAATATACAACTAGAAATATTGTAATAAGAATAATAATTATAAAAATAATCATTTTGGATTCAATTTTTAAGCTACTTTTTTAGTAGGCTGTTAAATTCTTTATACTTTTTTTGTTAAGCCACATCTTTTACTCGTTTTTTTTTAAATTTATCTAAACTAAAGCATTTCGTTACTTTTTAACTTTTTTGAAATTCTAAATTCAGAACTTACATTAATTAGGGTTTAAAACTATTAAAATCTTCATGCACTCTTCATGTCTTTATGTAGTTTAATAAACTAATAATCTAGTTAATTAATTTTGTAAAAAAGAATTGAGCTTTTGCCACAAATTAAAATATCCTAATCCCTTTATCTTTGCAACCTGATAGCGTAAATCTTTGATATTTCAAACTTAGATTATTTGATTTAACAAAATTCATAGTTTAAAATATCTAAGGTATACCACATTGCAGCGTCGCAAAAATCAAGGGATTAAAAAACCAGAATTTGTGGCAAAGACTCACTTTCTTTGTTGACAATTGACCTTGCATTCATTTGTCACTTTTTTTTCAATGCTTGCGTTTTGATTGAGTCATAAAAATATGTTGTAGTTTTTCTTTTTTTCAATAAAGTTTTAGTTCATTTTGTATGAATTAAGACGTTTAAAAATATCAACCTTTTTAAAAATGTCTTTTCGATTAAGAAAAAATATGTAAGATAAAAAAGTTTAGATTTGATTTTTGAATAAATATTGAGAGCGTTTAAGTGTTCAAAATATAAGCAAACCGCGTATTTGGCCTCTTGTCAAATTTGTTCATGAGCGAGAAATAAGTGCATTCCGACTTCAACAAACTGTATTTAACCAGAGAAAATATTGTGAAAACGGAACCATATATATTGGACAAATTTTGAAAATATCAGGTTTCAATCAGAAAACATCTCAGAGTAGTCATGCGACAAAACTGCATAATTCCAATTATTCGACATTTAAATATGTCAAATAAAGATAAATTTTGGCTTTTCTGTTTGTCTGTCGTGGTGTCTGTTTGCCAAAACGACTGAACCGATCAGAAAGGTACGGTCAAGTAAGAATTTGACAATTTTGCCACCCGCAAAATAAAATAGCTTTATGATGTACAAAACAACATTTCAAAGCTGAAATTATTACATTAGAAAGGGCACGAGAAGGAGGAGGGGGGGGGGGAGGCGGCTGCTCTCAGGGTTTTGAAATTGCTCACAGGGTTTTGGAGTGCTCCCAGGATTTTGGAGTAAAATGTGAAAATTTAACCGACCTCTTATGTAAAGTACTTTAAAAAGGGTACTTTAAAACCGAAAATTGAAAAATGGACTCTGCTTCCGCCTTTTTACTGCCTTTGATCAGATATTTCCAGAGGAAAAAATCGCAAATTTCAGACCAAGTATCATGTGGCGATCATATAGTTTGGATTAGCTAAACTAACGACATTTGTTTTAGCTTTAACAATAAGGAGTATCGGTTAGTGAAAAAAAAGTTGTTAAGCTAGATGCATAAAGGTTTCATTTGAGCTGGTCTAATATACATCTCAACATCTTTATTAATTATCTTATTTCCAAGTTTTTTTTTCAGAAAAAAATACGACTAATCAAAATTAAATGATCACCACAGGCTACATGGACTGAAATTTGCGATTGTTTTCTCTGCAAATAACTGGACAAAGACTGTAAAAATGGGTAGCAGAGCCCTTTTTTAAATTTTCGGTTTAAAGTACCCTTTATAAAGGACTTTTCATAAAAGGTCGGATAAATTTTCACATTTTATTTCAAAACCTTGGACGCAACTCCAAAATCCTGAGAACACTCCAAAACCCTTGGAGCAATTCTAAAACCCCAGGACCAGCCACCCCTCCCTCCGTGAAGTACCTAAAACATTCTGCATTATTCTAATATCTTACATCAACCATGGCTACAAAATCCTAAAGTTTACAAATCAAATTCGAAAGATTTATTAATATATTAACTATTTAATAAAATGAGCTAATACTATTTAACATGATAGAGGCTTTCTTCGATACAGTATAAATATCTTCTTTATAAAATAATGAAAATAAAAACAATTCTGTTTAATATATTTCTATATATCTATTTTAAGTTTTGGGTGAAAGTAAAATTATTGAGAGCCCAAGCCCTATAACTACAATTCAAACTAGCATATTTCATTCACGTTTTTAAAGTACGTTTTCTAAAATTCAAAAATATGAAATTGTTTTAAGCTGATTTAAAAAACTTATGAAAATCGATTGAAAACTTTGGGAAAGGGAATTCGATTTCCCGTCAGAGAAGTCAATATTTAATTGCCATAATTTATTATCAGTACAATTAAGAACGGTGTTTTAGCAAGGACACATTTGGAAAAAGGAATTTTAAGCATTGGATAAATATTCTTCTCTGATTCTTAATTTGTCATGTAACCCAAACCTAAAGCGGTGGGGTCGTGGGGGATAGGGGGGTCAATAATTTAACTTTCATCCAAATTTTTACTCATTTCATTTCAATCTATTTTTTATTCTAAACATTTCAATATCATTAACTTTTAAACTTTTTGGTCTGTTAATAGAAGAGCTAGTTTTGGCTGGCTCTCTGAGAAATGAAACCCTAATACTTTGATCGAAATGTTTTTAGTTGTTCGGTATTTCGAACAAAGTATTAGTTTTTGGAGTGATGTTGAATTTTATCATTATCAGTTTTTTATCCATTATCATTTTTTAAAGGGGGAATATGTCCACATTTCCATACAAAGGGTGGTGGGGGGGGGGGGGAAGGTTCTGACTTCGCTTTTAGAGATTTCTCTTTGATTTTTTTTGCATGCAGACCTGAATTGTGATCTAGTTTTTTAATCAAAAACCAAAATGGGGGAAAAATATTTTTTTTTTGTATGGAAATGTGGACATTTCCCTTTTTAAATAAATCTTGATTTAAAATGGAAAATAGTACACGTAGGGTGCATTCAAAAACATGACAATGATTTAAATTTCCCAAGCTGAAAGTAATCTGTATGCTATAATAAAACATGGCAATGTTGTAGTAATAGTTAGATCGTATACTGTTTTAGATAGAATTATAAAACTTGCTCTTCATAGTTGGCAAACGAGTTGACAAAACCCATTATTTATTACCTTTCGTACAATCTAAGAATTATCAAATTTTCAAATAGCAAAATTATGTTGGAGCACTGGATTCAAATTCAACTTTGTAGTATTATTGGTAAAATTTTCTCAAATGAAATTTATCATTCATCAAAATTTGACGAATTTTGGCTCCGGTGCTCCCACACATTTTGTTAGATGAAAATTTGACATTTCTTAGAGTGAACCCATATTTTTTTGTTCGGAATCTTGACAAAACAGGAACGATTAATTCAAGAAAAAGACATCACATCATCGGTATATTATGTTTAAAACGCAAGGTTTGTTGAAGCCAATTTTCCATAACAATTTTATGTTTTACAACAAGATCTTGTTTGTGCTCTTAACTTAACCCTATACCGATCGGGCTATTTTTATCTAATATAAATGGGGGGTCGGTGTTTCCCCTCTAAGTTTTTACACTTAGAATTGAGATAGGGGAGTGTGATACATGTATACATCTTGTCAAAGCCTGCTCATTGAACAAAAAAATTAGACCTGTAATGGAGAGGGTTGAAAAAAGTTCAAAAAGTACGTTTGAAAAATATTGAAAAATAGTCATTTTTACTTTTGACAAATATCAACATGTGACATATGCTTATAACATCCATTTTTATTTTTCAGAGGGGGGGGGGGTCAATCGTAGTAGGGTTAAAAGTTAATTATGAACTGGTCGATGTTTAAAACAAATGTTCATTTATAAAACAACCCCATGTTCTATCAATGGCCAATTTTTTAAATACAAACCTTGCATTTTTAACTTTATAACATCTAAAAAATGTCTTTTCATGCTTTCCCTAGTTAAATACAATATGGACATTGGACAGAGTAATGCTGTAGAACCTAGATAGAACCTGGATAGCTCCTAGATATAACCTAGATAAAAACTAGATAGAACCTAGATAGAACCTTGATAGAACCTAGATAGAAACTAGATAGAACTTAGATAGAACCTTCATAGAACCTAGACAGAACCTAGATAGAACCTAGATAGAACCTAGATAGAACCTTGATAGAACCTAGGTAGAACCTAGATAGAACCTTGATAGTACCTAAATAGAACCTAGATAGACCCTTGAGAGAATCTAGATAGAAACTAGATAGAACCTATATAAAACCTAGATAAAACCTTGATAAAGCCTTGATAGAACCTAGATAGAACCTAGAAAAAACCTTGATAGAACCTAGATAGAACCTTGATAAAGCCTTGATAGAACCTAGATAGAACCTAGAAAAAACCTTGATAGAACCTAGATAGCTCATAGATAAAACATAGATAGAACCTAGATAGAACCTAAATAGAACCTAGATAGAACTTAGATAGAACCAAGGTAGAACCTAGATAGAATCTAGATGGCTCCTAGATAGAACCTAGATGTCTCCTAGATAGAACCTAGATAGAACCTAGATGGCTTCTAGATAGAACATAGATAGAACCTAGATAGAACCTAGATGGCTCCTAGATAGAACCTATATGGCTCCTACAGCCATCCTGAGCTCTGCATTGAGCACCTGCTAGTAGACATTGGTTGAAGACCGGGAACATTGCTGTGAAAGCTGGCAGGTTGAGATATACTTCCCAAACCTGGAGTAGGACGTCTCTCCGGACCTAGGAGAGGAGTGGTCAATCCCAACCCAGTGTTAGGTCGTCTCTCCGGGCCTCGGTAGGGTGAGGAAGGACCTAACCCAGAGCTAAAACCTTGATCCGAACCTAATAAAGGTTGGAGGGAACCATCTTCTTTCATTAGATCCAACCGGTCCCAGCTCTTTTCAGAACTTTTGAGCACTTCATTTTGTCCATTTACTGACTTAGTTGAGGAACGGGCGGTTCGTGACTGACTTGACTTAGACCCGGAATCGTCGTCATCAATTCTGATTAATTGTCAACATTTTATTTCAAGGATTTTTTATAGAAACTGGACAACACATGGTGCTTAGAATTTTACGTATTACGAAATTATTGTTGAAAACATGAATTTGCCAGAAACTCAAATTTTCTATCTTTATATCTTTGCAACCTAATGATGAAAACTTTTGATATTTTAAACTTAGATAACTTAATCAAACAGATTGGTTTGCAGAGATTTGGAGATTAGAAAATCAGAGTTTGTGACAAAAATTAATTACTTTATCTTGAAAGGAAGGGAAACCTTTTTCAATTCAGATAAAACAAAATAATGTCGTGATTACTGTGAATTGTGTAGACACTTTCAAAGTTGTATAATGATGTACAATCCTATTAGTTCTCTGGAGCCTACCACTGCTCCGCATGTTTGGCTCATTTCCAAATGATTTGTTAGAAACCGTCTCATTAATGGTTTCCACCCCTCCTACCAACAAAACAGTAATTAGAAAAACATGTTCCTAATCTTATATCTCTAGTCCTACAAAACAAGGAAACTAAAATCAATCAGAATTTATATAATTTTTATATATGAGAAGTTCGCTAAACATAATGATGTAGAACGGGCGGATAGTATTATTAGAAAGAGCAATGCAAAATTATTAAATATGATCTTAATAATGTATATTATGAATGATGTAACTAATTTCTTTTCTAGTTCTAGCCTATTTTTGAAGCAGCTATCTCAAAATTTCAAAGTGTATTCAAATATTAGCAACTTTTGTAGCATTTTAAGAGTGGAGAGTAAGTTTCACCGCCCCGAAAATGATTAGATAATAACTGAGCTCATATGTTATTTTTAAATTTTAACAGGGAACTGATTACTTGCCTAAACCTCTCAGTAAATAATCCTTACATCTATGAAATCTGATGTCGTAAGTTTGAAATTTCTAAGGTTTACAGCATCAGGTTGCAAAGATAATGTTAGAGTTTGAGTAGAGAGCTCAGTTCCTTTACCTGGTGGAGTATGAGTGAGAACTTGAAGATGATCTTTATTGTCTCCTCCAGGTTCTCCAGGAGCACTTGGATCCCCGGCTCCAGGAGTTCCTGGATCCCCGGCTCCAGGAGCCCCTAAATCTCCTGCTCCTGCTGCTGTTCTTGGTTTCAGGTACTTATCCTTCCTACTCCGGGTTCTAATATCAGATTCTTGTTAAATTTAAAGTTTTTCATTAATTCTCATCATTAAAAGGACAATAACGGGTAAATTGACCCTCCATTTAAAGAGTGTCCAATTAAAAGTTGTGTACATGTTTGGAAACTGGAGAGTAAGCTAGAGTACTCTTGAAACTCAGCCCACGCTGTAACATTTAACATGTTTCCCGACATATCATATCCTGTCCAATGCAATTGTTTGAAAATTCGAAATAAAAAAAATATTTTCTGTGATTTCCGGGAACAATAATATTTTCAATGTAAAACAGCTTGATTAAGATGGGTAATATTTCAAATAAAGGGTTACTTGAAAGCACGTCTACAATTCCCGTATTAAGTTAAAGGATTGTTAAAATATTTTGCTCACGTTGGGAGGGGGTAAAAAAAAAAAAAAAATCTCGCCTCGGAAGAGTATTGTCTCCTCCCTCCTCCAGGGAGCCCCTGGATTCCTCACTAGAGTTTCCTCTCTGTCCTCGCATTAATCTTCAAACAAATTTAAATAAAATGGCGGGTTGTACCGAAAGTTTAATAAAAATTCCAAAACTCGGAATCGCGGTATCAAAATCAGAGTTCAGTTAATTTTGCGGAAGCAAGCGCAAACGATGCAAATATTTGCACACCAAAAAATCCTAATAAAATAATGCGCGCATCCCTACACGAATATTGCGCAAAAAACTTCTACTATATTTAGTGTAATTCTCTACTTACAGTTTCCAATTCTATCCAGCATTAAAGCTGAGTCTAAAAATATTTTAAAATCTGCTTGAAAAGTCTACCTTTTTGATAAATTACAAGGTTTCAATTGAGAAAGATGCCCACAACTTTCTTTACCTTCCTTTTGCCTCAATTTTACCTATATTTGATACAGGGTGTCCCACGAAATATAACAGTAGAAAGACTAATTTTAGGTCGTCCTTGGTGTTAAAGATAATTTGCGGGATATATTCGTAAACCTTATTTCAGCAATAAAAGTCGAGAGTTAATAATAATCACAAAATATCCCTAGTCTTGTAATTTCCAAAATGGGTTCTGCATTTTTTGTGCTAACCAGAGATATGGAGAACTTCATGTTCAGTTTCGACTTTTTTGGTGTTATTAAATGAAATTGAAATCTGGCCGAAATTCATTATATCTCTGGTAACATTGACATTACCACATTTTGGAAATGCCAAGTATACATTTTTTATGCAGTATTTTAAATGGTATATATTTTCTTATACACATTTGACTCTTGTTCATATTCTTGGTTTAATGTGATATGATTGTTTATATAATTTGTTGAGCTAAGTATGTTCAATATCATGGACATTTGTACTGTTCGTCCTACCTACTCGTTCATTCGTTCAGGACCTATTCGTTCATTTGTTCAGGACCCCCCCTCCCCCCTCCCTTAACACTAAAAGCTGCTTTCAGGGGAACTCATAAATATTTGAAATAATTGAAGTTTTATTATTTATTAATAATTTCTCTTCCTTTGTCCCCCCCATCATATCAAATACCATACAAAATGCTGGTATTTGCGCAAAATTATCAGTGCCATTCTTAAATCTATGCGCAAATAAATATATCATAATGGTTGTAATAATGTTATAATACCGCTATTCAAACATCTGGTTGGAAGAAATTAAAAAAAAAACAATTCAACACTTTTTAGAAGCGCACAGAATAAATCAAAATATTGACTAAGATTTTGTATAATAATGATTAGCTCACAGATTTTGAGAATAACTTGATGCTTATAATTTACAAATAGCGGCCGGGGTTCTAGAGAAATTGTTTTGATATTGTTTATTCGAGATAGTTTTTCCACTGGAACAATTAAGGTGAACAAATATTCAACGCTGAGCAGCTATACTGTATTTGTTAACTTAAAACCTATGATTATAAAGTATTTTTTTTTATTTTCAAAAGGTTGTGAATGTTTAAAAATAGTAAAAAAAGACCTGTAATTATAACGACCGACTCTCGGCAAAAGATAAATCTAAGTTAATGCAAGAATTTTAGTAAAACTAACCGTGGAACTTTTGCAGTTTTGATGGCATCTGTGAGACTCAGTTTTCCCCACTTTTTGCCAGAATCAGAGTCAGCCGCCGCTGCCGTGGTCGCCATTGGGGCCCTGAAGCAAAAACTTGACAAATCTAAATACAAAAGAGATTTAGACGAAGAAAACATCCCTGAAAAGAGTTGAAAACAAATTGCCAGAGGCGTGGCTTTAATAGCAGAAACGTCACTTAAGTTCAGCTTTCCAAACTTATCTGGGAAAATGTGAGAAAAGAGAAATTATAAAGTCGGCTCAGATTTATTATCGTTGAGGTTTCTTCTATAAAAAGATTCCTTTTCTAATACAGACATATAGATTACACACCACACAGTTTCGAGAAGTTCTACGTTAAATGGAGTGTTTAGTGTTCAGAGTATAGCTTTTTGTTGACATTTATTAAGTAATGGAGTGTTCACTGGTTCTTAAACTGAAAAGGGGTATGTGCTCAATCAGAATTGAATCCGATTGATTCAGACTGCATGCTATTCAACGTTGCAGCAAGACTGGGTCAACTTTGAAGTGTCGCAACACCATGGTATTTGATTTTACCTCACTAACCCGCTTATCATATTTTGTAGCCCTAGACAGTGAAAATGCATATTTACATTTGAACACTATAAGACACTTGTTTTAGCTTTAGCCTTTAGCCAAATTTTCATCGATTTTTTTGGACCAGCGATTTCTTTAAAGAATTTTTGTTACATTTTTATTTAGAAAACATACTCTGATAGCAATGAGTAGGATTTCACAACAGACGTTAACGATTAATTTAACGTGTTGCTATATATTTGATGCTAGAGATATAGTAATGATTTTGCACAATGTAAAAAAGCAAAATTTAAGTACAACACAATTTTGAATTATGGTATTACATCGTGGTTTCTTGTTCAACATAACTTCTTGAACGAATACAAAATAGAACACCCAATCTAAGCCCCCCCTGGATCAGTGAAATCTATTGATTTCAGAGGGTTTTCCCGAAGTAGAAAAAATACAAAAATATGTAAAAAATAAGAAAATACATCCTGCTTCTCGGAATATTTTCCGTCATGACGTTTCTACTTTATTGTTTGAAATACATAGCCCAAGAAAACAGAATAAAATAGCAAATTCTCAAAATCTACATATAAAACCAGGACCTCTGATTTACCATACCTAGAAGGCTATAAGGGTGCAATGAGAATACAACAAGTAAATAAGAACCTCTTATATATACTCATGTATTGATAATCTGTACAATAAATGTGCTTATTTATGTATGTCTATACAATCCATGCCTATTTATATATGTCTATACTAACGTCATGTTTACAAAATTGTCTAATACACCCCATACAAGTGTCTTTTTTTTACAATCCAGGCTTGTTTATACAATATAAATTTCTATAAACTCGACAATCGACATACATAATTGTCTAATAAACCCCACACAAGTGTCTTTACTTGTCTATACAATCCATGCTCGTTTATAAAATATACATTTCTATAAACTCGACATACATAATACAACCCAAACAATTGTCTATACTTGTCTATTCAATCCAGGCTTGTTTATACAACATACATTTCTATAAACTCGACATACATAATTGTCTAATACACCCCATACAAGTGTCTTTTTTATACAATCCAGGCTTGTTTATACAATATACATTTCTGTAAACTCGACAATCAACATACATAATTGTCTAATAAACCCCATACAAGTGTCTTTACTTGTCTATACAATCCATGCTCGTTTATACACTATACATTTCTATAAACTCGACATACATAATTGTCTAATACACCCCATACAAGTGTCTATACTTGTCTATACAATCCATGCTCGTTTATACAACATACATTTCTATAAACTCGACATAAATACTTGTCTAATACACCCCATACAAGTGTCTATACTTGTCTATACAATCCATGCTTGTTTATACACTATACATTTCTATAAACTCGACATACATAATTGTCTAATACACCCCATACAAGTGTCTATACTTGTCTATACAATCCATGCTTGTTTACACACTATACATTTCTATAAACTCGACAATCGACATAATTGTCTAATACACCCCATACAAGTGTCTATACTTGTCTATACAATCCATGCTTGTTTACACACTATACATTTCTATAAACTCGACAATCGACATAAATACTTGTCTAATACACCCCATACAAGTGTCTAACTTGTCTATACAATCCATGCTCGTTTATAAAATATACATTTCTATAAACTCGACATACATAATACACCCCATACAAGTGTCTATACTTGTCTATACAATCCATGCTTGTTTATACACTATACATTTCTATAAACTCGACATAAATAATTGTCTAATACACCCCATACAAGTGTCTATACTTGTCTAATGTCTATACCCCCCTTCTTGTCAATACTCATCTATAAACCCCATATTTATCTATACTTATCTATGCACACAATTTTTGTTTATCCTTATCTATACATCATACTTGTCTATAAACTTCATATATATATATACTTGTCTAAGAACTTCATATATATATATACTTGTCTATAAACTTCATATATATATATACTTGTCTATAAACTTCATATATATATATTCTTGTCTATAAACTTCATATATATACTTGTCTAAGAAGTTCATATATATATATACTTGTCTATAAACTTCATATATACTTGTCTAAGAACTTCATATGTATATACTTGTTTATAAACTTCATATATATATATACTTGTCTATAAACTTCATATGTATATATACTTGTCTATAAACTTCAAATGTATATATACTTGTCTATAAAGTTCAAATGTATATATACTTGTTTTTAAGCTTTATATATATTTACTTGTCTATAAACTTCATATATATATATACTTGTCTAAAAACTTCATATATATATATACTTGTCTATATACTTCATTTATATATACTTGTCCATAAACTTCATACATATATACTTGTCTATAAACTTCATATGTATATATACTTGTCTATAAACTTCATATATATATATTCTTGTCTATAAACTTCATATGTATATATACTTGTCTAAGAACTTCATATATATATATACTTGTCTATAAACTTCATATATATATATATATACTTGTCTATAAACTGCATATACATATATACTTGTCTATGAACTTCATATATATATACTTGTCCATAAACTTCATATATATTCTTGTATTTAAACTTCATATGCATATTTTCCTTGTCTAATGTCTCTACTTACTCTGCATGATGTCTCTCCTCTGAGGCCTGGCTTTGTCCCCCATTTCCTGCCGATCAAATATGATTTAGAAAACTAAATATATTTCCAAAAATAAAGAAGAAATTCGAGCAATTGAACTATCGAAGTATAGAATTTAAAGAAAAATTTGATTTACCACTTATCATTGGCTTAATGTGTCCTACTAGCTTCTGATTGGCGAAATTGGGCTTCACCGTAAAAAATCAAGAAGACGTGGACTTTGAAAGAATCTCATCCAGTTTTTGTTAGAATCTAAAAACTTTGATGAAAATGATGAATTTTAAAGAATTATAAAGAAGTAGCTGAAGTGTCCGGCATTTTTCAAGTTTTTATTATTTTTCATATTAACAATTACTCATTATCATAGTTTTGTTTCGCATAGAAAAATATTTTCCACATTAAAAACTGCATTTATATTTTACAGCGAAAAATAAAATAATCGAATTTTGTCTGTTTTCCTGTTTTTCCAATATAAATATATCTTTAATAATACGCTCATTATGAAAGTACGTGCGTCATAATAATGCGCTCATTATGAAAGTACGTGCGTCATAATAATACGCTTATTATGAAAGTACGTGCGTCATAATAATACGCTTATTATGAAAGTACGTGCGTCATAATAATACGCTTATTATGAAAGTACGTGCGTCATATCATTTTTTTTCGTGTAAGCTGACGGGAGAGGTGAGGGAGGGGGGGGGGGTCACCATTTGGAAAACATTTACAATTGTTGTTTAGAGTTAGTCGCACACCCACAACGGATGAGACTTTAATGACGACCTAAAGTTAACATCTTAAGGTTGAAAAGGGTATTTTTGTCTTAAACATAATCTTGTAATATGATATTAGAGGAAACAAGATTAGTCCAGAGAACCAGGAATGTTTTATTTAAGATAAATAAATTCCATACAGTCGTCTCTTCAGTCTCATCTTTTGAGGCATCATGCATGTTGATATTTGATAGAAATCGGCAAATAAGATATATCCAATTATAGAATTGCCTGTTTATTTTTTTAATTATTCGTATAGATTATTTCTTTTTGTGTTTTTAAGATATTTTGTCTAAATTAATTTATGTACAGTGGTTACCAGAAAACAGTGGACTGAAAGTAGCCATTTTTAAATTTTTTAAATGTCGCTTTAAGAATTAGGAATTTGTAACTGATTACTTTAACAAAAAAGTAACTGAACATGTTAGCTAAAAAAGTTAGCTAAACATTTATACAAATATGTTAGTTCTAGGCTGTAGCCATAGGTAAAACCATTTTAAGCGACAATTCTTAATGAAAAGACGATGAATAGAACTCCCCTATTTCCTGGTCACCACTGCAAATAATATTTTTCGTAATAAACCATAATAAATCATGTTTACCTGATCCAACTAATCTTGCTATTCTGCTGAAACCACCTTTACTAGCTGGTCGTTTAGTCATATCTATAGATATCTCTGTGTTGAGACTACTCCTCTTATCGTTGCAGGGGTTAGCAGGGGTGGATGCGGGGGAAGGTCCGGCTGTTGTAGAGGCTCCTGTGGATAGATGGAATCCTGAGAAGTTAAATTCAATCAACATATTTTTTACTTGCATGGGAACCCAGTGTTGCCCGGATTAATCATAGTTACTCCCGCCGTTTACCCACACTTGGTCATAAATTACGATTTTAGCTTTTTTCCTGATAGAAGTCAATCAACTCAACTTAGAATCTCAAAACCAAACTAAGAGTATTTCCGTGACTCTCCCGAGTTCCCCAATCAAAATTTGAGGCAAATCAGTCCAGGGGTTCCTGAGCTATGAGCAGAGAAACAAACAAACAGAGAGACTAACAGACAAACAGATATTACAACATTATATATATATATACTAGTTCCTTCAGTGAAAAAAAAAATTGAAAAAAAGAAATAATTTTCGATTTTTTTTAGCCTATGACACTCACGAGTGTCCGCAAAAAATTTCAGCCCAATCGGTCCTGCCGTTTGACCGGCTATATATTTATGATTATCTTGTTTTATAATATAAGAGATATAAATATATATATATCGACAGGAAATAGTTATCAAAAAATATAAAAGTATGAGTGCAAGAGACGTTCATTTTCTGTAAAATTAAATTACAGAAAGTTTTCTGCTTTCATGAGTTAATTGGATTTGTGGATGTGAAAAACTCATGAAGCTTTGTGTACAGTGTAACATTTCTACATTTTATAATCCATTTACCAAAAGATCACTTTTTTGAGATACACAAGTAGTTCACGCACCTCTGCCCTTATAGCAAAAGTAAATTCAACATATATGAAGCATAAAGTCTGACCGCGTCAACCTTGTTGCACCGGCTAGTCCCTGTTGATTGTCTGCTTAATAAAGCCAATGTCCGTGCAGTACAGTACAAACTGGGACCGGAAAGGTTGACTCGGCTCGGAAATTCAAATGTACTACGGCTGCCCGTGAGTTGTTTGTTTATCCGACAAACGTTTAATATGATTATAAAAATTATCTTCTATTAAAAATCTTTTTATTAATATTTAGCTTGCCACAAAAAGAAATATGACATTTTAAATCAATATTTTTTCCTAAAAAGTTTCTTATTTTAAAGATAATCAGATTTTCTATAATATTGTGATCCTAACATTGAAGATAAATAATAGTATTTCTTGCAGAAAATAATCTAGTTTCTTGTTTTTCTCAATCTATAACATTATAGTGTGATCTTTGTTTGTCTCCCTGTCTAGAACTCTTTTATTACAATAAAATCACCTCTGTTAGTATATATGCTATATGCGACTTTGTGACCTCGAATCTCCCCAATTTTTCATTTTACAAGAGAGTATGAGAGAAGCACACTTCATGCACAACCGGTGTACACCAAAATATCCAAGCTGGGCCAATCTTTTTTGTCCTGGTTTGGAACGTGATTTATCCTGGTATATACATTTAAGAAATTCATAATTCTCCTTAATAGCTCTTTAATAAGAGGAGTTATTTGTGAAAACGTAAGGAACCTATTAAACCCAAGAAATATACCAAGAACCTCTCATATCTTTGTTTACATCAAAACTGTACTGCAATTTCTGGGAGGAACTTCAACAAACTCTGAACTGTTCACTCTCAGGCCTTCATTGTTCATCTGAAGTTTACAGTTTAAAAATGCAATTTTTTGTGTTCTCTCTTTGCTTTTATTTAATGTTCTCTACACAAAAAATGCGTTGGAACAATTTGTCGCATTTGATACGCCATGCATTATTTCTTGAAATCTCTGTGCAGTGTCCTATATTGTACTTTTTAATCTATCTGCTCAGGTTGTATTCCTCCCACAAATTGTAATGTACTTTTTTATAAACAGCTAAATGCAATGCGCTTTATTTTCATTATTTTAGTAAAGTGTTTTTATGTAAGCAAAAAAAGCCATCCCCGGGATAGTAAACCAAAGTAGGGTTTCCAGCGAACGAAACGCGAAAATTTCTTGAAAATGAGAAAATATTTTCGCGAAATGCTAAAATTTAGTAACACCATGAGTTTTATAGCTGCAACAATTAATTGCTCAAAAGAATTCTCTGCTCTGATAGCTCAATATTTGAAGTTTTGTTATGTCATATAAATAATTTCTCTTACTTTACTTTAATAAATGTTTGATAAAGAGAATTTGATTTCACTAGCTATCTTTTAAAGTTTCCGAATTATTTTGGCTCTTCCCGTAGTAGAACTTATTTAGTGAAGAAAGATCATAACGGTCGAGAAAGTATTTTCAAGCAAATCTATGAATTGTCTGATGTCTCATAGTCGTTCTTAAATCTATATTTATATTTTGTGCTAATCCATCAATTGGACTTGCGGATAAATATTAAATCCCTCTTTGAAAATGAGTTTTATTTTTCGCGAAATTTCAGTTTTTTGCCACATAATTTCCATTTTTTTGAGAAATTTTCGCGAAATTTTCGCATTTTCTATTTCGCAAAAATTTCCATTTTTTCGCGAAACAGATTGAAGCGAAATTTTGCGAAAAAAAGCGAAAATTTTCGCATTTAATGCTAGCGAACGAATTGCAAAAATTAACAAAATGGTCGCAAAAAAAAAATTCTCGCGAAACGATTTTTCCTCTTCGCTGGAAACCCTAAACCAAAGTGATCACGCTTGGGATTTTACCAATTATTACGGATAAACTGAAGCTAGAAACAAGTGTGCTGTAGTTATAAAATCTATAAGTTAAAATTCAAAACACTATTCATAGATAGAAAAATTATAACTGATTGATTGATTTATCCTGCCTTTCATCAATCTTCTCTCCTTTTGCCGATTCTTTTTCCCTCCAGGCCCTAAATAAAAAATAATCAAAATCAGATTTTCTATTCCATTCATCTTTGCAACCATATGTTTTAAAACTTTAATATTTCAAGCCATGAATCCAACAAGATCTAAAAATAAAGTTTGAAATATCAAAGGTTTTCCCCATTGCAGGATGCTAATAAGGATTAAAAATAAAGTTTTGAGGCGAGTCATACATTTTTTTCCTCATAGAGCTTTATGATTAAGATTAAGGTATAAAATCTTTACTTGCGGTAATTTTTTATTTTTCCTCTTTAATTTGGAATTCTAGTTTCTACTCCTTTCTGTAGTTTATAGTAGAGTAGAACGAAGTTAATGGAACTGTGCGTGATATTAATTACAGAAACTACCAATGTATCTAATATCAAGAATTTAAATAGTTATATGACCGAAATATGATTTATTTGTTTGTTTGATGTTAATCTTTGTTATTTTTATTTACTTTTTTTCTGTTTTAATTTTTTAATTTTTATTTTTTAAAATTTTTTTATTCTTTTTTATTTTTGTTTATTTTGTTTTTGTTGGTCCGTTGGTTGGATTGGTTTATTACTAAGTCTAGCTGAATAAAGTTGTGTTTGCTTTGTAGAGCACCCACTTATCACTGTTTATCCTGGTAAAAAGTTGAGCGTAAACATACCCAACAATTATACCATACTTAGGATATTATCTTTAGGATATTATTCTCAGGATATCATACTCAGGATATTATCTTTAGAATATTATTCTCAGGATATCATACTCAGGATATTATCTTTAGGATATTATTCTCAGGATATCATACTTAGGATATTATCTTTAGGATATTATTCTCAGGATATCATACTTAGGATATTATCTTTAGAATATTATTCTCAAGAACATACTCAGAATATTATCTTTAGAATATTATTCTCAGGATATTATCTTGAGGATATTATTCTCAGGATATCATACTTAGGATATTATCTTTCGGATATTATTCTCAGGATATCATCTTTAGGATATTATCTTTAGGATATTATTCTCAGGATATCATACTTAAGATATTATCTTTATTCTCAGGATATCATACTTAGGATATTATCTTTAGGATATTATTCTCAGGATATCATATTTAGGATATTATCTTTAGGATATTATTCTCAGGATATTATCTTTAGGATATTATGTTTAGGATATTATTCTCAGGATATCATACTTAGGATATTATCTTTAGGATATTATTTTCAGGATACCATACTTAGGATATTATTTAAAATTCAGTGATGGTGATGGACCAAACCTCTGTAGAGTAAAAAAGTAGATGTTAGTTCCACATTTATTGAAAATATATTTCGGTCTGGGTTGACCCTCGTCAGTTCTAACGATATAATAACCATCAAAATCGATTAAAAAAATTAAAAAAATGTAAAAATCACAAGAATATAAACAAACAAAAAGATTATTCAAAATAAAAATTTGGGCTGTCAAATGGACATAAGGGAAAAGAACTCAGATTATGAGATGGGAAAAAGATAATTTTCAAATATTCACTTTCTAAAAAAATTTTTTTAGACAATTATTATTCCTTGAGATTGTTTCTTCACAAAGATTAAAAACAAACTGTGTAGATGTGTGAATATTGAGTTGGGGTGGGGGTCTTTAGGATATTATTCTCAGGATATCATACTTAGAATATTATCTTTAGGATATTTTCTTTAGGATATTTTTCTCAGGATATCATACTTAGGATATTATCTTTAGGATATTATTCTCAGGATTTCATACTTAGTTTATCATATTTAAGGTAACATCTTTAGGATATCATATTTAGAATATCATCCTTAAGATATCATCTTTTGAATATTATCTTTAAGATATTATCTTCAGGATATCATATTTAGGATATTATCTTTAGGATATCATCTTTCAGAACTAGAAATGTAAATCATAATAAATTATGATCATGTAAACACAGTGATAACCTGAAAACTTTAAAATAGGAAGACGACTTTTCAACTCAGTTTATGACTTTGAATAGTCGAAGTATTTAAAAGTCGATTTCCTATTTTAGAGTTTTCTGGTTATCCCTGTAATATTACCTGACGGCCCTGAAGCTCCCTGAGTTTTCATCCCTGACGCTCTCATGATCTCGATCAATTCGAATCTGAAGGCAGAAATATCATTCTTGATCTCGTTCACGTCGTCCTCTGTCACCCCCTCGTTCTCAGCCTTGCGTTGTTCTTGCGTCACATACCGTCTCACCAGATTACGCATTATCGTCTAGTAATACAAATTCAGCATTTGGAGATGGAAGCTTTTAAAGGTTAAACTTATTCACATAACCGCGGGGCGATTAACCGCGTTCTAATTGGTTTAAGCTCTTGATTAATTAAACCAATAATAGATCGGTTAATCTTGGCTGAAGAAGGAAGAGTGTTTCAATCATTTTTAGCTGAAAAAACTTCGATCATCGTCGTATATATCAATACAATAAAGACGACTATCGACTTTAGTTTTTGATTTTTAACAAGCTTTGTAACATCATGGATACAAAAAAAACACACAAAGAGAAGTTGCCAATTAACAGCTTGTCTTTGTTTACTTATAAAGAAAAGTCATCTTCATTGTATTGATTTAAACGCCAACCATTGAAGTTTTTTTTCTGTAGGAATCCAGTTCTTTAGATACTGTCAATTTGAAAGCATATGTTTTTTAAAATTCCAGGAAAATACTAATCTTTATTCACCTGATACTTTATATCCCGTTCACTAGCTTGCTTCACTTTTCTCTGAAATAAATTCTTATCAATTTTAAATATTTTTAAGATTTGGATAAATTTGCAACCAGGGCACTAGAATAATCGGAGACTGGGAAAATATTAGATAAAATAAAAAAGTTGAGCTGATTTTACTTTGACAAGATCAACAGAACAGCAAACAAGGAAGTCTGGTTCAATGATATAACATTGTGGATCAGTTCTGGAACCCAGCTTTGCCTGGAAACCTAAACTTTCTCCACCAACTCGACTTAGCATTTTTAAACCAAGCTAAGAATATGCCCGATGATCTAACAAGTTCCCCATTAAAATTTCAGGAAAATCGGTTTTAGGGTTTATGAGTTATAATCGGACATACAAGCAAACAGACAGAGCATACTTCTCTTTATACCTATAAACCAAAACGTACGGGCTTTTAAAAACACAAAAATCTTCCAAAATGGTTTTATATTTCACAGATGTCATACATGGTGTCTCAAAAATATGAAAGATTATCTAAATTCTGGTATTGATATTAAAAATTTGATATTAACTTTAACTAAATATTAGAAACTATGAAGAGACATGCATTTTATGAGTTATTCCTTACATTAGGGTGTACTTGTACAATACATTTACCTCTCTCGTTCTATCTGTGTATTCTGTGGTAATACACAATACATTTGCTTTTCTTGACCTATCTCTGTATTCTGTGATACTGTACAATACATTTTCCAGTTTCCTCCCTTAATCTATCTTTGTAATCTGTAGCACTATACACTAAATTTACCTCTCTTGTTCTATTTCTGTATTCTGTAAAGAATACATTTACCACTTCTGTTTTATACACTCTTGTTCTGTACAGAATACATTTACCTTTCCTGTTCGATCTATTCTGTGTTGCTGTACATTACGTTTACCCAAGGTTGTATAATATGGTTAGTTACTCTAGATGCGCTCCGATGTACGGAAAATGTCGTCTCCTAAGATAGATAAATAGCCAATATGACGTCACTCTCACCTCTATAATCAGTGACGACATATTGGGTATTTATCTATCTATCTGAGGAGACGATATTTTAGGTACATTGGAGCGCATCGAGAGTAACTAACCTTATTATACAACCTTGCATTTAACTCTCTTGTTCTATCTTTGTATTCAGTCTCTTGTCCTATCTATGCATTCTGTATTTTTGTAATATACATTAATTACTTTTGCTCTATTTTTTATTGTTGAATACATTTATTTCTCATGTTCTACCTCTGTATTATGTGGTACTATAGCTCTTGACCTACCTATGAATCTGTAGTACTATATAGAATGAATTTCAGTCTGTTGTCCTATCTATGTATTCTGTGACATTGTAGAATACATTTATTTCTCTTGTTTTATCTATGTATTTACGGTATTGTTGAATACATTTATTTCTCTTGTTTTATCTATGTATTCTGTGACATTGTAGAATACATTTATTTCTCTTGTTTTATCTATGTACGGTATTGTTGAATACATTTATTTCACTTGTTTTATCTATGTGTTTACGATATTGTTGAATACATTTATTTCACTTGTTTTATCTATGTGTTTACGGTATTGTAGAATACATTTATTTCACTTGTTTTATCTATGTGTTTACGGTATTGTTGAATACATTTATTTCTCTTGTTTTATCTATGTATATCTGTGATAGTGTTGATTATATTTAATTCTCTTGTTCCATCTCTGTTTTCTGTGGCACTACAGAATTCATTTCAGGAAAGATGATGATTATATAAAGCCTGACAACCGTATCAATAAAAAGGGAATTACATAAATGGCGCAAAATCATTGACTTGTTGTAGTTCTTTCAAAAACAGCGCCAAATGGGCAATAGGTGGCAAAAAAATAAAAGAACTTGCAAACTTGCAAAAATAAATTGAAAAATTTCTTTAAAAAACATGTAATCAAAGTATTTTTTTTTTTTAGAGGGATCCCTTAGCAAACAAGCAATATGATATAAATAAAAATCACGAATGAAAAAACAACCGGCTAGTGCACCTTTTCTTCCAAAAAAAGTCTGTAGTGTTGCCGCAATATACTTGATAGCTAACATTAGAAACTTCATAACTCTTAGATGTGATAAAATTTTTATTTTTTGTTTTCAAGAACGTTTCAATAATATAACTATTCCGTTAAAAATTCAAATTTAATGGTTACCTAAAAAGTTAAGAAGAACATGCCTAAATGAACTATCAGTACAGTACGAAGTAAGTACATGTGCATTGTGCATGCCTTTATTACTGCACATATGCTTTAAGAATTTAAAACAGTACAACACGAGTACACGGGACAAATGAATTTTCATGCTCACCCTCACCGTCTGGAGATGTTCTTTCTTCATTTTGGTACTAGATCCACACAACTTCAAGTATGTACCTCTAAATAATTAAAATACTAGATCCACACATCTTCAAGTATGTACCTCTAAATTAATAATATACTAGATCCACACAACTCAAGTATGTACCTCTAAATAATTAATATACTAGATCCACACAACTTCAAGTATGTACCTCTAAATAATTAATATACTAGATCCACACAACTTCAAGTATGTACCTCTAAATTAATAATATACTAGATCCACACATCTTCAAGTATATACCTCTAAATAATTAACATACTAGATCCACACATCTTCAAGTATGTACCTCTAAATAATTAATATACTAGATCCACACAACTTCAAGTATGTACCTCTAAATAATTAATATATATGATCCACACAACTTCCAGTATGTACCTCTAAATAATTAATATACTATACCCACACAACTTCAAGTATGTACCTCTAAATAATTAATATAGCGGAGGAACAGTTCCGCCTTCCTCGAAATAGGAAATCCACAGTTTACTCCTCGCAAATTTCCACTCAGTATCCGCCTTCTCCTACCAATATATACACTGTCAATATATCCTCCTTCTCCTGCCAATATATATACTGTCAATATATCCTTCTCCTACCAATATATAGACTGTCAATATATCCTTCTCCTACCAATATATATATTGTCAATATATCCGCCTTCTCCTACCAATATATAAACTGTCAATATATCCTTCTCCTACCAATATATATACTGTCAATATATCCTTCTCCTACCAATATATATACTGTCAATATATCCTTCTCCTACCAATATATAAATAAACCGTCAAATTAAAATATTTAAAAAAATTGAAATATTACATTAACAAGCATTTCTGTGTTGCCCAGCTTTTTTTTATTAGAATAGTTTTATCAGTTTTAATACGGTAAACAGAGAAAAACAAACATTCAGACATCAAACAAATTAACTTTGTTAACAAAACATACAGGGTGTCTCAAAAAGGATAAGACTGTAAAAAAGGACTAGAACCTTTTAAAATGTGACGATTCTAAGGTTAAATTCTGTGTTCTGTATTAGACAAAGCAATCTAATGATTTATTAGGTGATTTGGTAAAGAAATAAATAAGATTAAAGGTGCAGAGAATAGTGAATATAAGAAATCATACATCATTAATTTTTTACAATCGTCTCTGAAGTCTCATCCTTGTAAGTAACCCTGTACTTCATGCACATTTTTTTATAATCACATTGGCAAAATGTTGTGGCAATCAGGTTAGAAAAATCGTGCGGAAATAAAAAAATGTCCATGCACAAAAAAAAACTTTAGTGCGCTATTTGTGTACCAGATTATCATTAAAAATGTGAAAATGATTCAATGCAAATCGTGGCCGAGGAATATAACAGGAAACCCCATAGTTTTGTTTACAAATAAAATTTCTGCAGTTTCTGGGAGGAATGTAAACATGTAGTAAATACCCTACTCCATAAACTTCTCTCAGGCCCGTTTCTATCCAGGTACAATTCAGTTCCTCTTAGCTATTAATGTCTAAACCCGGTTACAATCTTGTAACCTATCAATGCCAAACTGACGGGCACGATCTCAGCAGCTATCGATGTCAACACAGACACTAGCTAGTAATTAATCAATGACAAACCACTGAGCACAATCCCATGAGCTATCGATGTCAACCGGACATTAGCTCGTATTCTATCAACGCCAAACCAATGGGCGCGATCTCGTCAGCTATCGATGTCAGCAAGGACACTAGCTATTAATCGATTAATGCCAAACCACTGGGCACGAATTAATGAGCTATTAATGTCAACTGATCACTAGCTCGTATTCTATCAACGCCAAACTAAAGGGCGCGATCTCGTCAGCTATAGATGTCAACAAGGACACTAGCTAGTAATCGATCAATGCCAAACCACTGGGCACGATCTCACAAGCTATCGACGTCTACCAAACATTAGCTCGTTTTCTATCAACGCCAAACCAATTGGCGCGATCTCGTCAGCTATTGATGTCTTTTATGAGTTTTCTGCTTCTTTTATGAGTTGTCTGTTTCTTTTATGGGTTGTCTGTTTCTTTTATGATTTGTATGCTCTTTTCAATTGTCTGTTAAATTTATAAGTTGTCTGTTTTATTTATGGTTTGTCTGTTTTCTTTTATGATTAGTATGTTTCTTTTATGATTTGTCTGTTTCTTTTATGAGTTTTCTGTTTCTTTTATGAGATGTCTGTTTCTTTAATGAATTGTCTGTTTCTTTTATGATTTGTCTTCTTCTTTTTTGAGTTGTTTATTTTATTTATGAGTTGTCAGTTTCTTTTATGATTAGTATGTTTCTAAGCTTGTTTTGTATATGAGATTCTAGTTCAACGTTTATATATATTTCATAAAAAGCGTTTCGGAAAAATATGATTTTTCTTTACAAAGAAATTTCAAATCATCAGTCAATAAGGAAAATGATAAATGATCAAAAATGATTAAATTTGCAAATTTCTTAATCTCCTTATTTTTGCACTATTCACCATTTTCAAATATTTTTGTTCATCCTAGTTTTAACGTTAATTAAGTATGGTTATCGTGCGGCATTTATATCATAAATTGTATCTGCATGTAAAATTTAATTTGATTTTATTCTTATATCGACAAAAATACAAAAATTTACTTTAAAAAATTGTTTAATTGTAAGTTGTGAAAAGTCAAGAGAAACACTTAAAGCACACCAAAACAGTGCAAAATTAATTAGCAATGCGGGGTAGGTTAAGTCGCCATCAAGTCCCTGTGCTTCTGATTTTTTTTAGTGTACACAGTAAAGTATCAATTGAATAAAAACAATCATAAAACTTTACGTTCTAAAACGCACACGAAAACTCACCGTTAAGACAAAAAAATTTCAACAAAATTATTAGTTTTAAATTGGGATTTGCCGTTTGGACTTTGATTTTGAATTTTTTTCAAAGGAATTATGCGAACTTCTTTTTACGAAAAATTACACGGCAAATCCAATTTTCAAATATATTTCCGCATAGTTAGTTAAAATGTAAACAATAAGATGAAAATATTTGTTCTATTTAGCATTTCTAAAAGTTTTAGTTTTATCTTTTTTAGTCTTTAAATTTCAGTTCATTTCATGAAAGTCTTTAAAATTTACATTTAAAGCATTAAAGTTGTTCAAACAATTTAAAAAATAGCCCCCAAAAAACATTGAGCTGTTAGTGTCCAAGCATGCTGTTTTTTTAAACTTTAAAAAAAAGTTCCAAACTTTTTTGAGACAATTTAATTTACCTGGTCGGCGAATTTTTTACCCTCTTTATGAACCCTCAACTAAAAGAACAATAGAAGTTAAAGATTTAAGAAAAGTGTTTACATTTTAATAACATTTCAGAAACTTGATTGTTAGTTTTGAGTGCATTTACTCTGATTACGATTAGATACACTCGATACACTTAAATACAAAAAATAAACAATCAAAGAGACCTTAAAAAAAGGTCTTTTCAATTCTACACTTTTTTAAACCAAATTTTTTACAAGCTGCACTTTGTCCTAAAAATTAAGATAAAAAACTACAAATTTTTAAGCAGCCTCCAATTTTAGTCCTCTATATGGACCATCGTGGAATCTGGGATGGAGGTCATTGACCTCCATTTTGACATTATTAAACTTCAAAAATAAAGAAAAAACACATTTTTCGCCCTTAAACAATTAATTCAACTCTATTAAGGACTAGCTGAAGTGCCGGCTTTAAAAACATTTTGAAATTTTTTTCGAATGCTGAAAAAAATTATATTTTTTAGCTTATTGCTCAGGGAACTCGTGGGCAAATTTGGGGAGAGCAAAAGCTGTTTAACCCAACCCATTTAACAAAATTTAGCATCATTTTCAATGTGAAAAATCTGCAAAGATTCCAGAAAATTTTTAATTTTCAAAATAAATAATAATATTTTAAAACTTAAAATCTCCTTCATACAAATTAGGGATGGGCAATTCTTATATGAAATTTTCGTTTTTGATAACAAAAAAAAACGAAAGAGGGTAAATTTTGCAAAGATTTTTCTTGAAAAAGTTGCTTTGAAACTTTTTGGATTGTTTAGTTTTCACACCAAAAAATGATTAATTTTCGTAATAAAAAAACTTTTTTTTTTCATTTTTAAACGTAAAAGCTTTCTCAACCGATGTCCATCCCTTCATACAACCTTTCAAAGATTTTTTTCCGAAAAAGAACAAGTATTTGTTAAACATTAAAATCTTTAAATATTTTTAAAAGAAATACTTTGTCTTGAATTAATTGTCAACAAAACTTGAAGTGGCCTTAAAAAAAGAGTTTTTATCCCAATCTGGGGCGAATATAAGATTATACAGTTTTCGTTTTCTGCAGGGTTACCCACAAAGGATGAGACTGTTAAGACGACTTGTAACTCTTCAAATATGACGATCCTAAATTTAAATCTAGCCTTTTAAGTTAAGTTTTATAGAAGTACCAAAAATGATTTTGTTGACATTCCCGGACATGACATTTTTTTTTCGTTCTTTGATCCCAGTGCAGTTGCTGCAGAAGTTAATACATTTGTACAATGTATACATGCAATGAAAACTGATGCAATATAGTGACATAATTACAAAACAGCTATCATCTTGTTAAACAAATTAATAAAATAAAATCAAGGGTGGGGAGAATTTTTATACACGCCCCCCCCCCCCCGAATATTTAACAACACTTATATATATTATATATTTGGTTGACTTAAAATCAAAACAATAAGCGAGGAAATAAACTGAACACTTGTAATCCTTTCTTTGCAATCTGACTTTTAATACTTCAAACTTTACATTTTGCAATTTAAGGTTTACACCATCAGGTTGCAATGAGATGTGGATTTGAAAATTGGAATTTATGGGAAGTGTTCGTCAGTTCCTTTACAAATATATTCTCTGAAAAACATGTAGAAGGGTAAAGGAATACATTTAAACACTAACCTGACTGTATGTAGTGGTTAGGTGAAGTTAGCATGTTTGTATATATATTATATAAAATATTTGTTAGTCTATAAAACACTTACAGAACTTACGGAGATGAGTTGGTAGGAGTGATTCATCATGGCGATCAGCAGGTTCAACAGAACTATGATGTTTATGATCGAGAATGTGCCAAACATTAACAGTCCCCAGAATCTAGATAGATATAATAGACATGATACTTAGATAGAAAAGATGAATAGATAGGTAACTAAGTAGGTAGGTAGATAGATAGATAGATACCTGGTAAACTCCTTGATGCCGGTCAACTCGAAATTGTCGAGGTCCACTAGGCCGAAGGAAGCCCAGTATAGAGTCTGCGAGGTTTCCCAAATACTAGATTCAAATATTGTAATTTTATTTGAATATAAATACTAAATTAAACAATATGAATATGCGGAGGGGTAAATTTCAACCAGAAAAACGGTATCTTCCACGTGATTTATCGGATAAAGTACCGTTGTGAATCGAGTATGGCCCTCTTTAAATGGAGGCTCACCTGAAATTACAATTACACTTCCTTTAATTTAATGTTTAAAATGGCGTAGAGAGAAAGATTAAAAAAACTTTTTACCGTTTTTGTACTTACTTTTCAAATCTTCTGTATGCAAGACAATGGTTTATCTCTACAACAATCTTATCATTCTTCTCATACGCCATCTAGCATAATAATCAAATATATAGTTTTTAAAACATTTGTCATAAGTCTGAAGGAACCATGAACCTAGCCATGCATACATGAATTTTCTTTTATCTTTATTCAGGACGGAATTCAATGAATTTATGAGAGGTCGCTGCACTCTTTTGCCGGTTCAAATTCTGAATCATCGATTCAAAGTTTAATATTCACGAGGATTAGAATTGGTGATTCAGGATGTGAACCGGCGGGAGGTAGTTTAGTGACAACTCCAATTCATAAGATTCGGTCCTTGAGTGTATAAATCTTTTGGTATTTCCAATATTTTATCTAACACTTTTTTAAAGTTCATGGTTTATCAAAATAAATTAAAAGTTCTTCTCCGGCCACAAATTCAGATTTTTCTTATCCCTTTATTTGTGCAACCCGATGTCCTAAACATTTGCTATAAATTCTGTCAGATAAAATATTCTACGCTTGAAAAATCAAAGGTTTACACCACCATCAGGTTGAAAAGATATAGGGATTAGAAATTCGAGAAATTGTGGCTAAACTAGAGTTCTTTTTTGACATTATTATTTCAATGCTGAAATGCTACAAGTTCTTAAACTTTTTCAAATTTAAAATTTTGGATCAAACTTTGATATTAGGTTTTATTATCATGAATCATTCAAGTTTAACTAACTTTTAAACTTATGGTTTAAAACATAACTTTTTTAACTTATGGTTTAAAACATTAAATTTTTTGTTCAGTTCTGTTAATCGAGGATCAAAACCGGAAGGATAAAAAATATTTTATATAAAAAATTCAAATTTTATAACAAAATTTTTTGGTAATTCTTATATATTGTATAAATTGTAATTTCATAATTTTACTTTCTCAACTATTCTAAAATTCAAATTTTTATTTTACTAAAATTCATTTTATAAAGTTTCTAAGTTGAACTTTCCAAGATTTTTAAAGGGAGAGACTGGTTAAGTAACATTGTTTAACAATATTATTGAGATAAATGAGATGTTTTTACTGTGTATTATTTCTAAATAAGTTAGGAAAATTTTTCCATGGGGATAATCAGCTGATTTTATAATTATTTAATTGTCGTTTTCTACGGGTTAAAGTGTTTAATTCTGAAATCAGACAAAGCTTTAAATGGAACCGTAGTGAATTAGGTATAGCCATCTTCTTTGCATATCGTCATATGTTTACTAACCCTGTTATTTTTCCTTCCTCCCGTCAGGTTTTCAATGGTTGTAATGTTGTTATTCCCTGAATCTTCTACACATTTCTGTTTTTCTAATTCAGCATAGTACCATAGCAGCTGGTTCATTCCTAGACAATTTATATTCAGCATAGTACCATAGCAGCTGGTTCATTCCTAGACATTCATATTCAGCATAGTACCATAGCAGCTGCTTCATTCCTAGACAATTTATATTCAGCATAGTACCATAGCAGCTGGTTCATTCCTAGACAATTCATATTCAGCATAGTACCATAGCAGCTGCTTCATTCCTAGACAATTTATATTCAGCATAGTACCATAGCAGCTGGTTCATTCCTAGACAATTTATATTCAGCATAGTACCATAGCAGCTGGCGTTGCGTTGCCAGTGAAATTTCAACAATGTCAAGGGCTCCCTGAAAGAAATTGAGTTTTTGTCACAAACTCTGATTTACTTATCCCTATATCTTTGCATTATAATGTTGGAGACCTTAGATATTTCAAACTATGAATCATTTTAGATCAAATTATGATAGTTTGAAATATCAAAGGTTTACACCATCAGGTTGCAAAGATATAGCTATTTAAATCAGAAATTGTGGCAAAAACTCAGTTCCTTTATCGAATTTGGTCCAACCGTTTGGCCAGCTACACTCAGGGCACTAATTACTCCACTAGAGGGATGGTTATTAACTCTCAGGGCACTAATCACTACACCAGAGGGATGGTTATTAACTCTCAGGGCACTAATCACTCCACTAGAGGGATGGTTATTAACTCTCAGGGCACTAATCACTACACCAGAGGGATGGTAATTAACTCTCAGGGCACTAATCACTCCACCGGAGGGATGGTACCAAACACTTAGGGCACTAATCACTCCACCGGAGGGATGGTAATTAACACTCAGGACACTAATTACTCCACCGAAGGGATAGTTATCAACAATCAAGACACTAATTATTATACAAGAGGGGTGGTAATTAACTCTCAGGGCACTAATCACTCCACCGGAGGGATGGTAACTAACACTCAGGACACTAATTACTCCACAGAAGGGATAGTATTTAATAATCAAGACACTAATTATTATACCAGAGGGATGCTAATTTACTCTCAGGACACTAATCACTCCACCGGAGGGATGCTAATTAACGCTCAGGACACTATAATAATTCCACCGGAGGGATGGTGATTAACAATGAAGACGTTGAATATGGAGTAATTAGTGTCCTGACTGTTAATTTCCATCCCTCTGGTGTTGCAATTAGTGTTCTAAGTGTTAATTACCATCCCTTCAATTGAGTAATTGGTGTCCTGAGTGTTAATTACCATACATCGGGTAAACCTCCGGAAGAGTAATTAGTGCCCTGAGTGTTAATTACCATCCCTCTGGTGAAGTAATTAGTGCCCTGAGTGTTAATTACCATCCCTCTGGTGAAGTAATTAGTGTCCTGAGTGTTAAATACCATCCCTCTGATAGAGTGATTAGTGTCTCAAGTGTTAGTTACCATACTTCCGGTAGGTAGAGTAATTAGCGTCCTGGGTGTTAATTATCCTCCCTCCAGTGAAGTAATTAGTGTCCTCAGTTTAAATTACCATCCCTCCAATGGAGTAATTAGTGCCCTGAGTGTTAAATATTATCCCTTCGAAAGAGTAATTAGTGTCCTGAGTGTAAATTACAATCCTTTGATGGAATAATTTGTGCCCTGAGTTTTAAATACCATCCATCTGATGGAATAATTAGTGTCCTGAGTGCTATTTATCATCCCTCCGATGAAGTAATTAGTGCCCTGAGTGTAAATTACCATCCCTCCGATGGAGTAATTAGCATTGAATATATAAAAAACATTGCCGGTGAAATTTGAACCACCGATTCAAAGTGAGAAGTAGATGAACCATATACCACGGTTTAGCCAGTTCTCTTGTTCGCCGGGTAAATCTGAAGCGAAGTGGTTGAAGTTAATCTGCATTGTTCAATTAGCTACTTCCTTTATATCATTAAATCTGCTCTACTCATCCAGGACAACAATTTTTCATGAAATAAATTATATCTTTACAATCTTTAACATTTTAAACCCCGACTATAGATGGAACAAAAATCATTATATAAAATGTCAAAGGTTGCAATAATATATTTATTTGTAAATTGGAATTGATAGCGTGGGTTTAGTTTGTTTTAAAATAAAAATGGTTGACCCTCTATTTTAAAACTTACCACAGGAGAAGGCAAAAAGAACTAGAATATAGAGAGCACAGAACTTCATGATATCCATAACCATCCGGCTCAAAGAAACCTTAAAAATATATTTTTTAACCAGGTATTGTAGAGAATTTTCAGTGCTGTTAAAAAGAGTTTAACAATCATTTTAAATAACAATCCATTTAAAGAGAGGCGTGGGCAATAGGCATGGACCGATTCACCTTGTTAATCTAATCAGAAATAAATCATATATCTTTATTTTTCTGACTGAATATTGATTATTTTCAATGGTGGGTTCTAAATCTTGTTATTCAGTTTCATAATTGTTCAAACAAAGACGTCGTTGTGAATCTGACATGATGGAGGGTCATTAAAATTGAAAAATGTTGCATTTTTTAATGAAAGCAAATCAATAATCCTAGAACACTTTTTAAAGGTTTTGAAAAAGAGCTAAATTTATTCTAAGCGTTTTAAATTAACTCAATTTAGAATAATTTCCCCCTGTATTGGGAAAGTTAAATTTAAAAAGTATTTAAATTCGAATTGAGATTTCAATATAACAAAAATTTAATCAGAATAAATTAAATCTGGATAAAATTGCTAAGAAATAGATTTTTTGACGATTAAAAAAATCTAAAAGATTTATTATTATTTTTGGTATTAACATTATTAATAACTAGTCTTTAAAGGGCGCTTCGCGCCCATCTTCTATTTTAATTGTGAACATGTTCTTTTTGTGTACATCGTAAAACAAAACAAAAAAAAGTTCGCGGATTTTAACAAAAAATTTCGTGGATTTTCAAAATTTTTAACAAATTTAATGAAAATCAAATTTTGATGTAAACAAATAGTTGAAATTTTGATCATTCATAAACCTTCCCTGGGGCCACGTGATGTCCCACAAAAAATTTGGGCCCGATCGTTCAGCCGTTTTGACGTTTATTGGATACAAACAAACAGACACCCAGACAAACAGACTGACATACCAAATTCATATATAGATAGCAAAAATCAATACTAGAAACCCTAAAATATGGACTTTTAAAGACAAAAATTTACAAGCATTTCTACAGGGCTACAGAAAGAGATGGGTATCGTTTTTTAAAACGAAGGAAAAACTGTCGTTTCGTTTTGTTTTTTGAAAAACCGAACAATCTTTTAAAAAAAATTAAAGTTGTGCTTTGAAGGCAAATTTTGAAATAAAGTAAACGACCGTTTCGTTTATCGTCGTTATCAAAACAATCAGTTCGTTTTTAGATAAGAGAAAACTGCCAATCCCTAGCTTAGCTGCAAAAAGGTTAAACAAAGGGTATCTGCATGGCGACTCTTTAAAGTCGGCCCGTTCTCCGTAGTTGATGCATAATTCTTAACTGTGTGCAATGTGCATCGTTTCAAAAATGCACATTTTTGCAGCTCAAATATATTAACGATCTTGCACTGAGAGTTTTCATAGTGATAAAAGGGCAACAACTTTATGAACGTTATCCGCAGTAAACCGGATTTTTATTTAGTCTTTTTTTATTAATATATTTTTTAGATAGATTGTAAAACATAATGTTCAGTTATAAAACAGCACCAAAGACTTCTAATATCAAGAATTTGGAGGTTCTTTGTTAAAATTAAAAATTGTTAAAAAGTCATTTAGTCCAAAATAGTAAAACCAGTCATCGATTTGGTTAGTTTTCATTATTTTACCAAATAAAAAGTAAAAAAGATTCATTATAATATAAAGAAGCACTTTGGTTCTATTTATTTTATATTTATCAATAAGAGCACTACCGATTCTTGAATTGGGAAAATTTCTTTTTTGGACCTTGTCTTTTATATAATGCTAGATTGGGATCCTTGTCTTTTATATAATGCTAGCTTGGGACCCTTATCTTTTATAAAATGCTAGCTTGGGACCCTTGCCTAGAAACCTAACTTTCTTTAAAAATGTGAATCCTAACCAACTTAGAATTTTTAAACCAAGAACACTCATGTTTCTTTAACGAGTTTCAAAATCAAAATTTGAGACAAATCGGTCAAAGTTAATTATGATAGGACATACAAACAAACTTTACAATTATTGATAATCTTTTTCTGAATTGAACTTTCTATTTTTTTCTATTTTTCTTATATTGCATCAAGACCCCCCTCCCCCCCGCACGTGTGTTTACAATCCCTCATAATCGGTTGTTTTTCTCAAATGAGTTATTACTTCCAATTCTGCTTTACATTAATATATAAATCAAGATACCCCTCTCCCTTGCTAAACATTTAAATTCACAAACCCTTCATCTCCCACTCCCTACCTTCTTAATCTACCCCCCTGACCTACTCCCCTCCCCGCTGTACCTCTGATATAAGAGTAGGATCCCAAGAATTCCTACCCGCTACCTCTTTGATCTACCCCCCTCCCCTTTACCTCTGATATAAGAGTAGGATTCCAAGAATTCCTACCCTACCTCTTTGATCTACCCTCCTCCCCTTTACCTCTGATATAAGAGTAGGATCCCAAGAATTCCTACCCCTACCTCTTTGATCTACCCCCCTGCCCTTTACCTATGGTATAAGAGTAGGATCCCAACCATCTCACTCCCTACCCCCTTAATCTAACCCCCTCCCTCCCCTTTACCTATGATATAAGAGTAGGATCCCAAGAATTCCTACCCCTACCTCTTTGATCTACCCCCCTGCCCTTTACCTCTGATATAAGAGTAGGATCCCAAGCATCCCACTCCCTACCCCCCTGAATTATCCCTTCCCCTTTACCTCTGATATAAGAGTAGGATCCCAAGCATCCCATTGCTCTCTAGGTAGTTCCAGAGTATCTACCCCTTCAATTACAAGTATATACCTTTACTCAAGGCACCTTCGATTAGACCTTTGATTTTCCCAAAAAAAAAAAATATTTTTTTTTAATTGAGTCGAGCTTAATAAAATGTCACTGCATTCTAAATTTTTGTGTACGCTTTAAACCTTTCTTTTAATGAGAAACAACTAGAACGTTTTTTTGTGTCACAAAATAGATTTTAGGGTACCATCAATTTTTATCAAAATCAAAAGAAAAGTATGAAATATTTCTTCGAGTAAAAATATTCCTCAATTCTTTATAGATTTATAAACTTTGTAAAAGTATATTCTTGCCTAACGCCAGTTCTGTTTGAACCTAAAATAACATTTGTTAAAAAAAACTTTTGTCAAGAATAAAATACAAATTTAATTTAAAATATTCTACAATATATTTAGATTTCTTTAAAAAAAAAATGACTATTTCAAATTTTTTTACAAAAAAAAATGTTTACATCGTAGTAAGCCACGAGGCGAAGCGCTATTGTTGCAACGTATAAGGAGTTTGTTATAAAGTCCACAACATTCCACATATCACTAGATAGTAAGTCCATTAAACAACATTTTTAACAACATTTCAACAAAGTTCTAGACCAGTAATAAGACATTCAGCGGTAAAAAAAAAAACAATAGACCATGGATCAATACAGGGTTACCAAAAAATAATGATACTGCAATGACGACCTGAATTTGGTTTTTGAAGTTTAATGTCGTATTTTAAAGGTTGAATGATTAGAAAGGTTGAAAAAGCTGGCTTTAAAGCTAAAGAGAACAATGAATCCTAGACGAAACAGGATAGTCTCTGAACATTGTGTAACAATGAACAATTAATCCTAGACGAAACAGGATCGTCTCTAAACATTGTGTAACAATAAACAATTAATCCTAGACGAAACAGGATCGTCTCTGAACATTGTGTAACAATGTACAATTAATCCTAGACGAAACAGGATCGTCTCTGAACATTGTTTAACAATGTACCTTTTTGAGATTTGATGACCTTTGGCCACGGATCGCTAAAAGTGTGCGCATGGATTTTTGTGGTAAAAAATAAGAAACAAATTTTCTAAATAAAAAAAAAGTTTTACAGGTAAAAATTGGATTCTCTGTTGAATGTATCCGAAAAAAATAAAGTTTAAAATTTCTGTAAAAGATAATTTGAATATTTAAATGTAAAATAAAATTTATTTAATTTCACTTTATTCGCTGAAACAAAATTCTGAACTTCTTACTTTTGAATAATATTAAATTCAGTAATTTTTAAACTTTTCATTCATAATACAATCATGAAAAATGTTGTTTAAAAGATTCCTGATATACTCTCGCATCCCTACATCCCATAGCTGTTTGATCTCGCTCCAGATCAAACCTAAAGATTTATCAAATCAATCCTAAATATTGATAAAATCAATCATAAATTTTGACCCACAGGAGTCCTAAACATTGATTAAATCTATTTTAAATATTGATTCAATCAATTTTAAATATTGATTAAATCAATTTTAAAATTGATTAAAATTAATTCTAAATATTGATTAAATAAATTTTCAATATTAATTAAATCAATTTTAAATATTGATTAAATCAATTTTAAATATTGTTTGGTTCTGTAACATGCGATATTCTTCTTCATATTCTTCTTCATTTTTTATTATCCTAATTTAAAAGACACAGTACTTAATCTTACTCAAAATTTGTATTACAATTAATTTCCGTATCTCATTTAAAATTTTATACTTGTAATACCAATTATGTAACACAATTATACACATTTAACAAGAAACGGAAAATATAAATATTTAGTTAAAAAAAAGACATTATGTTTCATGTTGCTATTTATTTAATATATTCCTGAAATGATTCAATAATTCAATTAAGATGTATTTTTTTTTTGATCCAGTAACTTATACTAAGGAAAAATTCCAAAATAATTTAGAAATACATTTCAGTTCCCAATCGGAATTCCGTTGCGCGGAGTTTACAGGGCTCCCAATTGCGCACAAGTAAAATCCACTTGCGTTGGAAGTCGACCTCAGATCGGGATAAACAGTTTTTATACATTTTAAAAAGCCTGGGAAGAAATCATCGTCATTGTTGTACTAACATTGAAATACTATCGTAGATCCCACTGCATCCCATCCGAGACTCCCGATTTTCATCGATTTTCATCGATTTTCATCGACTTTCGAGCATTTCATAAGAACATTGCTCTAAGAAAATCTATATTTTTAGTGATATCTGATGGAAATTTATTGATCTCCAATGAGATGACCGAGAAGGTCTCCAATGATGATGATTTCTATAAATAATACTGTTGATGTAAAGTTGACCTGCAACCCAGGCGAGAATAAAGGATTCTACAAGGGAAGGCGAAGCACCCCGTTTAGTTGCATTAGAATTAAACTCCCAACCAATCATATCTTCTATCCGCTGAGACGCCAGTATTAACAAAACTAAACAAATATTAATAGATTTTAAAGGAATTGAGTGTTTGCCACAAACCCTTATATCTTTGCAACCCAATGTTGTAGACCTGAGATATTTCTATGTGATTTTTTAAGGCAAATGATATAAGTTTTAAACATCAAAGGTTTAAACTTTCAGATTGCGCAGATATTTAGATTTGAGAATTTTGGCTTGTGGCAAAAACTCAATTCATTTGGTGTTGATGTTGGTACACACCATAATATAGTTGATGTTGGTACACACCACAATGAAGTTGACTAAAGACTTTAAAAATTAAAGTTTTTGTGATGTTAAGTGAACCTTCATTGAAAGAGGTACATGATCGATTCACAACGATACCTTAGCAAAGCAATAGTTTGGAAGACTTCTTTGTTTAAAAAAGTTCTAAATTAAAAAAATTCCTCTGTTGCTTCTGTAGTTGAAATACCACAAACTACAATTGTGAGGAGACCACTATTGTGAATTGGGCATGTCCCTCTTTGAAAAGAGAGTCACTTGCAATAACGTTTACATCAATTTAGGTCTACATTTTTAATAAAAGAAATATTTGTCATGGTTGACCCTCTTTAAAGATTCGAATTTAGATATATATTATGTATAAAAAATAAACTTATTAAGTTCAAAATAGCTAAAACTTATTTTAATTGATTGAAAGTTACTTTTCGTCTTTTACGGGAATGTTTTTACGCTTTAGAAAATTGATTTTACAAAAATAAAACAAAAATAAAGGACAACTTGTCAGATATATATAAAAATTTCAAACAAAATTGTCTTTATTTTGAATTTTTTTTTTGTGTGCTAGCATTAAAGCTTTACACACAGCTGTTTAATTAATTTGATTCACTACTTACATAAAAATGTGAAGTATGAGGCAGAGTTGCAAATAAATTTGATAAAAGGTTTTCTCATCATCTGAGACATCCTAAACACAAAGAAAATATTAAGATATGTTTCATTCCTTCACTGGATTTCTCAAAACCGAGGCTGAATTTAAAGAATTTGAGCGGCGACTTAAATTTAAGCAGCGGCTCAAATATGGTTGGTTTCACTTAAAATTGTATTAAATGTTTCAAGATTTAAGCCGGCGCTTAATTGAAATCGGTTTTTGGTGGATTTAAGACGCGGCTAAAATTCATTAAATTCGGACACCGAACTATTTCTTAATTATTTCTGATAAAAAATGCAGTTTATCCCGATGCTTGTTGACCTGTTTTCTATGAGGAAGTTAATTAGCGTTTTTGATCCAGAAATATGTTTTTAATCCAGAAATATGTTTTTAATCCAGAAATATATTTTTAATCCAGAAATATGTTTTTAATCCAGAAATATGTTTTTAATCCAGTAATGTGTTTTTAATCCAGAAATATGTTTTTAATCCAGAAATGTGTTTTTAATCCAGAAATATGTTTTTAATCCAGAAATGTGTTTTTAATCCAGAAATATGTTTTTAATCCATAAATGTGTTTTTAATCCAGAAATGTGTTTTTAATCCAGAAATATGTTTTTAATCCAGAAATATGTTTTTAATCGAGAAATATGTTTACCAGAAATGTGTTTTTAATCCAGAAATATGTTTTTAATCCAGAAATATTTTTTTAATCCAGAAATATGTTTTTAATCCAGAAATGTGTTTTTAATCCAGAAATGTGTTTAATCCAGAAATATGTTTTTAATCCAGAAATATGTTTTTAATTCAGAAATAGTTTGAATTACGTTAACCTGTGATATGTGCTTACAGGAACTAAATGTACGTTTAGCTGTAATATGTGCTTACAAGAACTTTAACGTTAACCTGGTGATATGTGCTCGCATAAATAAAGGCACGTTAACCTGTAATATTTGCTTACAAGAAATGAATGCACGTTAACCTGTGATATGTGCTTACTATAACCAAATGTACGTTAAACTGTGAAAATAGATGTTATGAAATCTTTGATATATTATACACTGTGAATCTGAGAATTGGATAGATTTGAAATATTACTCAACTGCAGACAGACCATTCCGATATTTTCATAAAAGGATCGTTTTATCTAGTACTTCCATTTATTTCTTTATTCAGCACAAAAACACAAATGTTTTAAACTTCTGATGGAAAGAAAGAGTTCAGAATGGAACTGAGTTTTTGCCAAAAACTCAAAGTTTCTTATCCATGGTGATTACAATCTTTGATTTTTTAAATCTATATTATTTAATCTAACAGAATTCAAAGTTTGAAATATCAAATGTTTCCGACGTTAGGTGTTAAGATTAAAGTAAGTGTTCGCGAAAATTGACAATGGACGATTTTTTTGGCCGCCAGGTGTCTCTCCCGCGTGGAACCCCTGTAATGTCGAAGGTAGAGACGCCTAGCGGCAAAATAATCATCTTTTAGAGTAAATCGTGTACAAAAAAATAAAATATATAATGAAATATCAACTAAGTATGAATGCATTATATTCGACATGTAGGTTATAACATCTTAATGATTTGTTTTAAATTTAATTGAATTGTTTACAATCTGAGTGAAATGATGCAATTTCGTGAATTTGTATGGGCCCTACGTCCTTCAGTATGAGACGTTTTTAACCCTTTTCTCCTTATAGACGCAACATATATAGAAGTAAGATTATATAGTAGCGATCACCATCGAAATCGATTCGACATTAGCCTATTTAACACGTAAATCTGGAGTATCTTAGCATCTTAGATAATGTTCCGAAATATAAAAAATTACGTTATGCATTAATTAACAAATTTTCAGAAACGGTCTTCCCCTGNATACAATTTACCTAATCCAAGGGCAAATAATGTATGTGATGGAGAAAAAAGGAAATAATAAACCAATTCTGCAGACCTCTAATGCCTGAAAAAATCATGTGTTAATTAAAAGGATTTTGAAAAAGCGCTATATTGATGAAAGGGTAATAACTCTAAAAACAAAAGGTCACTTTAAAATACAGAGACAGTCCCTTTAATGAATGTTTAGGTTAAACCTAGAACTTCTACAGTCGGTCTTTAAAGAAAGAAAAGGTACAGTGGTAGGCGATTATATCAATACAATGAAGAGGACTTTTTTATTTAAGTTGATTGTTTAACAAGTTTTTTTCGAATTTACAAGTTTACAATTAATCAAAGAGAAGCTTTTTTAATCCACAGCTTCTGTTTGCTTTCATGTTTATGTGTATCTATACTGCTTAGAAGCTTGATATAAATGAAAATTTGAATCGAAAGTTGTCTTTATTGTATTGATATAATCGCGAACCACTGTAATATACACTTTTACTTGAAATACTCAGGTAAACGAAATCTTTTATGCTTAGTAAAGATATTAATCCAAACATTTGCTTAAATAATTAAAAAGTTTTTGTAACAAAAACTAGAATTTGTTGAAGGGGAAAATCAAAAGATTATTGATATTTCTGTGGCACAATTTATTTTCTGGAGCACCATATTCATTTCCTGGAGCACCATATTCATTTCCTGGAGCACCATATTCATTTCCTACCTGGAGCACCATATTCATTTCCTACCTGGAGCACTATATTCATTTCCTACATGGAGCACTATATTCATTTCCTAAATGGAGCACTATCTTCATTTCCTACCTGGAGCACCATCTTCATATCCTGGAGCACCATATTCATTTCCTACCTGGAGCACCATATTCATTTCCTGGAGCACCATATTCATTTCCTACCTTGAGCACTATATTCATTCCATACCTGGAGCACCATATTCATTTGTCTAAATCCAGGAAGTCCTTCATACCATATGGACGCAAGTAATTGTTGAACATTTGGATGTGCTACAAACTAAAAAACAAAATAATTATTGCCGAAATAAACAGGTTTTTTTTTCAAAGAACCCATAGTTGAAACCATTCGTTGTAAAAAGAGAAAAACATGGATATATCGCTTATTCTTGATGAAACAAAGCTTTTAAGGGTACCTTAGTCAATCTGATAGTCCAATCGATAAATGGAGTTGGATTTAACCAAGACTACATTTTATAGTCCTTTTAAGAAATACTAGAAATACCGATAACTAATTTTTACACAAAAATCATCGTTCACCTTTTTTATTCACTATAATTTGTATAACACCGTTCTGTTATTTATAACCTCCTCGAAATTGCCATTTCAGTGGTGGAACAAGCAATTTGGATTAAACAGTATTTAATTAGTAAACACCCAGAATAGGTTTTTATTTGTGGCTTTTCTTTTATTTTATTAATAATGAAATTGTTATTTTCTTCTATAATCTTCTCCACATAAAAAATAAAGGATTGGGTAAGAGCAAAGAAATCTACAAAATTAAAAAAAATCTTCATGATAAGAATAAATTGGCGTGAGACATTTCATAGAAAAATTTTTTTTTGGTGTATAATAATAATAATAGGATGTTTAATCCAATTTCACAAAAAACATTTTTAAATATAAAATGTAGTATTTGTTGAAAAAAATAAATTTTTGAAAAAAAATTCGTTTTGCGTTTTTTATTAATTCATTCTTTTTGTTACCTTTTTCTGTCTATACTTGATTGCTAGCTTCAGTCTATTCAAATGCATTCTCTCACCATGCTGGAAAAAGTTTAAATAATTATTAATTTTTTTTTAAAGATTAAGAAAGAGACATATCCCACTATATCCCCCATTGAGTTCTAGATTTCAGGTGCAGATCTGAGGATTTGATTAATGGCTGGGATAGAACTCGATATCCACAGCACACACTTTTAAATTTTGAATCTATTTTAAGACATGGGAGAAATGAAGAGGTCGGAAATCAATTTTGTGTGATGTTCCGTTAATCTTGAAGACTTGATCTCAATATTCAATGTGGGTACTTTTAAATTTAAGGATCAATGCTATCCTGGAGGATATGACCATGTCGGAATTGTTAGGTCTGCAAAAGATGGAGATCAATGCTTGATCCCAAGATTTACAACACTTATTAAGTTATGACTTCAAGAAATGATAAAACTGACGGCTGTATCCAATGGATTAAATCAAACCACCAGGGGGGGAGGAAAACCAACCGAATGTAATTGACATTTAAAATAAGAAAGGTTTGACCTCCTATGCTAAATTATATTTTGAACAGAAAAAAAACACAAATTTCAAATTGAAGGGTTTAAGTTTAATTCCATAAATTATGCGGAAAATCGACCAAGATTAAAAAATATATCTAAATATACAAAAGTTTGAACCTGTAGAAGTATAAACAGAACGAGAAATATTTCTAAGCCTTGATATAAGTATCTGCATTTAAACATTCTTCCGGGGAGGAAATTAGATCTGAGAAAATAGAGTTAAAATATGTCAAAACTAGTTCTCAGGATGAAGGATCTTATCTTTCAAGGATAAAAAGTAATCTAAGAATGTTGGTGGATTACGCAAAATTCTTTTTTCAGCCTCACTTTTACACTGTAGTCGACACTGTTTTAAAAAACCTTTTTGTTCATAATATTGAATTTACCAAATTAAGTTAGAAATGGCGAATAATGCGAAATAAAACATTTTTTATAAATGCCTAGAATTCTGATCATAATTTTGAACAAGAGATGGTTGTAATTTCAAAATTCCAACAGAAGTAGTTACCTTGTATTCTTGTCCTGATGGATCATGGTTAAGTAAAATCTCTAGTTCCTGACAACTCCTCGTATGATCTATAGTTACCTTGTATTCTGGTCCTGATGAATCATGGTTAAGTAAAATCTCTAGTTCCTGACAACTCCTTGTATGATCTATAGTTACCTTGTATTCTGGTCCTGATGGATCATGGTTAAGTAAAATATCTAGTTCTTGACTACTCCTTGTATGATGTATAGTTACCTTATATTCTGGTCCTGATGGATCATGGTTAAGTAAAATCTCTAGTTCATGACTACTCCTTTTATGATCTATAGTTACCTTGTATTCTGGTCCTGATGGATCATGGTTAAGTAAAATCTCTAGTTCCTGACTGCTCCTTGTATGATCTACTATAGTTACCTTGTATTCTGGTCCTGATGGATCATGGTTAAGTAAAATCTCTAGTTCATGACTACTCCTTGTATAATCTACTATAGTTACCTTGTAAACTGGTCCTGATGGATCATGGTTAAGTAAAATCTCTAGTTCATGACTACTCCTTGTATAATCTACTATAGTTACCTTGTATTCTGGTCCTGATGGATCATGGTTAAGTAAAATCTCTAGTTCCTGACTACTCCTTGTATGATCAAGAAGTGCAGTTGCGAAGTTTTGGCACTGTTTCCGCAATCCCTGAATAAAAATATCAGCTTTTAATGAATAAAAGATGCATTTTGAATACTAAATTATCCACCATTGTCAGAGATTGATTTAAAGTAGAGGCGTCGCATATTTCTCTCAAATCTCAACATAAAGCAGAAGTCCATTTATTTGCTGAATTGATGGCAGAACTTTGTAAAGTAAAGCAAACTGGCATATGTAGTTTTTAAACTTATTTTTCTCATAAATACTTTTGCAATTAACGAAGTTGCAGAGAATATCATTATCATTAAATGAACGTTAGTTTTAAGTCGATTACGTGATATCGACCCGACAAATAAATCTTCAAGTAGAATTTTGGGGAAACGTTTTCAGAAAAGGAATCTATAGTTTAAAGTAGTTTGATCTTTTATATGATTGGGGTTAAGCCTATAATGCAGTAAGTAATAATCATTTATATAATATAAGTAAAAAGAAACGATTACAGTGATTATACTTATAGCAGGAATATCTTTATTAAAGAATAGGTCTTCTTCCGAAGATTATCAAAAAAAAATTTTGAAACCAAAGAAGTTTGCGTGTTCAATAAAAAACGAACTGTTTTTATAAATAAAAAAAAAATTTGCCGATTTTTCTTTTAAATTTTGGTGCATTTTAATAATTAAAATGTCAACTTTTTTCCCTACCTAAAAGCCTAGTTTTCTTGCAATATATATTCTTTTTAAAGTTAGTGCAATGATTTAACATATCTTGATTTCCTTTTCTTGAATAATTTAATATTAATTTAATACAGAATTTTATTAAAGAAAAAATTAAATTTTTATCTCTTTAAATCAGAAATATAAACACATGTTTAGAATTTTTCTCTAGTTTTCTAAAGGAAAAGTACATGCTATTCAATGAACAGCTTAAACTTTTCCTACAATTTACAAACTTGTTCTTTCATAAACTTTACACAGTTTTCTTTTTTCAAATTGCTTTTACAGTCTCTTCTTTACAGGGATATACATAGTTCATACCATTCAGATTTAACATTCGATAATATATAAAGCTGTGACTTTCAATCCCAATTTAACCAATTAAACATCAATAATTCTCTTTTTAAATTTAAGGGTTATTTTATTAATTTCTTATTTATGTCAAATAAGGCTTGACTGCTCAAGAATTTTTTTGAGAGAAGTCTCTAAGCTGTTTAAATGTTAAGTTTAAGTTATGAATTTCGAACGAAAACCCGCTATTTTATTAAAAACTTTTAAAATAGGATTTTTTAACACGCTACTCTGACTAAATCAAGGATTTGGGGTGCTGCTGGAGCCCCTAAATCTTTTCTATATGGCTGCTAGAATCTATTTATATATTTAGATTATTCCGAAACTTCTGAGCTTTCTTGTGCTTTTACTATAAAAATTATGTTTTTCATCCACATTACTCGCTGTAACAAAGACGACATCTAAACATATTGCGAGATTACAGGATCCATTCAAGGATAAATTTATGAACGGGAAAAGTAATTATAAATTGAAATCATTATAAATCAATGCAAGCTACAATTCATACAATGTTTGTAAATGAAAAGATTATCAGAATATATGTCTGTGGAATCATTTCTAGAAATGTTTTTGATCATAATGTTTGAAGTTTAGAGTTCCATCTTAAATTAAATTTGTTTTTCCCCCCTGTTTGCAAGATAATGTTACCAAACTCCATTAGACAGAAGCACTGACGCATGTTGGGGTATGTTAGGGGTTGAATGGTTTTTGTCACAGTACTCATTTTAGATGTATTTTTCTTGTGTTTCATCATGAGAATCATATTTTCGGCCGAAAATATTTAACCAAAACATAACATTTAAACAGCTTTGAGACTTCTCTCAAAAAAAATGGAATAAATTCATTTTGGCTGACTCTCCCCTAATATCCTATTGTGTGACACCATCTGTTTAAACAATTTTATCTAAATTTCCGTTTGATTTGATTTGATTTGATTTGGCCCTGCCCCTAAACGACTATAGTTAAAAAACCTGGAAACATTTGATTTAGCAAATTGAATAAAAGGCAAATGTAGAGCAAATACTGTGATATACGGTGGAAGGCGATTATATTAATTTAATGAAGACGACTTTCTATTTTAATTTTGATTTATAACAAGCTTTTACAGCATGGATACACACAAATATGTAAACAAAGAGAAGCTGTCAATTAAAAAAGCTTTTCTTCAATTGGTTGTAAACTTGCATTTCGAAAAAAGCTTGTTAACAATTAAAATTTGTATACAAAAGTTGTCTTCACAATATTGATTCGCCTATCACCATATGTAAAGTGTAAAGCAAATGGTCAACAGATCGAATGCTGAAAGAGAACATGTGACCTTTACACAACTAAGCACAGAAAAAATGTCATTAGATAAATGTTTTATTTATAAAAAAACTATAACCTACCAAATATTCACTTTTAAACTCGTGTTCAGCAAAAGCTAGTCTTCTGAGTTCCCAGGATAATTCGAAAGCCGTCAAAATAGGATCCTGGAGCAAAATATAATTATAGAAGAATTATGGCATAGGGATTAAAGGGATTGTCGACGTATTTTATGCAATCTGGAATAGGAATTAAAGGGATTGTCGACGTATAGGATTTAAAGGGATTGTCGACGTAATTAGTGCAATCTGGAATAGGAATTAAAGGGATTGTCGACGTAATTTAAAGGGTCCCTCTNAAAGAGCTATAAGGGAAGGAGATGCTAGGGCCCAGGATTACCTTGCTTGAAAGAGCTATGAGGGAAGGAGATGCAAGGGCCTTGTATGAATTTATTCTAGATCTTGAATGTCTCAAACTATCTTCACTTCTAGACGTTGAACATTCCTCGCACCCGCACCTAGTCTCCAGATATTTAAATTCAAAATATTCAAGAAATTTATTTTTATTAGAGATATGCATGTTTTTTTGTGAACCACCGAAATTTTCGTGAATCATTGTGTCGTTCAGAAACTTAATGATCAACAAACGAACGAATTTTATCGTTCACAGCAATGATTAATAACAATACAGATAGAACACTAGATGTCGTTTGTTTTTTTCATTTACAACAACACTGAGGCATTAGCCCAAAAGACTTTCGCCCATGCTCTCTCTTTGTCTTGTCATTCAACGCGGCATGCGTGTAACTTCTTTGGGCTTCTGTCTCAGGGTTTTTAAAAATTACTGACAAAATATTAAAGCTATTTTTTGAAGCCAGAAAGAACTGGTTAAAGTGCAGTGGTCCTTGTATACATCAATACAATGAAGACGACATTCGATTAAATCTAAGATTTTTAACAAGCTTTCAAACGGCACATGGACGGTGCACATGGTACACAAAAACATGAAAACAAAGCAAAGCTGCTCTTTGTTAACTTGTAAACTTGTAATTTGAAAGAAGATTTTTATAGATAAACTTTAAAAAAGAAAACAAATGAACAAATTTGATCGTTCACAGCATAGATTAATTAAAATAAAGATAGAACTCTAGATGTAGTTTTTTTTCTAGATATAGGGATTTTTTGTTCACAATAATAGATATTTAAATTAAAAAAAAGAAATTCGTCTATATTGTAATGATATAAACACATACCACTGTTTTATGTTTATAGATAATCGATGTAAACTACTAAATATCCCTGATGTCGTGAGGCATTGGAAGAACAGCTCCTCTATCCAACAGGATTTTAATCACTTCGTAGTTATCTGTGTGGGCCGCCAATATTAACGGAGTTATATCAGGAGTAAAGGTGGCAGTATCACTAGGTATAGCTTCCCAACTCTAAATTAAAAATAGATTAAGTGGGCTGTTCCTTTCTTTCAATTAATGATTATGGAACTATAATTATTTAGAACAAGTATTGACACTACTCAAATTTTAGGTCTTTTAGATTTTTCAAATTGTACAAAAAGTCTGATAATTTTATGTTTTTCCTTGACGAAATATTGGTTAATTCACATTGAGAACTAAATCTAATATGTACATCCAAGAAAAATAAATGCAAGAGAAAAAGTTGGTTTGGTTTGTAGGTTATTTAGCTCTATGCGCATAAAGAAATATATGCAAAAAGCCCATCTAAGTTTCTCCCATGGTCAGATTTACAGATAGAGTTTTCAAAACATCTATAAATTATTTTACAATCATGATAAACAGATTTTGTAATTCGCTGTGTTAATGCTCCTGTTGGGTTTTTACTATTTTCTACAAAATCGACCCATAATTGTTAAGATTATGGCCTTTTCAGGTTAAAAATATGAAAAATAATTTTTATCTTTGCCTCTCATTCAAAAACACATTAAGATGCTGATCAAAATGGTTAAATAGCTTTAAGATAATTTACAAATGTTTTAAAATTTCTAGCACTAAAGCCGACCGTGGGAGAAGCTGAAATGGGCTTTTTGAACATATTTCTATTTGCGAAGAAACTAAATAACCTCCAAAACAAGCCAATTTTTGCTTATGTATTTCTTTTTCTTGGATGTACACATTAAATTTAGTTCACAATGTGAATTAACCAATATTTGGTCAAGGATAAACATAAAATGATCAGATTTTTTGTACGATTTGATAAAAATAAAAGACCTAATATTTGAGTAGTGTTGATAAAATAGATTGTTCACTTCTTAAAGGGGAGAGGGCGGGACTGTAAGCGTAATTTCGATCAAGTGATCCTCCATGCAAAGACAGTCCTATTTAGAACAGTACCATTAGACAGTCCTATTTAGAACAATACCACTAGACAGTCCTATTTAGAACAGTACCACTAGACAGTCCTATTTAGAACAGTACCACTAGACAGTCCTATTTAGAACAGTACCACTAGACAGTCCTATTTAGAACAGTACCACTAGACAGTCCTATTTAGAACAGTACCACTTAAACTTTAATCTAATCAAAATTGTGGAAGCTACCGTTGTTGTTCTGACTCATTAATTTCTCTTATAAATTCTTATAAACCCGAAATGCGCGAGTCACTTTGCAGAGAAACCGAAGAAGAAAAAAACGTGTAAAGAAACAAAAAACATGATTATCCTATTCAAACCTTTTAAGGGTACCGTTGTTAATCGGGCATTGTCATCTTTGCATGGAGGGTTACTTGAAATTGCGCTTACAGTCCCAATGCGGGAGAGAACTATCTGTTAAAACAGAGAGATGAATTTTAAAAGTACAACCTTAAAAAAGGGTTCACCATTTCACCATTTCTTGTAAACTAAACACCAATATAAAGATTATTTAGATCATTTAGATATATTTTTTACTTTAAAATAGTTATTCTTTACAAGATTATTTTTTAAATACACATATTTGAAATCAACATATGTTTGAGTCGTATTGTCCGATAAGTAGCGATTTTAGTGTGTTTAGTTATTTTGATTATTTTTTTTTACATATTTACTTTCATCCAGAAAACTCTTTCTAAAGAATTTTATTCAAATAATTCTATAGATTACAAAGAATATTTGAACAAAAGCACTGAATAAATAAAGAAAATTTTATTCAACAATTCATTTGTTTGTAAAATTGTCAGGCTTTTCACTTTTCACAGGATGAATCATTCTAGAGGATTTAATTTAAAACCTTAATTAATTAAACAAATTGTTAAATCTACCATGAATTTGCAAAGATAGATAACAAGGTAGAAATTGTAATTACGTCTAATGACTTTAACTTGTAAAATATAAACTCAAATACATTAGTTGATATAGATACTCCATACTGTTTACTGCAAGAGAGTAATCATTCCTTGTTTTAACAAACAGATTGAGGATCGTGCCCATTGGTTTGGCATTGATAGATAAGAGCTTGTGTTCCTGTTGACATTGATAGCTGGTCCTCGTTGAAACATACAAGCTGAAGAGATCATGCCCATTGGTTTGGCATTGATAATTACGAGCTTCCGATTGATATCGATAGCTTACAAGATCGTGCCCATTGGTTCGGCATTGATAGATAAGAGCTTGTATTCCTGTTGACATTGTTAGCTGGTCCTCGTTGAAACATTCGAGCTGAGATTGTGCCCTTTGGTTTGGCATTGATAGTTACGAGCTTATATCAATAGCTTACGAGATCGTGTACATTGGTTTTGCATTGATCGATTAAGAGTTTAGTTTGTGCACATTGGTTTGGCATTGATAGTAACAAGCTTCTGATTGACATGGATAGCTTACAAGATTGTGCCCATTGGTTTGGCATTGATAGTTTAGAGCTTGTGTCCCTGTTGACATTGATTGCTGATCCTCGTTAAAACATTTGAGCTGAGATTGTGCCCATTGGTTTGGCATTGATAGTTACGAGCTTATATCAATAGCTTACGAGATCGTGTACATTGGTTTGACATTGATCGATTAAGAGCTTGTGTCCTTTTTGACATTGATAGCTGAGCTTGTGTCCATGTTGATATTGATAGCTGACAAGTTGTACCTGGATAGATATGGGTTTGAGAAACCCTAATGGATTGTGGCATTTCCTACATGTGTATAGAAATCCACTGCGAAAAAACCTTCAAGTTTAAATTTAATCCNGAATATCGGGATTTCAGTTACTACTTTTTAAGTGTTACGAGTTTTCCGGCAATTAAGGTAATACACATCATTTAAAAATATGTATTCCGTAGCTCTTCTTTATCAGACTTGCCGAAATGCCCGGTCCAACTTTAGCCGGCAGTAAAACACCATGAGGTGGGAATGTAACATTTTTGTTATATATTTCTGATTGTTACGGTTTGACCGGTATATACAGGTAGCATAAATATAACAAATAAAACGCATTTTTCTATTATATATTCGTATATATATATATATAAATAAATATATATTCTGCGGCTTTGGAAGATATATAAATAACCCAAAAATATGACTAAAATATTTATTCTAAATCAAAAATTTTTTTTTTTAGTAAATTCTGATTGGTGAATCATTGTAGAACATATAAATGAGAGAACATAAATTGTGAATAATGCTGAGATAACGGTTAAACTTTTCATATAAAAACAAAAAAACATCTATTAAAAAAAGTATATTTAATATATATGTATACACATAATGAGGAAAAGTTTTTTATACCTGCTTGAGAAATTTTATTAAGTTTTAAAAGTTTTGATCAAAAATGCTTTCTTAGAAAGAAGAAGTAAAAGAACTGATTACTTGTAATGTTGACCCCCATCAGTTCAAGATATTTAAAATAGCCCATAAACTTTTATTGTTATTTTAGCATCAGCTTCAAATTTACATTTTATAAAAGCCTTTAAAAATAGATAAAAAAACATGTGTCGCCTATTTTTATCAGAAACTTCTTTAAAAAAAAAATTTCCGACCTTTTCTGCCTTTGTAGCTTTATAGTTAGTGCATGGTATCATTGGATTTGAATAAACTGGCCTTGAAAAATGGAACTATTAACATGTTTTTATAACACCAGAACTTCATTCACAGACCTTTTTCTATGAGGGGGGGGGAGCCGTGACGGGACACCCCCCCCAGTCTTTACATAGATTCAGGCCCCAAAGCCTTTATAGTGTTAAGAAAACTATAAATAATTTAAAACACTTAAATAGATTAAAGTTTGTAAAGTTTCCTATTGTTTCACTTGATTAATTTCAAACAGTTGGAAAGTTTTCTAAAGTTTAAGATGACCACATTTATTGTAGAGAATTATTGTCATTTATTAACAAGGGAAGTGCCAGTTATATTAGGGAGGAGTTACGGAGTTTACTATATCTCAGTTTGATATTTTTACCCCTACCCCTCCCCCAAAAAAGGGTTAAAAAAGTTAATTTTCAATTTTGTTAATGCAGAAGAAATTAATGGATTACAAAATATTCTTTATTTCAATTTATCAAGAAAATCATGATATTATTAAAGTTTAAAGGAACAGCCCAAGTAATTATAAGTGACACTCCAATGAAAGTGTTATATGCTCATGTCACAAAGGTACCCAAAAAAGTAGAAATGTAAAAAAGTGATTAGATGAAACATGCATGGTGGACTATGGACTAGACTTAGATATTTCATTTTTGTTCAAACAAATATTTAAAGGGAAGCATTTAGAATTCTTTTAATGGATCTGGTCACTTGTAATTTCTCCGACAGTCTCTTTAATATCTAATCAAATCTATCTAATTCTGAATTGAAAATTAATTAATTGATTGATAAGTTTTTAAGTAAATGTATTTTATCACACACAAAAGAAACTTATAAAACTATAATCTTTATTTGAAGATTGAAGAATTTAGAAGCTTTTGCTTTGTTTATTTTGTGGTTTTTTTAAATCATCAAATTGGTTAAATTGACTTTCATGGCCCCTGGTTTGGTTTGAAGCCCTTAAGGATAATGACATTTATTTACTTGGCAAATAGATTTTTATCTTTTACACTTTTAGTTTATTAATTATTTATCCTGCACAACTTGATAGCAGAGAGTTTTTAGAAGGTTTTACATTATTTGTTATTTAACTAAACATAAATAATAGATTACTTATAAGAAGACAGTATTTTTTCCTTTAAAAAAAGGACAGCTCAAGTTCTTGAGGGCCATGGGCTCATAGATCCAGACTGCTAAATTAATCAATTTTTAAGACTTGGTCAATTTTAAAGTGTTGCGACGCCTTGCTTTTGATTTACCTCACGAATACAGGGAAGCCCTAGTGATTTACATTTTATAACTTCACAGTAATTGTTTTAGGCTTTAGTTTTGTAAAAGCCATGTCAAAATTATTATTGATTTCCGCATGACAATTTGCAACCTTTGGATCAATGTACAATGTACATGGTAACCGAAATCTCTGTCAAAATAAGAATCGCGTTTAAGCTAAAAGCAACACAAAATGCCCTTTTCAGCGTTTAAAGGTGACCGAGTGCTGCAGCTTTTCTAAGAAGAAGTTTAATGAGCCAAAAGATTCATTTTCTTTATAATACTACAAATTCATACTTTTACAAATGTTAAAAAAAGTTTATCTAAACGTAGCCTAAATTAAAAGTTTAACAATAAAAACAATTAGCAAAGAAACTGGCAATAAAGTTACAAGCACTGTTTGAGGATATTCAATAATTGCTTTCGGTATTTCTAAACATTGAACAAATCAAAAAGTTTTTTTTTGTATGACAAATAAAGCTCTGAAATTAAAGCGTACACTTGGTTTAGCAGTTTGCCGACGTTTTGCAGATCCATCAAATCTGGAGAGGTTTGATCATTAGTAGGTTTTCCGCGAAATGGGGAAATAGCTTTTCGTTGAATATTTAGCTTTTTTTCGCACTGCAATAGCAGAAAAAATGCAATGTTTTTTCGCGAAACAAAAATAAAATACAACAAAAAATGCGAACTTTTAGTTTTTAAAGGTAATTTCGCCTTTTTTGTTCTCAAATTTCAGTTCACAAAAAATGCGAAATTTCTCAAAAATTTTGCAAAATACGAAATAAAATTTTGCATTTTTCGGCAAAGGTTTTTTTCCCCAGAAACTCTAGACATTAGTAATTGTCTAGGATTAGTGAAGCTTGAGGTGCAATACCGATTAGAGTAACCGTCTCGGGTGAAGCTAAATATATTTTAGGGACAATATTTATATTGGGATAATATTTATATTGGGACAATATTTATATTGGGACAATATTTATATTGGGACAATATTTATATTGGGACAATATTTATATTGAGACAACATTTTTTTTGGGACAATATTTATATTGGGACAATATTCATATTGGGACAACATTTATTTTGGGACAATATTTATATTGGGACAATATTTATACTGGGACAATATTTACTTTGGGACGATATTTATATTGGGACGATATTTATATGGGGACAATATTTATATTGGGACAAAAATTTATATTGGGACAATATTTACATTGGGACAATATTTATATTGGGACAATATTTATATTGGGACAATATTTATATTGGGACACTATTTATTTTGGGACAATATTTATTTTGGAACAATATTTATATTGGGACAATATTTATACTGGGACAATATTTATATTGGGACAATATTTACATTGGGACAATATTTACATTGGGACACTATTTATATTGGGACAATATTTATTTTGGGACAAAAATCCACCGTTCCCCCCATCTTTGTCCTAAATTGAATCTTTTGATGCTTGTGTGTGAGTGTGCTTGCCCTCCTTTATAATCTTATTGAATTAAAATTTCAAGTCTTTCACAGAGTTCTTCAAAGAATGTCTAAAAATAATATTAGAACTTTCAAACTCCGTTTCTTTTCACTTTATTAAAGATTGACTTGGGAACCCAGCTTTGCCTTAAAACTAAAATTCTCTAAAAAAATAACTTATCTTTAAAATATATATATATATAAATAGTTATAGCAAATATGTATAATGCTTATAAAATTAATATTAGATTATTTTAGGAAAAAAAATTAAAAAAGATAACGCCAAATTAAATTAGTTAACCTCAAATTAAAAAAGATGACGTAAAATTAAAAAAAATTACGTCAAATTATAAAAAAGATAACGTTAAATTAAAAAGTTAAAGTCAAATTAAAAAAGTTAACGTCAAATTAAAAAAGATAACACCAAATTAAAAAGGTTAAAGTCAAATTATAAAAAAGATAACGTCAAATTAAAAAAGATAACGTCAAATTAAAAAAAATTAACGTCAAAATAAAAAAGATGTCGTCAAATTAAAAAAGATAACGTTAAAATAAAAAGAAAACGTCAAATCAAAAAATATAACGTCAAATTAAAAAAGATAACGTCAAATTAAAAATGATAACGTCAAATTATAAAAGATAGCGTCAAATTATAAAAGAAAACGTCAAATTAAAAAAATAGATTGAGGAACTAAACACTTGCTTAAATACTAATGTTGTAATCCCTATATTTTTGTAACACAATTTTATAATTTTTGACTATTCGATTAAGCAGAATTCATGTAAAATTTATAAAATATAAGATGGAAGTATTTTTAAGTTTAGAGATGGAGGGAAGTGTTATAAGTTCGATTATTCAAAGTTTTAAACAAGGTAATTGTGTAAATGTTAAAAACTGCAGTCTAATAGATGAACTAAATGTAATCGAATGACGTAATATTTTCTGATTGCGTCATGCAAAAAGAGAATGCACTTGAGATTTTAGGGAATTCCTGAGATGTGAGTAAAGGCGAAACATGAATGAAGAAATATCTTTTTGAGGGATTTAAAAAAAAAAAAAAATATTTCTACTTTTTATGGTAATGAATAGTTTCATTAGTTTTTAAAATTTATTTTTCATTCATAAAAATAGAAAATCATTTTTTATTTAATTACCAAACGAACGAGAACAAATTTGAAAGGTTCATTATAGTTACATGACAATGCCGACAAAAACTTAAACTATTTTGTTCAAGGTAAAATTAAAAATATCTTTAACTTTAAAGGGAATATTCGCCAAAAATTAAAGGGGGTATAGGCTTACGGCGAAAAATAATCGCTTTTGATCACTGTTAATCTTATCTGTTGCGTCTAAAAGGAAAAAATTGTTAAAAACGACTTATACTAAAGAACGTTGCGTCCATACAAATTCAGAAAGTTGCAATATAAAACTCGGATCGTAAAATAATCAATTTAATTTTAAAAAAATCATTCAGATATTATACAACCTGAAGTCATCGATTATTTTTCGACGCAATTCTTTACTTACATCACATAGATTAATAAAATTACAGATAGAACACTAGATGTTGTCTTTTCAAGATTTAAGGGTTTTCGTTCACAATAACTCTGAGTAAGAAGCTCAAAGGAGTTACGCGGTTGCTCTCTCTCTGTCGTGTAATTCAACACTGCCTGCCCGTAACTTCTTTGGGTTATTGTGAACGAAAAACCCTTAAATCTTGAAAAGACGACATCTAGTGTTCTATCTGCAGTGTTATTAATCTGAGTTCCGTTTTACCTTATTCTCAAGAAGAAGTTCAACCATCTCCAGGTTTTCATTGTCGATTGCCATGAGAAGTGCTGAGCGACCTAAAGGGTCAACACAGTCGATATTTATCTGCCCCGTGTCTTTGCAGTTCTCAAGCATCCTACAATATAATACTTATAAAATACTACAATATCTTTGCAGTTCTCAAGCCTCCTACAATATAATACTTATAAAATACAACAATATCTTTGCAGTTCTCAAGCATCCTACAATATAATACTTATAAAATACAACAATATCTTTGCAGTTCTCAAGCATCCTACAATATAATACTTATAAAATACAACAATATCTTTGCAGTTCTCAAGCATCCTACAATATAATACTTATAAAATACAACAATATCTTTTAATTCAAATGCAGTCAATTTTCAAAAAAATATTTCAGTATATTTAAAATTTCGGTCAATAACTTTTCAGTTATCAGTCTTTAAGAAAATTTTTTTTAGCATTCTGGATCATTGTGTGTTATTTTTGAACCTTTTCTCAGTTCCAATTCAGACAATATCAATTTTGTTAAAATATTATAGTTCTGAAATTTTCTCAATCTTAATTCTTCAAACGTCAAAAATGTCATCTAAATCTTTGAATGAAAAAAAATAATATTTTGCAAAATACATTTAAAGTTAATAAAATCTTTTTAAAACGAAGACATTTTTTTTTGTCAAAATAAGCAAAGATAGGTATTAAATGTCAAAAGTTGGTAAAAAAAAATAACGTCGGTTCCATAATGCATATTGATTGGCTTTTTTGGCTTTAGCCATTTTTTACTTAAATATTTTTTTAACTGTAAATAGTAGCTACATTTTGTTGCCTTAATATTTTATATTTATAGATAAATTATCCTTATTTTTTCATATTTCTTAATATAAGTCTTACTATAAAATATATATTTTATGATAAATGTACACATGTGAATGTATTGTATAATAAATAGAGTTGTACTTATTAATATGCTAATATATATTGCTCTGAGAGAAATTAATAGTTGTATTTCTTATCTTCCGCATATAAACATACAATATACAATATATATGTAATTATACGTTTGGTTTGTTCAGATTAGTTTTTACATTCACACAGACAATAAAAAACAAGGAGTTGGGAGGTTGAGGGTGTTTTATTCTTTCTTGTCATAGTCAATTTATTTGGGAAACCCTTTAAGTAAGCAAGGATTTATTTAGAAAGTGTCATTAAAGATATATGACTCTGTAAATAGCAACTTGTGGATTTCTACAGCACAGAGGAGCAACAAAATGTTTAAGATTTGTCTTGTTTCAGAGAATAAGTTTTATTGTTTTTCTTTCAATGTATTTTAAAGAGTAATGCTCTGAATTATTAAAAGCTCACTCTAAAAAAAATTACTAAATTATGAAAGTTTTCGGAAAATTCAAGAACATCTCTTTATTTAGTTATTATTTATTTTGTTTCCGGCCCAATATAGTTGGTATAGGTTGGATCCCTAGATGACAGGCCTGAGATTGATAGCACTGGTAGACTGCCAGATCCATATTGATAATACCAGTCTCACAGTAGGTCATGAATCATATCTTTTTCTATTCATTTTCCCATGTACATTGTACATTGTACATTGTACAGTCGGAGTGCATAGATATAAAATACAAATACAGTCTATGTCTATAATGTCTGATGATAAACCATAAACTAGATAATTGTGCACTTTGTGCTCATAATTCTCCTTTTTACTTGTACAAACATTTACTCTTCGTAAATTATTAAACATTTAAAAGGTCTACAATGTCAGGTTGCAAAGATATAGGGATTAAATAATCTGAATTTGTGGCAACAACCCAATTTCTTTCTTAAAAAGGAAATTTTATGGAAAAAGTTTAATTTTGACCCGATTGGTTGGTTGATTTTTACGTTTATTTACTTGTACTTTTCGTAAATTATTAAAGATTTATTTTTCTTGTTAAATTAATCTCAAAGATGAATTTTTAATATTTGATTCCTGAGCGACCAAAAACTATCTCTGAGTCCCCAAAAAAATAATGGGCCCAATCGGTTCAGCTGTTTCGTTGTACCTAAGTTTTTGAATTTAAATTTAAATTTTGAATTTGCAGTATTATATACATTCAAATTTGAGCAGTAGGTTAGGTTAGGTTTTCATTTATTATTCAGTGTCTTTCTAATCTTTTGTCTATTTAAATCACTCTATATTAATATTTTAAGATCTAAATATTTATTAATTAATGATACATTTAAATTTCATATCGGGGTTTAATTATTGCAGAAAAGTATAGAATATTACATGTTTTTAAGTTTAAGATTTTTTACAATTGCGCAATGATTTTTTATAGTTTTTAAAATTTGAAAATATCTCTCAGATTCTTTTTCATGCTCGAGGTCAAACACAGGTTCAGGTTCAGGTTCAAGAACAAAATAAGCATGAATTGAGTCATTGATATGTGTTTTTTTTTCTTCAAATTTCCCAACCTGTAAAATTAAAAATTAAAAGATTAAAACAATTTAACTTTGTGTTTTTATTAATAAAGAGCGATTTAAAAAAGACAAACCGTTATGAAGGACACTGTACATTCATATTATCTAGATAATTTATTTGTTTTTACTGTTTTAAGATTTTTATCAAAAATGTTCTAGATGGATATTAATAAATGCAGTTTAATTTAAACACCTGAACCGGCCGGATATACTTTAACCACCACTTTCTCATTTATAAATTTCCATCTGAGCACACGACGAGAAAAAAAACTAATCAAATTATATGTTTTATTTTATAGGTTTAGCTAATTTTTTAAACCTGTGATATTTCAAACAAAATTTATAATTTGAAATATCAAAGGTCTGCATCGAAGGGTTGCAAAGATATATCTGAGTATTCCTCATATGGACAAACATGATGAAATTATAATAGTTTTTCTAGAAATTGAAAATTTTAAAATTGCGGGTTTTCTATAAAAATGACTTGCGTATTTATGAGGCTATGTGTGTGTGAATCGTGAAACTTTCAAATTAGGGGGGGGGGGTCCAACTTTATAAATTATTTCGATAAAAATATTGAAAATTTGAACCTTTTTCTTGCCTGGTAAAAAAACTTGTTTTTAAACATCGTCTTCTACATCCACCCTTTCTCTTCTTATTGTTTACAACTTTCCTAGTGGAGGCCCGGCGAAGTTGACCCATCATGTACATTTTTTCACAGTTTAAGATCTTGGATATGTTTGGAAATTTATTTTTAAATATCCTAAGTTTTACATTTAGCTACACACATATTTTTTCTTTTAAATTATTTAATTGTTTAATTATGCAGAGACGACTCAACTATTTCAAGTGTTTAATCTGTTGGTATTGTTAACAAGTTAGTTAGTTTTTCTTGGTTACTTTCATCTTGAATATTACTTTGATTTTAGACAAGACAGGTAGAAAACCGGAAATGGACAAAACTTTCTCCGAAATAAAGGTAGTGTAAACTTTCTTTAAAGTTTTGGAAATATTTGTAAAAATAAACTAGTTCTAAAACTAATTCCAATGCCATTACAATATATCACATTTAAATTTTAAGATATCCCCCCCCCCCTTTTTTAATTAATTAATTATACTTGAATTTAACTCAAACCATCTTTTCTGCATACTGAATCAAATTTTAATCAAAGTCATATATTTTAAGCGGAAAAAGGCCGGTTTCAGTACATAAACATTTGAACAAATTACGATAAAATGTTTGAGAAGAAAGGACCAATAAAATCATCAATTTTTATTGGATTCTCAATATTATTGGAAAAATATTTCCAAAATGTACAGGTTTTTCTCCATCCTAATATACTTCTAGTCTATTAAAGTTGATCTAAAAGGGAGTGACCGGCTATGTGAGGTAGTTGAACTGAGGACGCAGTGTTGTGGAAAACTTCTTTAGGATTCATTTGAGACATATTTCACTTTTTAAAAGTCTGTAAATCCTGAGTTTGAGCGCAAATTCAACGTTCAAAACTCCTGATTTGGGGGTGGATACGCTTTCAGAATTAGTTTTTTTTAAATTATTAATTAACGACGACATAAAATGTAAAAATATTCTAAAATAAACTACAGTCATGTTTAGGAACATTTTGAGAAAATAAAAATTAATCTTATCATCGAAAATAAGTAATCTTGTTCAATTATTAGTTTCTATTACCTCATTATTCTAGTTTCTCGTTATTCACAAAGATGTTCGTAGATTTTCTATAACTATTATTGAAAAGACGACATTTAAAGAATTTGAAGAAATCTGCGAATAAATTCAAAGAAAATTAAAAATTCAATATAATAATGAAAACGAAATAATCGATTTTAGCATTGATTTATTGACAAATTTCTTTTGTGAAATATGTTCCTAGCCATCTAATTAGATTACTGGTTAAGTTTTACTTTATTTTTCGTTGTCGTTATTTAATAATTAAAAAAAACTAATTCTGAAAGCGTATCCTCCCCCAAATCATGAGTTTTGAACGTCGAATTTGCGCTCAAACTCAGGATTTACAGATCTTTAAAAAGTGAAATATGTCTCAAATGAATCCTAATGAAGTTTTCGACAACACTGCATACTCAGTTCAATTACCTTACATAGCCGGTCACTCTCTTTAAGATTTATTTTTGCAAAAATAAAATAAAAAATGCGGAATTTAGACACCACCAAAAAATGTTCAACACATAATGAACAACAATTAAAAATTTAGAAAATGATACTTTAAAAATAGTTTAATAGAAACTGGATGTAAGCTATTTTACAAATATTGTTTTATTTCAGTCAGAATTAAAAAGATACTCCTCTGAAAAATGGACTTCCACCACTCTTTAATAATGTTGCTTGCAAATAAAAATTGCTGAATTTTTACCGAATATCTCCTGGTAATTGATGATTGCAGTCCGACAAATAATTGATAAATGATTTATGTATATCGGTTGTTTATGGAGAAAAGGAATAGTAAGTTGCCAAGTATATATAGTAGATTCAAGATATTTTCCTGGCTGAGCAGATATCTGGTTTAACCGATCTAAGACTTGTTAAACAAGAGAAGTTTGTAAGTGGGAAGTGTATGAACTGATATAACTGAGCCTACTGCTGAAAGTCTGGTTGCTGAAG